ATTGTTGGATACATAAGAAGAAAAATAGAAAATATTTCGTCATGGAAATTCGCATGATGTTATATAGAAGAAAAAAAAAAGCTTTTATTGTGACTCTACATCTGTTTTTTTCAAATCTGGTTATATTTGTGTTAGTTCCTCTTTGATGCGTGAGCGCATGATCGGAAAAATTACTGTTGCTAAAAATTGGATCACGAAAATTTTGGTTGGAAATAGTTTTCTAGTTTTCACTTAGTGTCAGAGATTTATTAAAAAATCAATTTTTCCTGTATTTATTGTCGCGAAAGTGAATTCGGTTAATTAGATTAGATTACTCATAGCGGATGTGGTTCTTTGTTGGTGCCCAAAATTATATGTGTATGCATTGCATGAAGTGCGTTTTAATTTATATAAAAGAAAAATCAAAATTGTCACAAAACACGACATAATTGAAATTGAAAAGTGAGGGGAAAGTGAATAATCGCGTCAAAATTAGTCGAATCGATATTTATTTTAATGAAAAAGAAAAACAAGTCTGCAAAATTTCGGCGCCAATGCGACTAGTCATTCCACTCGGAAAACTCAAATGTTTCTTCTGCGGTGAAAAACATACAGCAATTTTCACAGGTTGTAAAACCAGACAAGAAATAATTGAAAAATGGAAATCAAAATCACAGAATGGAAACAACCAAAATCAAAACAAAACAGCAGGCCATTATTCATATGGACAACGGAGAAACAATCCTCCAACACCGCATCGTCCTGAGAGATCAACCAGAAACGTCCAACATGCACCAAAACCTCAATGGAGAAAGGAGTATATGGAACCATCAACATCTGGTACACAAAAGCCTGTTCATCAAAAACAAGTTCCAGTCAACCACAAACCAAGGAACACAAATCCTCCTCCAAATCACAAACCCTCAAATCAGGGAAATAAAAATAACTTGAACAACCAACAAAACAATAAAGAAAGAGGAAAACATTGGAAAAAGAATCAAAGAAAAAAGCAAAACGAGCGCATTAATAACAATCAACATCAAAAACCAAAGCAAGATGTTGAGCTTATGGACTCAGAAGACATCAGTGCAACAAGTCAGACCTCGAATGAAGTCTTCCCAGAACCTTCATTCAGTGTTGAGGTAGTGAATCGAAACATAACAACTAATCAACAAGCTCAAAGCACCAGCACAAGAGATAAAAACATCTCAGAAATAGAGGAATCAAAGTGCAAGTACCTTATCAGCGAGATTCTCAAATTAATCGCCAAAAATCCAGAGTTCATCGACGAAATACTCCAAGCAATCGGCTCAAGTGCCAAAAACACCGCATACAATAATGGATTGTAGACAACAAAGTATCAACGTCCTCTACTGGAATGCTAACGGCCTCACTGACAAAATGTTAGCATTTCTCGACTACCTAAGCAAGCAAAACGTCGATGTTGCTTGCATCTCAGAAACATTCCTAAAACCAAACTCAAAAATTGACTCGCATCCAGACTACGTAATTCATCGATTGGATCGCGTGGATAGACCAAAGGGTGGTGTTGCAATCGTCGTCAAAAGAAATCTAAAACATCAGCTTCAACCAAGCTACAACACAAAACTAATGGAATGCATTGGAATCAAAGTCTTCATCAATGACACGGATAGTTGTCACATCCTCTCAGTCTATCTCCCAGGAGGAAGCAAAGGAGGGGAAATCGATCTACATCTGAGAGATGACATCAACAAAATAACAAATCTGAGAGGAAATTACTACATCTGTGGAGACTTCAATGCAAAACATCGAGAATGGAACTGCAACGTTGCAAATAAATCAGGAAATATTCTTCAGGAAATGTCAGGAGAGTTCATGATCTACTTTCCTGACTCGCCAACGTACTACCCAGAAGATCGAAACAAATCAGTGTCAACAATTGACCTGATGCTCTCGAATTCCAACCTCGAAACAACAGAACTTCAATGCACAGAGGCAATGAGTGATCACTGCGCTGTGTATTTCCAAATCAAAACATCAAAAATCGACAGAACTGAAAATACAGTCTACAGATATGACTACAAAAACGCAAACTGGAAAAAGTTCAAAGCACAAATTTCACGCCGCATTGAAGACAACATTGGAGAAAATTCTTGCAATACAACAGATGAGATCGAGAATCACATTAAGATTCTCTCTGAACTCATCATGGAAGCGAGGAACTCAAGTGTAAAAATGAAAAAGATCAAGTTCGAATCAACTAAACTCACACCGGAGATTAAAAATCTAATCAACGCAAAAAGGAGTCTTCGTCGAAGATGGCAGAGAAGCAGAGATAATCAACTCAAATCTGAATTGAATTATCTGCAGAGAGTCATCAATGAGAAAATTAAAGAACTCAAAAACAAAAACTGGAATAAGCGTCTCTCAGAGATTCAACCGTCAAACCAAACAGTTTGGAGAATAGCAAAATTTTGCAAAAAAGGTTCAAAAACAATGCCTCCATTGACAAATCTGGGTAAAACGTTCATCACCAACAAAGAAAAAGCCAGCGCACTCAGCGAGTATTTTCGTGAAGCTCACGAAAATCCTCTGGAACAAAACGATCCACAACATACACAGGAAGTAAACAACACAGTCAAAGAAGCATTGGAACAAGACAATGATGAGAATCCAGAACTAACAGATGTAAACGAAATCGTGAGCATCATAAGAAATCTGAAAAATCCAAAAGCTCCGGGACTAGATGAAGTCAACAACATACTCATCAAAAATCTTCCTGAAAAAGGTTTCGAATACTTGAAATTCATCATCAATTCGTGTCTGAAACTCAACCACTTCCCCAAAGTTTGGAAACATGCAAAAGTGATTCCTATTCCAAAACCTGGAAAACCAGCAAATGAGCTAAGCAGCTACAGGCCAATAAGTCTACTCAGCTCAATAAGCAAAATACTGGAGAGAGTATTACTGAATAGAATCAACGATCATCTTGAGGATAACAACATCATCCCAAACCAGCAGTGCGGCTTCCGGACTGGAAGATCAACATCTCACCAGCTCATCAAAGTGATCAAATCAGCAAAAGAAAACTTAAACAACAAAAAGTCAACAGGCATGATCTTCCTGGATGTAGAAAAAGCATTTGACAGAGTCTGGCATAACGGACTCTTGTACAAAATGCTCAAACTGAGATTTCCACTGCCACTTATAAAAACTGTAAGATCTTTCCTCAGTGAAAGATCTTTCGCAGTTTTCATTAAAGGTCAGTTCTCAGAAATCAAGGTAATCAAATTCGGAGTGCCACAAGGAGCAGTGCTTTCACCAACTCTCTACAACATCTTCACGTATGATGTTGTAAGAGAGACAACCAACAACATCGGTCTTTTCGCAGATGATACAGCACTGTATCATTCTGCAGAGAACTCGGCTGATATTGTGACATATCTACAGCACACAGGAAGAAAAGTTCAACAATACATGAACAAATGGAAGATCAACCTCAACAAACAGAAGACTCAAGCCTTATTCATCACAAACAGGCACTCCAGGCAACTACCAGGAAATAACATCAAATTTCTCAACGAAAACATCAAATGGGAAACAGAAGCTAAATATCTGGGAATGGTGATCGACAAGAGAGTGACATTAAAGCCGCATGTGGAGTATGTGACCAATAGGGCTCACACCGCGTTAAGACAGCTTTATCCGCTCATCAGCAGGAACTCACAACTCGACGTACGAAACAAACTTCTCATCTACAAGCTAGCCATCAGACCAATATTCACATATGGTTGTCCAGCGTTTGGAAGCATGGCAAAAACCCATCTTCAAAAACTTCAAGTACTGCAAAACAAATTCTTGAGAATTGTTCTCAATAAAACAAGATATGAAAGGATCACCGATCTTCATACAGAAGCGAAAATACCGTCCATCGAAGACTACGTCGGAAAGTTGCAAGCGAACTTCAACAGTCGTCTTGCATCTCAAAACACCGAATAAATCAAATGAAATACAAAAGAAAGTAAAATCCGTAAATGAAATCAAAATTAAGAGACAAAAGGCAAATTGAATGCCTGAAACCTTAAAACAAAAAGCAACAAAATGTATAGAAACTTTGTACATACTTAAATTTAAATGTAAATAAATAAAAAGTTTAAAAAAAAAAAAAAAAAAAAAAAAAAGCGACTAGTCATTGTTTAAAAGGGAAAAATACTCGCCATAAACTTGATACGATAGACGAGCTATGATTATTATGAAAAGCAAACGAATGTGCAATTGAACCATATAATTTTAATAATGTAAATTAATAGCCTGCAGCAAGCAGCACGCTCTTGATACAAAATGTACTGTGTAATCTTCATTCGAGCGAGAAAGTGATAAAAATGAAAAATTATTTTTATCATGTGCCTTACATGATCTCCAAATTTATTTATTAATAAACAGTGATTGGCTCATTATTATTATTATTTTTAAAGTATGTCAGAAGGTCAATTGGTTCCTTCTTAATAGATTGAGATGAGTTTATACGAGCATAAAAATTTTTAATTTGATATTCTTCTTCCATCCGTAGTTATTACTATGTTCAGAACAGAAATAGAATTTCTCACAGTTATTTGATGCGTTTAATTTCCGAATGAATGAATGAATAAGACACAGCGAAAAAATAATGTTTAGCACATCGTATTATGTGTGCCTTAATGCTATTTTAATTATTATTTTTTTTTTGTTATTTTATTCATAAATTATTGTGTATTTTTTTGTCGTCGACTTTTATTCATTCATATCAACATTAGTAGCAATTTTATTTTATTTTTTGCTTGCGAATAATGAGAGATGAAAGGAAGTTGATTATGATTCACATGCTTGAAATATAACCAAATTGAGAGGTAGACAGTAGTAAACACAGTAAAGTGAAAAGTGCGAGCGAGTCAAAGAGATTTTCTCTACGTGAATTATTACTCAATTTCGAATAATAAGCTTTGTTATTCAATAAAAACCATTTTATAACTTTTTCTCGCTTTAATGTCTGCTCATTCCAGATCAACAAAAAAAATTACAGCATTTAAGTAAAGGAAAAAGCATAGAAAATTACGAATATTAGTGACCTCAGAAAAGAAGCGTAAGAAAACAGAATAGTTGGTTAAAAATGACTGACACTGAGCAGCAACAAGTAACACATACGAATGGCAATGGTGTTCAGGAAGAAGAAGAGCCAAAACAGCGTCCAGCCGATATTGAACAAGATATGCGTGAAATGGAAAGACGTAAACGTGTAGAAGCTATCATGTGCTCTCGATTATTTCGTGAAGAATTAGAGCGTATTGTTGATGGACAATTGAAAGAAGGACCATCAAATATACTTGAGCAGATATCAAGCATGATGGGTGTGCCTACAGCTAAAGTTGGTAGCTATTTCCGTGGCTCAACATGTGTTATTCCCATAAATGATATTCGCGGTATTGAAGCTATGGGCTACGAAAAAGGAGAAAAAATTTTACGTTGCAAGTTAGCAGCAACATTCCGTTTATTGGACGTGTATGGTCTAGCAGCAAATGGTATTCATAACATGGTGACAGCTCGTTTGAATGCAGCCGAAGAACTTTTCTTGGTCAATCCTTTTGGTCTTCTTTATCATGAAGTGACTGCATCATCATTGAATAAAGCCGATATGCAAGGAGCTATTGTTGAACAAGGAACAACTAATTATGGAATAAATAATTCTCAATTCTCAATACATGCATCTATCCATGCAGCTCGACCTGATATCCGGTGCATTATTGGTGTGCTTCACAGCGCAGTTGTTGCTGTTTCGTCAGTCAAGCAAGGATTGTTGCCACTTTCTAAAGACTCGGCTGTTTTGGGAGAGATAGCTAGACACAACGTTTCTGGAGGTAATTAACTCTGTTTTTTCCCCTTCTTTTGATTTATTTCTTATATGCTTACGTTCGTTTATAACTTCATTTGTTAGCTTTGAATGAGCCAGAAGAACGTGAAAAATTGATCCGCAGCTTAGGTCCCAATTCGAAGGTCTTAATACTCACAAATCATGGTGCTCTTTGTTGTGGCGAGACTATTGAAGAAGCATTCTACCATACTCAGCACATGGTGAAGGCAGCAGAAGCACAATTAAATCTTTTGCCCGTTGGCATTGACAATTTGATTCCAATTTCTGAAGAGACACGCAAAGCAATTTACGACGAATCCAGAAAGCCGCCTGAAGGAACTGTTGTTTCACCACCAGCTAATATCGACAATAAGGAAAAGATTTTGCATCAGGTAAAACTTACCTTAATGCTTATTATTTCGAAATATATTAAACTGTTTAATAATATAGGGTCCAAAATGGCGAGTCGGCGGTGCAGAGTTTGAGGCATTAATGCGTACATTGGACAATGCCGGCTATCGAACTGGATACATCTATCGCAATCCTCTAGTTAAACACGAGGTTCCCAAGCCGAAGAATGACATCGAAGTTCCACCAGCAGTGTCAAGTTTGGGATATTTGTTGGAGGAAGAAGAAATGTATAAACAAGGGTAAGTGTCTAATTATAGAGTCTATACTTAATGAATAAATCATGTAGCTTATAATTATCTTTTCTTCTATTTTTAAAGTATTTGGAAGAAGGGTGATTTCCGTAAAGGTGGAGATCGTTCAAGATGGCTCAACTCGCCAAATGTTTATCAAAAAGTCGAGGTTCTTGAAACTGGAACATCAGACCCCAAGAAAATTACAAAGGTAGAAATTATCAAGTTTGAAAATTAAGTTGGAATAATTATTGATCAACTTTAATATTCGCAAATATTCGTGAGATAAAAAGCTTTAGATTTTTCGATAATTTTTCTTTGCTTAAAATTTACTGCTGTTTGTGGAAGTAAACTTGCATTCCGAGAGTTTTATTTTTCTTGACATTTAATGCACAAACATTCCTTCAAATTCGCAAGCAATATTATTCCAACTTTTGATTTGCAGCTCATTTGCTTATAAACAAATAAACATTATGATATTTAATCAATTTTACCCAACTTTACTCATCAAAAAATACAATGATTGATAAAAAAATAGCTTAAAATACTCGAAGACATTTTAAAGCTTATATATCGATAAAAAAAAATTTGTATTTGAATCTTTTTCTGGAAAGCTAGTATTTTGATAACAAACAAAAACAAAAGTAGTATGATAAAATGTCTTCAACAAGCAAAAGCAAGCAAACAAAAAAGAAATTTATAGTCATTAATTATTGTGAACATGGTATAGCTTATGAGATGATAAATGAAAAATATATGCATCCTTATGAAACAAAAAATATTTCTACATTAATTCATACTTTTTACATTGTGCCTATTATCATCAACAAACACCAAGCAGCCAACATAAGGCTTCTTAATTTTTTATTCGTTATTTATTTTTATAGAATCTCCATTATTTGTTATTAACATCGACCGATTGATTTTTTATATGTTTATTTCTACATAATTTTCGTTTTCTTCATTTTATTTTAGTGGGTTGATTCTAATGCTGACGAGGTAAATAACCCAAGCCAAAACAAAAAAAAAATGATTAGGTTTAAATTTTCCTTTCTTATTGGTTCTAATCAGTTCTTATACTTTTTGCTCATTTTTGATTATATTAATGGGAAACAGATTAATTGTCAGCGCATAGCTGCAGCTTTTAACCTTCCACTTTAATCTTTAGAAAAAAAAATTGTAGTCTAATATGAATGATCTCATAATTTAAAATCGACGTTGTTTTGACCTTTTGTTGTGCCTATTTGGTCTGAAAAGTATTTTTGTGTGCGCGTTAATCGACGACAAGTTTCTCTTCATCACTTCCTTTATATTTCATTTCTGATTTATTTATTTTTCGCAAAAAACAAATAAGCAAGCAACTAAGTGATTGTTTTCATGTGATCAAATGACTGTTTGTGAGAAAGTGAATGAGAAGAATGAGATTTTTAGCGACAATATTTTTTTAGATTGACCCATTATAGGCACAATAATTAGATGTCAAAGTAATGTATAGCTAGTTAATTATACTAAAACTTATAAATTAAGATCTTATTAATATTTTATTAACATATTAAATTTTCTGGTGTATGGTTAATTAAAGTATCAAATCGCTAACAATCTTTTGCAACTTATATTTGTAAAATAATACCACAGAGAAAGAAATAATATTTGGTGCCTTGGCTTATACACATAATTATCTCTAGATTTAATTCCTTACTCTTATAAAATTGATCAAAAACAAATTTGTCGCTAATAATGAAATTCTTCTTCTTTCATATCTTCTCGCTCTTTATTGTGGATAATGTGAATTTGTGATAATGATTAATAATAGTGGGTAGCTGAAGGCTCGCCGACCCATTCAACGCCAGTTAAAATTGACAATGCCTTACAATTTGTTCCATCAAATACAAATCCTAGAGAATTCAAGAGAATTCAACAGCAGGTATTATCTCGTTATCTAATTACTCTCGAGATTTTGTTGAACTTAAAAATCTGATTTGTTTGTAGATCAAGGAGAATCGACGTGCAGACAAGATTTCTGCTGGACCACAATCGCACATTTTGGAAGGTGTTACATGGGATGAAGCTAATCGCTTGAAGGATGCAAATGTTTCCAAGACAGGAGACCATGTTGTATTGATGGGTGCTGCATCAAAGGGAATTATTCAACGCGGGTATCAACATAATGCTACAGTTTATAAGGCACCTTATGCTAAGAATCCATTCGATTCAGTCACTGATGATGAGTTGAAAGAATATAAGCGTACTGTTGAAAGAAAACGAGCTGGAGATTGTAAATATAATCTTTTGCCTCTTTAATGTCGATTCTAATTATAATAATCTCTGTTTGCAGACACAGACACTGATTTCTCAGAATCAGAAGCATTCAGTTCACTTCAAATTTCTGGACAAGTCAAGAGTCCGCCAATGAGCCCGCCCGTCCAATCGGAATCAGGTAACCAATTGACATTCTTATACTGTATAATACAAATACTAATGACGATTGATTTATTGTAGAACACGTTGTAATGAGAATAGAAACGAAGCAAGCTCCAATTCCCAGTCAACCAGAAGTAGTTCTCAGTGATGGTAAGTCAAATCTTTTTATGTTGTTTGCCTTAATAATGTGCTAATTTTGAGTAGACAGATTAAAAAAATACTTATTGGCTTCAAATGTGTGAATTATTTTTCTTATATATTAAACATAAAAAATTTTTGTGCAGCAACAAAAAAAAGGTGTGAAACGACACATGCTCATAATTTTCCTTATTTTCCCTATTTATCACAAACACACAATTTTAAACCCTCACCAAACCAAATCAATGGATGGATGTGTAACTCGCAGCTGTGAGTTGTAGAAGCACATTCGTTTCCATCAAATAGGAAACTGTCTGTATATAAAAATGCAAAAACTCTATAAAGTAATTTTATTTTGTTCCTATCCAAAAATTTGTCTTCGTGGTGAGTTTGACATTTTTTTAAGCTCTAAAAACAAAATTATGACAAAAAATATATTGCATCATTAAAGACAGAAAAAAATGCATGAAACGAAATTCCAGTCAGTTCCGAATTAATACATATTTTTGATTAGTTTTAGCTATGTAGCTCTCCTGTTTATTAGTTAAAATTTTGTTTTCTGTTTTTGTTTGTACTTTTTTTGTGTAGCAAATGATGATTTTATTAATATGGAACGAAATGCAAGTGCCCCAATGAAAGGTAAATTCCTTATTTCTGTTCCTTGTTATCTATCTCATGATTTCATTTTTATTTTGCTAATACTAACATGTTGCTAATGCTTATTCCTTTATAATTAGACTTCTGTTTCCTATCCTTTCATCTTTCTTTGATTATTCTTTTAAGGAGTCATTTACACGTGATGTCTATGATTGGGTATTTAGATGCGAATATTGAATAATGTGTATTTAATAGACATCTCATGTAAATGACTACTACATCCATTTATTTTCCATCAATGTATTAACGATCATGAAAACGTTTGATTACCAAATGTCTGGCATCTGAATTTTACAACCTAGTAGTGAGAACAAAATTTAAAATTATTTCGTAAATCCGCTCGTGGTCATAATAAAATATAAAAAGATAAAATTGAAGAAGACAAATATTTTATTGCTACCACGTATTCTGTGCATCTAGTTAAATTAATTTTCGCTCATTTGGACACACACAAATTTTAATTTCCTTAGTCTCACTGATATTTATAATTATACTTTTGCAAAAAGAAAAAACAAAAGAAGGTAACTGCACGCTTGTGATTGAATAACATTTAAATTAGCCGATTTTTATTGTTTTCTTTTAATTCATTATTCAGTGCAGCCATACATGATGTGATAGTAGAATCATATTTCAAATTGATTAATTAATTTCAATATATTCCATTTCTTAAACAGGCGAAAATGTTCAAAACGGAGATCATTCAGAAACACAAAATTTGAGTACATTTTCACATAGTAGTAAAGAAGTAAGGATCAAGTCATATATAGGCTTTATGATTGCAATAATGAATGTCATTCTTTATAGCAGGATATTTCAACAGATGGATCACCGAAAAAAGACAAAAAGAAGAAGCGTGGATTGAGAACCCCATCATTTTTAAAGAAAAAGAAAGAAAAGAAGAAGATTGAAGCTTAAGTTCCTTAAAATTCAATTCACACACACACACACCGAGAGACAAACAATTCGTAAATATTTAGAGCCGCAGCTTCCCAATTTATATCAAACAAGCAAAGTTCTTATCAAAAAAAGCTCCTCAAATCATCCTTCAGAAAAAGTCTTTTTTTTTATAATAAACAACAACAACAACCACACTTATTATGTCAGTCAGCGCATCATCAAATGGATGAAGTCATTTTCTAAGAATCAAATTCTACAAACACACCCACACATACATATATTATATATATTTCCTTTATTTTCTCTCTCATGCAACAGAAGAAGAAAGAAATTTAAACATTTATCGCCCAGCTATACTTAGTTTTAAGTGTCACGCTTTCAAATATCGACATTTTTTTCTGTAATTCATTCTATGAAATGAGGAGGAAAAACAAAAAACTTTTCATTTTAGTAATTTTTAACGATTTTATTTCCTACAAAACGATATGTTCTTTTTTGAGAGAAACGATGTGAAACTTAACGTACAGATATAGGCATGACATTTGGAAGAAGCAATGTTGGATCATGTCTTTACATAGCGGAAGAAATAATCTGCAAAAAAGAAAATTTTTACTCAATTTAACGATTTTGTGCGTAAGATTAAAGCAAAGATAAAAAGTTGTTAATGGACCATCTAGTTAAGTTGTCAAACAAAAAAAATTAAAAAAGAGAGTATAAGGCAATCGATTTTAATTTATATATTGTATATCTAATTGTATTACATTTAAAGTGCTCCAATCTGTTAGTAGCCAAATGAAATGATAGAGACAAACAAATCAAGTTTAGATACAAACTGCCATCATCATCATTATTCATATTCTTACGTTTAAATGACTAACATTTTTTTTAGATAAAAACCACCTCAAAATAAATGAAAAAAAAAATATAGCGAGAAGATAAACAAAGGGTTTAAGAAAAGTTATGAATTACAGTCTAATATATTGAGGATGATAATTATGAGAAACAAAAAGCAAAATAATGGAGATATTAAACATTTGCAATATTCTTTCCATCGTTTTATTATTTTAATTTTTTAAAAAAAACTATTTTGACATTTTTTTTTTGTTTTAAGCATTATTTAAAAATAATTTTCGTGAAACTTGAAACGCACTTTGAAAGAGAAAAGTTTAAAAAAATAAAAAGCAAAAATTCATTATTCTTTTTTGTAAACACTTTTGTTCCTTTATTTTATTCATTGTGTACGCTTCTGTATGTTTTGTGCTCTTCTATCATCTATCCATCTCTAGCGTGAAAGCTAGTTCCCCTAAAATTACCTCCAATTTCAATCCAACGAGTTTACCTTATATCTTAGGATTTAACTCATCTTAAAACAAGGATTTAATTTCTTAATCCTTGGCAAATGACTGATGGACAAATGACACATATATTCCTTACTTCCACACGAAAAAGTATTCAAAAGTAAACTATTCCACATAGTCTGCGAAATTGCGGCTAAGATAATCATTGAAATGTAAACTTCCGATAGAAACAAGCAGATTCAATAGAAGCCTACACAAAGTTTTTGTGTTTTATTTATCATTTTACATGCTTTTTTCTTTTCCTCAAATATACTGCCAATGTAAGAGAACGAGAACATCTGAAGGATTAATATAAAGAATTAAGGCTTTTTGCTGTTTGTTCGTAGTGCATTTATGATAAAAAAAGCTTTTGAAAGAAAAACTGCCATCAACCTTTTTCTCGATGTACTCAAATTTTTCACGTTTCATCTTCATTTAATTTTCACCACGTTTTGCAGTTTCAAATCAGTTGCTAGCCAAAGTCTAGCATGTGATTTGAAGCTGTGACTTCTAAAAGATTTAAAGCATAATGAATAATAACAAAGTAAATTAAATATAGCATGTACTTCTGCAAATGAGTGAATGAGAATATAATGAGTACATAAAAAAAAATGCTATTGAATGAATGTAAATAAATATTTAAATTTAAAATAGCCATAAAGTCATACAAAAATGTGCTTTTCAAATTAGCATCGCGAATGAAATGTTTTCGCGTACTTAACAATAAAAACGAAAAAAAAAATTAAGGTAAACAAACCTCTTATTAATTTTCTCTGATTAATAATGATCAAATCCTTCTATCAAAAGAGAGTTTACGGGCTTTCACTTTACTTCTTAGGATCAAAAAAAAAACTTAATAAAATTTAAAACAAGCTTAGTCACGGTAAATGAGCATTCTAATTATTATTTTCGAGTGTAATACGTTGATTTTTATGCTATTGTTCATGATTCAGCATGATTTTTTTTTTACAAAAAATATTGGATATAAGGAAGATATTGCTTATTTGAAAGGTTCTATGAGAAATTTATATAAAAAGTATATTTATAAGAGAAAAAATGAATTATTTTTGGAAGCTTAAGAATTGGAAATTCTATAATTTGCTTAATCATTATTAAATAGTAAATTCTAGTGTCTATATTCACCGCATAAACAGCGAAAACATTAATATTAATTAATTTTCTGTGATAAAAAATTCGACAGAAGATGATAGAGATGTGGATATAGCACAGAGATTTTTCATTTCCTTTATATGCTTTAATGTCAGTTCACATACATCTTTTTTCAATAAAAATAAACGTTGACATTTAATATAATTAACTCTTGAGCTTTTTACTTAATTTAAATTTGTTACAGAGCTCTATTTTTAAAATAATTAAGTTTCATTAAATAACGGTTTTTATATTCACACCGTTTTTACGTGTGAATCTATTGGTTTTGTTCAGATTAAAAAATCATTTTTTCGCATTTTGTGAGAAAACAAAGCAAAATTGGTTATAAAAGGTCCGAGAAAAAAAGTTTGTGCCAGAAATTTCACATCTTCTGCAAAAAAACAGATCTCAAATTGGTTGTGGCATTGCTGAGAAAATCGCAAAATACGCTTTCTGTAAGCAAGCAAACAAGCATGCAAGAAATCTCAATAACGAGACATCGGAGAGACTTCTAGTTTTCTACATTTGATCCGTGCTGCTCTATAGAAGAGCTGTATTGTTTTTGGGCAAGGTAGGAACAGCCGTTGCTTCAGAAAAAGCAAAAAACTCCTTTCTTACGAATTTTTTAAAACAAAAGTTGACTGTGATTTTTATAAAATTCAACTCTGGATGAAATTTTTTTTTAAAAAACTTTTAAAGAATGTTTATTAAGCTTTACACCTTTATAAATATGCTGAGCAAAGCTCAGCTGACTTGCTAGCTTTACATCGTGAGCGTGAAGTACGGCCGAGACCCATATCGATACAGTTCAAAAGTTATACCTAATTTATGTCATAATTATGTCAGCTACAAAAACACTTAGTTTGAATTTTGTCACCCTCGGGAACACTGTGAACCAGTATAGCTGATTTTGGTCCAAATCTCGGCCATACTTCACACTTATTTGAACCACATTTTCTCGTAAATGTTAAAATATTATTAAAAAGTAATTAATCCTGAATTATTACTTGACTATAGGCGACCCTAGTCAAAATCAATTTTGTCACTTTTTTCTTCGAGGGTTTATCCAAATGGATTGAAACTTTGCATAAATATTTTAGTGCTTAAAACAAATACAAATAAAACATCTTAAAAATTTTGAGCAAAGAACCAAGTAGGAAATACATTTTCAATTTTGGACTAGGGGCGACCCTAGTCAATATCAATTTTGTCACTTTTTTCTTCGAGGGTTTATCCAAATGGATTGAAACTTTGCATAAATATTCTAGTGCTTAAAACAAATACAAATAAAACATCTTAAATTATTTTTTTGAGCAAAGAACCAAGTAGGAAATACATTTTCAGTTTTGGACTAGGGGCGACCCTAGTCAAAATCAATTTCGTCACTTTTTTCTTCGAGGGTTTATCCAAATGGATTGAAACTTTGCATTAATATTCTAATGCTTAAAACAAATACAAATAAAACATCTTAAATTTTTTTGAACAAAGAACCAAGTAGGAAATACATTTTCAATTTTGGACTAGGGGCGACCCTAATCAAAATCAATTTCGTCACTTTTTTCTTCGAGGGTTTATCCAAATGGATTGAAACTTTGCATAAATAATCTAGTGCTTAAAACAAATACAAATAAAACATCCCAAAATTTTTTTGAACAAAGAACCAAGTAGGAAATACATTTTCAATTTTGGACTAGGGGCGACCCTAGTCAAAATCAATTTTGTCACTTTTTTCTTCGAGGGTTTATCCAAATGGATTGAAACTTTGCATAAATATTCTAATGCTTAAAACAAATACAAATAAAACATCTTAAATTTTTTTGAACAAAGAACCAAGTAGGAAATACATTTTCAATTTTGGACTAGGGGCGACCCTAGTCAAAATCAATTTTGTCACTTTTTTCTTTGAGGGTTTATCCAAATGGATTGAAACTTTGCATAAATATTTTAGTGCTTAAAACAAATACAAATAAAACATCCCAAAATTATTTTGAGCAAAGAACCAAGTAGGAAATACATTTTCAATTTTGGACTAGAAGCGACCCTAGTCAAAATCAATTTTGTCACTTTTTTCTTTGAGGGTTTATCCAAATGGATTGAAACTTTGCATAAATATTTTAGTGCTTAAAACAAATACAAATAAAACATCCCAAAATTATTTTGAGCAAAGAACCAAGTAGGAAATACATTTTCAATTTTGGACTAGAAGCGACCCTAGTCAAAATCAATTTTGTCACTTTTTTCTTCGAGGGTTTATCCAAATGGATTGAAACTTTGCATAAATATTCTAATGCTTAAAACAAATACAAATAAATCATCTTAAAATTATTTGAACGAAGAACCAAGTAGGAAATACATTTTCAATTTTGGACTAGAAGCGACCCTAGTCAAAATCAATTTTGTCACTTTTTTCTTCGAGGGTTTATCCAAATGGATTGAAACTTTGCATAAATATTTTAATGCTTAAAACAAATACAAATAAATCATCTTAAAATTATTTTGAACAAAGAACCAAGTAGGAAATACATTTTCAATTTTGGACTAGGGGCGATCCTAGTCAATATCAATTTTGTCACTTTTTTCTTCGAGGGTTTATCCAAATGGATTGAAACTTTGCATAAATATTTTAATGCTTAAAACAAATACAAATAAATCATCTTAAAATTATTTTGAACAAAGAACCAAGTAGGAAATAAATTTCCATTTTTGGACTAGGGGCGACCCTAGTCAAAATCAATTTCGTCACTTTTAACTTCGAGGGTTTATCCAAATGGATTGAAACTTTGCATAAATATTCTAGTGCTTAAAACAAATACAAATAAAACATCCCAAAAATTTTTTGAGCAAAGAACCAAGTAGGAAATACATTTTCAATTTAGGACTAGGGGCGACCCTAGTCAAAATCAATTTTGTCACTTTTTTCTTCGAGGGTTTATCCAAATGGATTGAAACTTTGCATAAATATTCTAAAGCTTAAAACAAATACAAATAAAACATCTTAAAATTTTTTTGAACAAAGAACCAAATAGGAAATACATTTTCAATTTTGGACTAGGGGCGACCCTAGTCAAAATCAATTTTGTCACTTTTTTCTTCGAGGGTTTATCCAAATGGATTGAAACTTTGCATAAATATTCTAATGCTTAAAACAATACAAATAAAACATCTTAAAATTTTTGAGCAAAGAACCAAGTAGGAAATAAATTTTCAATTTTGGACTAGGGGCGACCCTAGTCAAAATCAATTTTGTCACTTTTTTCTTCGAGGGTTTATCCAAATGGATTGAAACTTTGCATTAATATTCTAGTACTTAAAACAAATACAAATAAAACATCCTAAAATTTTTTTGAGCAAAGATCCAAGTAGGAAATACATTTTCAATTTTGGAGTAGGGGCGACCCTAGTCAATATCAATTTTGTCACTGTTTTCTTCGAGGGTTTATCCAAATGGATTGAAACTTTGCATAAATATTCTAATGCTTAAAATAATACAAATAAAACATCCTAAAATTTTTTTGAGCAAAGAACTAAGTAGGAAATACATTTTCAATTTTGGACTAGGGGCGACCCTAGTCAAAATCAATTTTGTCACTTTTTTCTTCGAGGGTTTATCCAAATGGATTGAAACTTTGCATAAATATTCTAAAGCTTAAAACAAATATAAATAAAACATCTTAAAATTTTTTTGAGCAAAGAACCAAGTAGGAAATATATTTTCAATTTTGGACTAGGAGCGACCCTAGTCAAAATCAATTTTGTCACTTTTTTCTTTGAGGGTTTATCCAAATGGATTGAAACTTTGCATAAATATTCAAGTGCTTAAAACAAATACAAATGAAACATCCAAAAATTTTTTTGAGCAAAGAACCAACAAGGAAATACATTTTCAATTTTGGACTAGGGGCGACCATAGTCAAAATCATTTTTGTCACTTTTTTCTTTGAGGGTTTATCCAAATGGATTGAAACTTTGCACAAATATTCTAGTGCTTAAAACGAATATAAATAAAACATCTTAAAATTTTTTTGAGCAAAGAACCAAGTAGGAAATATATTTTCAATTTTGGACTAGGAGCGACCCTAGTCAAAATCAATTTTGTCACTTTTTTCTTTGAGGGTTTATCCAAATGGATTGAAACTTTGCATAAATATTCAAGTGCTTAAAACAAATACAAATAAAACATCCAAAAATTTTTTTGAGCAAAGAACCAAGTAGGAAATACATTTTTAATTTTGGACTAGGGGCGACCCTAGTCAAAATCAATTTTGTCACTTTTTTCTTCGAGGGTTTATCCAAATGGATTGAAACTTTGCATAAATATTCTAGTGCTTAAAACAAATACAAATAAAACATCCTAAAATTTTTTTGAGCAAAGAATCAAGAAGGAAATACATTTTCAATTATGAACTTGGGACAGGTCTAGTCAAAATCTAGTTTCCTTCTTGGTTCTTTGCTCAAAAAATTTTTTGGATGTTTTATTTGAATTGACATAATTCTGACATAAATCATCTGAATTTTGTTCATACTCTTCACTGTGGAAACCAAAAAAAAAATTCTTTATCTTAAAACACTTGACAAAATAGCAACATAATTCAGGATTAATTACTTTTTAATAATATTTTAACATTTACGAGAAAATGTGGTTCAAATAAGTGTGAAGTATGGCCGAGATTTGGACCAAAATCAGCTATACTGGTTCACAGTGTTCCCGAGGGTGACAAAATTCAAACTAAGTGTTTTTGTAGCTGACATAATTATGACATAAATTAGGTATAACTTTTGAACTGTGTCGATATGGGTCTCGTCCGTACTTCACGCCCACCCTTCAAACTTATGCTGAGCAAATCTTGGTCTACCATAAGACTTTTGATGGTACGGTATGAATATATCCGCATTGGGTTTTTACCCGATGCACTAGTTAAAAATTTGAATTTTGTGTACCGATGTCTTACTTTTTGATCAAAGTAGTCAGTCGCTGAACTATGTTTGCGGTTGCATACATTCCATTTAAGTTCAGAAAATAGCAAGTAAGTCTCATCATTTTTAATTAAGGCTGTAAGTACTGAGGAACAGTAAGCTGTTCCTTTCAAAAAATGAGCACTCATTAATCAAAATTGCAAGCATTATAACAACTAAAGATAAGAAGAAGTACCAAATTTAAGCTCGCATGGTGAAGTTTCATGATTTTGCAGAATCAAAAATTCTTGGATTAAAACTTAAATCGTCAGGATTAACTTAATACTTCATAAATGTATTTAGGAAGTTTTCTTTTTGCTTGCGTTTTAAAAACTCTTTTTGAGTTAGCAACAGAACAGCAGCTCGTGTACCGCCGTGTTTATGAAAAAAATGGCAATGACGTTTCTTTTTATAATCACGTTCAACGATCTGAAGGCTTTTGAACTTTTCAACAATACCACGAGAATTGTTTTTAATATTGAATATCTTATCATTGTAGCACTTTCTGCATAGGATAGACCGTGACTTTTTCCAATAGACATTATCCGGTGCAGATTCACAAATGCTGCATTTTGAGTCTATATTCTTCGGAGAACAGACAATGTCGTAAGCATTAAGAATTAATATCTTTCCACCAAATGAGTACTTAATGTTTTCATATTTCTTATTGGAATCGAATGGGGTATATGAACATGATGGGATGTCATTAACTACAATATCTCGAGTAATTATCAAATTTCTTGGACTAGAACTATTAAATGGAGCTTTTGTTGGCTTTTCAGTTTGCTGAATTTCTTGAACTTTTTTTTTACGTCTATATCCTTGTGATGCATCCATTGCTAATATTTCCTGAAATCTTGGAACTTTTGATGCAAAAATCGCATTTAATTTCTGATCCTTGTGATTCAAAATTTGTTCATCTTCAGCCTTTTTGTCATCCTTAAAGTACGAAGTCGGTTCTGGAAAATTTTCCTTAAAGCACCTCCTCATAAATGAGTTGACAGTCTTGTCTTCAGCAAATAAGTAATTTTGTCTAGACTTTGATGATCCAAAAACTGCTTGATTTCCTCTCTCGTTAGGAACTTTGACATATTCAAAATCAATTTTGTTACATCTTTCAATAATCAATTGCAGTTCCTGACGCTTTTCACGCTGGAAAATTCTCGCCTTCTTCGATTCCTCCTCATTATAGACTGTATTCATAGTCAAGTGAGTGATTTTAAGCACTTTAATTAACCACCACAATGATAAACTTTTTCAACACCAAAAAAAAACTTTTTAAGCCTTTCCTGCCTGACGATTTCTCACAGAATGCTTATTTGTACAGCATAAAGTTTTATGTAGGTACATAATTTTTTACATGCTATGACAATAATAATTTCCTCTTTTGTTCCAATTTTTCAGGAACAAGAATTATTAATATAAGGAAATATATATGATAAAAGGATTGTCTTTGTATATCGCGTGACGAGTCACGCTCATTATTAGTATTAAGAAAAATGAAAGTTTATTTCTAGATCCACGACATTTTTTCTCCACTCCTACCCCATTTCATAAAAGCTCTATCGATACACTTGTTCCCAATTGATAATGATGGAAAAATTTACCGATTTTGGCAGTAAGCTAATAGACGTCGATTATTGATAATAATACACTGAAAATAGAACTAAATGAACAGTGACATTTTTCCTCAACCATAACTTTTATTAAAATACGTAATCTTTTCAGGATATCTACAACTTACTTTCATACTATGAACCTATAAGGCTTAAGTCAATATTAAGGAAAAGATTCGTTGGATAAAACTGTTAATAATTTGGGGTTTATGAAATAGTTGTACATTAATCGTTTTGTTTATGAATGATTCATCATCATTACGTTCTTTTCTTGCTATCAATGTCTACATAATAATAATAATGACAAACAAAAGATAACTGGATTGATAAGGAACAACTCAATTTATAATAAAATAAAAAAAGAAAACTGTTGGACACAAACATATGAGAACTATGAGATAAAATAGGTACACATTATCATCAATACAAATACAAAAAAGTTCTTAAAAATTAATTTTAAATGGATATCAATCCATTGCTTCGTACCGAAGCGCACAAATTTTGATTTACCACACTTTTTTTAATCTTATCAAAAGATACTTTAAACATGCTGTGTTGTATATTGACCACACTTACAATTTCATGAACTTAAGACACTGCAATCGATTGTAAATTGTTGAATTGATGGACATTCTTAGCCACTATTAATTCCATTCCAACATCATCGTCCACAATAAAGCTAGGAACAATCAGTAGTGGAGGTTTCTTCTTATTTTTTTCTGGAAGCAAAAGTGACAATGCTTCTATGGCTTCAACATTTCCATAAGTTGCAGCTTTCTCAAAATATGATTTAGCTTTCTTAAAGCTCTTTTTGGCACCCCCGAGACCTCTTGCGAAATAAACTCCCATATTATAAAGTGCCTTATCATGTCCTTGATCACTAGCAATTTGGTAAAGTTTCATGGCAATTTCCAAATCTTTCTTGACACCTAATCCTTGCTCATAGAGTAAGGCAAGATTGTAGCAAGCACTAGCATTATTTGATGATGAGCTCATTCGAAAATGTTCAACTGCCTCCTTATAATCACCATGCAAGGCAGATTCGACACCCATTTGAAATTCCAGCTCACCAATCATCTCTGAAAGATTTGTCATAATCTCGTTAATTGCTTCATCTTCACTTTTTTGTTGCTGTGGATCAGCACTTAAGTCACTTTTCACATTATCATTATTTTTATTAATAGTATCGGCACTTGTTGATTCTTTGTATTCTTTGGGTTTCAAAAGCGTATCGTCATTATTAACGTTGTAAAATACTTTTCTATGTCCACCAATTGTCAAATCATCGTCTGCCTTAAAGAACTGTTCAAAACGTCTGTCAAATAGATTTAAACTTGAAAATTCCTCAGTGAAAGCTTTGAACTCATCGTCCGTTTTTGGAAATTGATGATGCTTCTCACCAGCTTCTTTCTTAGCTCTTTTCTCTTGTATTTTACGCTTTAGTGGACATCCAGAGAACTTGAAACTTTTATTATGAGATCGATTTTGTGCTTTGGCTTGCTCAATACACAAAAGTTTGCGATGTAATAATTTGTTTTTATGCTGCAAATATCGTCCATAAAAAGACTTTTTCGGATCAAAATGTTGATTGCGACGATACAGACAAAGAAGTTGTGACGCATAAAAACCAGCAATTAGAGCTGTACTCTGTTGATAAAATAAATAAAAAAAAAAACAGGCATTAGAATAAGAAGATGAACAACATCAACATACATTGCGAGTAAAGAAAATATATTTTCAAAAATATAATCAAGGTCAAATTTCTGGCACATCATGATTATTTACATACCCAAGTGATAGCATGTAAAAAAGGATTACAGCTATTTGGATGTTTGTAGTTGTATTTCTTCTTAAAATCATCATAATTGGCTCGTTGCGACGATGGAACCAAGAAGTTAACTTCTTGATGATGTAGAACCGAATTATTTTGTTTTGGTTGTTGGATGTCATTATTTTGATAATTATGCGTCTTACTTAATGTCTGCGTACACGCAAAGTTCTTTCTGACATTAAAGCCAAACTCGATAGTATCTTTGAACCTCTTGAAAACATATCTATACATCTAATATAGTATAATTGATCAACAAAAAAATATTATTGAGTTTTCACAACTTTTTCCCGGGTGCTATCTTCAAGTTTTGTCACACGCTTGATTTGATTATAATTTGAAAATTCAATTACCGTTAACTTTCTTAACGGATCTTTTTTATTTGAATTTATTTCTCACTCAAAAAAACACAACATTGCTCGAAAAATGCTCGATACGGACTTTCTGAAGTTTAGTTCTTTAAAAGTTTTTGATTGCGTCAAAGATAACTTGCCGGATGATGCGAGAGAAATTGCAGAAGTGTATGAAGACTTGCTGTTTGTCTGGAATTTTAAAAATAATAATATCAAAGTTGTGAATTGGAGAGCGACACAAACATCCAGTAATACAAAGAAAGAAATTAAGCATCAAGTAAGGCGTTTTAATAGCTCAAACTAATCAAAATTGTGTTAATATTATAATCTATCATTCTAGCTATTAATACCATCTTCAATTCCAAACTTTTCTGTATCAAAAATCGCTGTATCCTTTGGAGGTTCTTATGTGTCAATCAGCGGCAAACATGGGTTATCAATTTTGGAACTTCCTCATCGTTTCGGAACTGAAGGAATCTATCAAGATGGAAAGCAACAAATAACATGTAAAACAAGCAACATCCACGAGCATTCAATGTCTCAATTGGAAGTAATTCAAGCAAAATGGCATCCAAACTCCCCAACAGATTCTCATCTTCTTGTTTTACTGTCTGATAATACATTGAGAGTGTATGACGAAGGAGTTTTAAAGCATATTTGGCGAATCGGACCTTTACCAAATCAAACTGATAACAATTTATCTTATTTAAAGAGTCTTGGATATACTGCAATTGATTTTGATATTGGAACTCCACAAGTAAGCAGCACAGAGTCGCAAAACAATACAACGCTTGATCAAAGTTATCAAGATTCATCAGTCTTTTCGATTCCAAAGCGAAATGTTGATCAGAAAAAGGTTGAATGGGTAATTATAATATTGAGAGGAAATGGTACTATTTATATTATGAATGCTGGTTTAAATACTGAAAAACCTCGCTTGCAAGGTCCGATAACAATGACTCCTTCACAAAAAGATAACTATGGAGATGATTCATGCTCATTACTAGTGATACCAACTAATCCAATGACAATTGTTATAGCTGAAAATTCAGGCATTTTACATCATGCATTATTAATTGAAAATCCAAACACAGAAATGTCATTAAATGAAACTAAGACAGTCTTACAAAATGATTGGACTTTATATGTCATGGAAAACATTGAATTAGAATTAGGACTTCAAAATGATGATAAATCGGATACTACTTCATGCCCAATATATTTGAAACGTGATCTAGTCAATGAACAGAGATATTTTTGCTATCATGATACTGGATTACATGGCATAACAATTGGTTTTGTACAGAAGCTTCAAAATTATTTAGAAGATCAAGACAATGAACAGGATTTGAGCTTAAACGTTCCATCCAGAGCTGAGTATATATTGAGCACTAAAGCATTTAATAATTCGAAAGTAAATGCAATTGTTGGATTCGGAATTTTACAGCTACCTTCAGGAATTTTTGCAGTAATGAGTAGTGGTCAAGTTGTAAGTTTAAATACTGTAAAAACAATGTTGCCATTAGTGACTGATTTGAACATTCAAGCACCGAGATTACAAGATATGAAAATAGTTGATGATCAGCTTAACAAAGTACCATTTGATCAACATATTCGAGCACTTTTAAAATCTGATGTGTCACAGCCAATTTTACAATTGGATAAAACTAAGCCTCCATCATCTCAGCAAACCTTCCAGTTATTAATGAATACATTACAAATAATGAGAGAAAAGCAGTTTGCAAGGCACGATAAAGTTCGACAAGAAATTAGCAAGAGAATTAAAATTTTGGAACTAATGAAGCACCAACAAAAGGATGAAATTGGAGAACTTTTGAAAAGTAAAGAACAGATCCAAGAGAAGGCTTATAAATTGGCTGACATGCATGAAGATATTATGGAAAAGCAGCAAAACCTACAGAAAAGAATACAAGATATTTCTCGTCTAGCATCATTAAAAGTTCCTGCTGTCAATGAAAAAGAATTTATCGATACAATCAAGAATTATAAAGGAATAATTGATAAATTAGCATCGGACGTTAAGCAAATTAAGGCAAAAGATGAGGTCCAGAAGAATGCTCTTGACAATTATACCAAAACTAACGAGGAAAGCATCAAGACTTCATTACCACCAAAACAGGAAGAAACTATTAAAGAATTTCTTAATGACATGATGCGTCAAATTCAAGGACTTAAATCGGATGTCCACAAGATTCATTCTGTAGTTGATTATTAACTTTATTGTATGCAAACTTTATACTTAAGAAATAAATTTCCTTTTTTGGTTGAAAATTACAAGTTACAACAGACATTTAAAGCACGTGCAGTAAATCCAAAAAGACGGCAAGACTATGATCAAAAATTAAATTTTTTTATTATTTTCAATTTTATAACTCATTTACAGAATAAATCTATTAATCTTCATCGCTTTCACTTCCACTGCCATCGTCACTTCCTTTGCCTGAATGTTTATCATCGTCGGATCCTGAATGATTATCATTCTTTGCATTATCGTTGCCTCCTTCCTCGTCTGAATCATTAAGTGCCTTTAATGGTTTAGATTTATCCTTTTTCTTTTTTCTGGCATCAAAATCAGATCCATCAGAACCATCATCATCCTCGTCACTTGAATAAATTGGCTTATTGTCGACACTCCCTTTCTTATATTTATTCTTAATAGCAGCAATGGAAATGCCACCTTCGTCCTCTGATCCTTCATCATTTTCATAACCAGCTGTACCAGGCATTCTCTTTGTACGTTTTGATGCTTTGGCAGGTTTTCGTTGCCGCATAACTTGACGTAAGGATTCTTCCTCTTTCTTAATATTTTCAGCACGAAATTGATCTGGATCTTGGCCAACTTGTGAGAGAATTTTAATGCCAGATGTTTTCTGAGAGCGATCAGCAAGTGACATAGTCATTTTTTTGTGTGTAAATGAATCTGTTGAATGTGGTCTAAATGTAAGTTTTGTTCTAAATACGGCTTGACCTTGCAATCCAGTTCCTTGACGAATGAACAAATGGTTATGGTCATTTTGTAACGGCTGCTTATAGACATCAAATATTTCAGAACCCAAATGTAGACTAAGTGATCCATCTGACCATCGAACAAATCGTGCATTCGATTCCTGAACAGTTTCTCCTTGATTATTAATAAATTTTCGCCAACGAATTGTATTACCAACTTTCAATTTTAATCGCTGTCTACCTTCTTCGTCTAATGTCTCTTCCTCGTCAATTTCATCCTCGTAAGTATCTTGATCAAATGGACGTGTATCTACAGATAAGAAATTTGGAAGCTTTACAAAATGAATATCCTTTCCTAAATCTGATACAATTCTTGGAATTTCAACATCAATTCTAGTTTCTGGGATTGGTGTACGCTCTTTTTCTTCAGTTTTTGCACGATCATCACGGCTACGACTGCGAGACCTTGATCGACGCATAGAGTCGTCACTTCCACTTCTTTTTATACGATCTGACTCTTTGTCAGAATCATCATCTTTATCACTTTTATCACTTTTTGCATCATCGTCTGTACTAATATCATCAGCGTCACCAAACAAGGAATTAACATTCTTTCCATCCTTTTCCTCTTGCTTTTTATTATCGATATCAGAATCATCACTATCAGTGTCAATCAATTTACTTCGTTTTTGTGGTGTTTCCTTCTTTTTTTCACCATCAGACTCAGAATCTGATATTATTTTCCTTTTTCTCGTACCAATTTCCTCTGATTCTTGTGACGCACTTCGAGACTTTTGTGGACTTCTACTTTTAGACTTTCCTGGACTTTCACTTCTAGACTTTTCTGGTGTTTTTGGTCTACTGTCTGGTGAACGACTTTTAGACTTTTGAGGGGATCCAGAACGAGACTTTTGAGGTGATCCAGAACGAGACTTTTGAGGTGATCCAGAACGAGACTTTTGAGGTGATCCACTACGTGACTTTTGAGGGGATCCACTACGTGACTTTTGAGGAGATCCACTATGTGATTTCTGTATGCTTCTACTTCTGGATGTTTGTGGAGATCCACTACGGGATTTTTGTACACTACTGGATCTTTGTGGACTACCAGTATTCGAACGACTGCTTCTTCTAGATCCACTTTTTGATCGACTGCTTTTTCTGGACACACTTTTCGATTGACTGCGACTTTTCGAACGACTTTGACTTCTGGATCCACTTTTTGACCGATTACTACCACTTTCAGAGCCACTTCCACTCCTACTGCCACTTTTGGACCGACTACGGCTTCTAGATGGACTTCTTGAGCCCGAACCATTACTTTTTGATGAGCTTCTGGATCTCGAGCCTGACGATTTTTCTGAACCTATAAAGATTTTCGTCAACACTGAAAACCAACAGTATTTAGTATAATCTGAAGCATTTATTACCTGAATCTGAATGTTCTTCTACCATCTTGAATGATTTTACAATTTAATTTAAGTAATTTAACTGTTTTTCGGCAAATTATAAAACTTTTCTATATTGTTGGGGGGTTCTTGATTTGAATTGTAAACAATTGAATGAGAAAAGATCAATTCAAATCGATGACCCCGGTTTAAAAACATTTATAAGGTTTTAACAACGATAACGGGTTTCAAAAATTTGAAACGATCAAAAGAAATTAGAAATGATATCTAGCTGTTTATTGAAGATCTTGAACGCATTTTCGAAGCATGAATTGATATTTTATGGATTTATTTGTCAAATAGGGGTTGATTATTGAGTTTAACCCAGTTAAATGATCGTTAAATTTTTTAACAATCTACACTAGTCTAATTTTAAAAAAGGGGGAAATGAGGGATGTCTCATTTTAAAGCTGACATTTATACACGATGATTTCTCAAGTTTCAAGTTTTTTGGTCCATCTGGTGCTGAGTAGCAGGTCCTCAAAGTTGGGTATAGGCGAATTTTCAGTTTTTTTGAGATTGTTTATTCAAACTCAATTTGCACGAAAACTACTCAACCAATTGAAAAATGGTTTTTGATTCCTAAAAGCACATAATAGGACCTATATTTTAGTATATCATACTATTTGAAAAATATCTACCAGATGGAGTAGTGACAGATTTAGTATGAAAAAATAGGGGAAAATCACTCTACAAAAGTTCGCGAATGCAGCAAACTACTTGAATTAAGATCTAGCCTAATAGTTTTACATTTATTAAATAGTGGTTTAATAATTGATTTTTGGGCTATTTATGATTGATTTTTAAAAAACTTTTTCAAAAAAATGGTATTTTGGGTACCCTATGATGGTTATCGACTTAACCCTATTTCCCTTCACTCAAACTGCTTTAACTTTTTAAATAGCAAATATTTTTAAAACTAGTTTTCAGTTTATTGTAGCTTAATGAAATACTTTTCTAATGATATGCAACACTTTACACTAAAGTCTAGTCTTTGCCTCAAATATTGCCTTTGTTTGTGACCGACACTATTTTGAAAAACTTAAAAACAGCATTTCTTGAAATTTAACTTAGAAACAAAATTAATTAATGTTTTTTAAACTTTTTCATGCTACAGGTAGCTACCATGACTAGTACCTTGGTAGTCTCTTTAAAGTCGACAAAACTCAAATTTAAAACTATTTTAAAATATTTTATAGATTTTAAATTATAATTTATGATACTTAACACAAGAAAAAGAAAAACTTGAGTTTAGGTATTTTCCATCAAGAAATTTCATTTTTTGACTATTTTTCCTAAGTAAAGCTAGGGTCGGTCACAGTTATACGACTACTCCAGCATCAATGAACAATTTGAAGAAAAGAATTATACATCATTTTCAAGATCTTACAATGAGCTAGAAATAGCTGAAAAACAGAATGCAAAAATATTGATCCTGTAAAAACTTATAGCCATTTGAGTGACCAACTAGTTTATCGGGTAGAAACCCAATGCGTATATATTCACACCGTACCATCAAAAGTATTATGGATAAACCAAGATTTGCTTAGCATAAGTTTGAAGGTATGAAGCTAGCGTGTCAGCTGAGCTTTGCTCAGCATAAGGTGTAAAGCTAGCGAGTCACTTTAAAAGTTTTTGAAAAAAATTTTCATCCAAAGTTGAATTTTATAAAAATCACAGTCAACTTTTGTTTTGAAAAATTCATAAGAAAGGAAAGTTTTTTGCTTTTTCTGAAGCAACGGCTGTTCCTACCTTGCCCAAAAACAATACAGCTCTTCTATAGAGCAGCACGGATCAAATGTAAAAAACTAGAAGTCTCTACGATGTCTCGTTATTGAGATTTCTTGCTGATTAACTTGCTTGTTTGCTTATTTGCTTACAGAAAGCGTATTTTGCGATTTTCTCAGCAATGCCATAACCAATTTGAAATCCGTTTTTGAAAATGATGTAAGATTTCAGGCACAAACTTTTCTTCTAGGACCTTTTATAATCAATTTTGCTTCGTTTTTTCACAAAATGCGAAAAACTGATTTTTCAATCTGAACAAAACCAATAGATTCGCACGTGAAAACGGTATGAATATAAAAAAGCATACAAAACGTCAACCAACATAGGCAAAAATACCAAAACTGAAAAATATTAATTAATTTCTTGAAAAAATACAGGAAAAATATGGTTATATGTTATTTAAAGTGATAAAAACTTATTATAACTTAAATTTTTGTCTCATTTTGAAGAAACGCGGTTTTTAGGTTTTTCAAAATAGCGTCGGTCACAAACAAAGGCAATATTTGAGGCAAAGACTAGACTTTAGTGTAAAGTGTTGCATATCATTAGAAAAGTATTTCATTAAGCTACAATAAACTGAAAACTAGTTTTAAAAATATTTGCTATTTAAAAAGTTAAAGCAGTTTGAGTGAAGGGAAATAGGGTTAAGTCGATAACCATCATAGGGTACCCAAAATACCATTTTTTTGAAAAAGTTTTTTAAAAATCAATCATAAATAGCCCAAAAATCAATTATTAAACCACTATTTAATAAATGTAAAACTATTAGGCTAGATCTTAATTCAAGTAGTTTGCTGCATTCGCGAACTTTTGTAGAGTGATTTTCCCCTATTTTTTCATACTAAATCTGTCACTACTCCATCTGGTAGATATTTTTCAAATAGTATGATATACTAAAATATAGGTCCTATTATGTGCTTTTAGGAATCAAAAACCATTTTTCACTTGGTTGAGTAGTTTTCGTGCAAATTGAGTTTGAATAAACAATCTCAAAAAAACTGAAAATTCGCCTATACCCAACTTTGAGGACCTGCTACTCAGCACCAGATGGACCAAAAAACTTGAAACTTGGGAAATCATCGTGTATAAATGTCAGCTTTAAAATGAGACATCCCCGAAGACTTAGGTATTGTGAAACTTTTCCGAAAACACCTCATTTCCCCTTTTTAGCGCATTTTCCTATCAGGAAATGACGCTATTGTCCTCACTTTGTCCGTCCGTCCGTCCGTCCGTCCGTCCGTCCAGCTATCTCCTCCTCCAGTTTAATATTTTTTGATGCGATTTTTTTCTTATAATATTTGTGCTATTCCTGGCTAGCAGTGGCCAAAATTTCAGCATGATTGAAGCACAGGAAGGTTAATTAAATTAATTTTTAAAATTTTTCACCTATAAAGTCACGTGATTATTTTGGGCGAAGTCATTAAAAAGGTGACTTTTTTTACAATCCTCAGGTCGCTGGTTCAAGCCTCACAACGAGCAACTTTTTTTTTCATTCTTTTTTTCACTTTTTTGATTTATTATTGTTTGTCATGGTGTTTGGTGATCAAATTTTCCATTTTCAAAATTTTCCCGACATTTTCCGAGCTTTTCTCGAAGATTTATTCTTTTTTCCATACATTTTTCATACAAAATTACTTTTTTTGCCATTACTTTTGTATCTTTTACCCTATTAATCTGAAATTTGGCATGTAGGTTCAGTGGCTGTTCTTGCAAATGGAACCGACGCCATTTTATGATTCCAGGGTTGGTAATCTATGTAAAAAAAATTTTTCGTTGACTTTGACCTTTTTTTGATTTTATGAGCTGAAATTTGGCAAGGAGACACAGTGCCTGATCCTGAATATGGAACCAACGCCATTTTAAGATTCCAGGGTTGGTAACCTATGTAAAAAAAATTTTGCGTTGACTTTGAACTTTTTTTGATCTTATGAGCTGAAATTTGGCAAGTAGACACAGTGCCTGTTCCTAAATATGGAACCAACGCTATTTTAAGATTCCAGGGTTGGTAACCTATGTAAAAAAAATTTTGCGTTGACTTTGAACTTTTTTTTTAACTTATGAGCTGAAATTTGGCAAGTAGACACAGTGCCTGATCCTGAATATGGAACCAACGCCATTTTAAGATTCCAGGGTTGGTAACCTATGTAAAAAAAATTTTGCGTTGACTTTGAACTTTTTTTGATCTTATGAGCTGAAATTTGGCAAGTAGACACAGTGCCTGTTCCTGAATATCGAACCAACGCTATTTTAATAAAATATTAATTATTTTTTGGGCGTTTTCCTTCTTTCATATAATTTTAACAGTTTTTTTTTCAAATATTTTTTGACCGTTCTTTTTCAAATGTATTGAGTTTTTAGATTTTAATTTCTACTCGAATTCTGTGCGGAGAAAATGCGCTTCGGTCGATCACGTGTGATCACCTCTTTACTAGTTTAAAATTAGACTAGTGTGGATTCTTTAAATATTTGAAAATTCATTGGATATGAAAATTTTTGAAATTCAAGAAATAAAAAAGCTATTCATTCCATAAAATTTGAAATAATAAAGTCTGTTTTAAGTTTTTTAAAAAAATAAATTAAAAAGAGATATCCATCCAGTCAAACAAAATGTGTCACTAAGCATGTCATATATCGAAAAATAGGTCAAACACAACAATGAAGATGTAGAGATATTTGCTTTTATACTTAATTATTTACCAAAAAAAAAAAGTATTTCACATTTAGTGATCACAGCAGTAAGACGTAAGTTGTGTAATATAACTTTTTGGATATATCTTAAATGAAAATATTCTAATATCAACTTTTATTATCCTTTGTTTATTTTCTTTATTTAATTTTAGTAGATGAACTTTACAACATTTCCTTGAACTAAAAAATAAGAAAATTAAAAAAAACCTAAAGAAAAGAAGGAAATAAGGAAATAAACGCATTGATTTTTTTGTATGAAAATATAAAAAGAAAATTTTTGTGGAAAATGGAAAATCTACCGACAAATATACTTGTCAAAATTTTTGAACAATTAAGCAATAATGATTTAATAAGTGTATGTCGAGTGTCCAAAAAATTCAATTCAGTCATTATTGACTTTATGGCTATCAAATTTCCTCCAGTCAGAATCGATTTTCAGTATCTTCATTTTAATAAGGTACAAAAATTCACGTACAAAGATGACAAGGATTTTAACTGCTTAATGGAATCGACTAGGCTGTATCAGAACTACATTTTCGTAAATTTCAATAAGGAACATACAGATAGACTGGGAAATAAATGGTTGCAGCTTTTTAAGAAGCAAATAAATGCGAGATGCATTAGAATCAAATCAGACTGTTTGGATCTACAGCAATTAAGTAATCTTTTAAAATTGACACATCGTCTGGTATTCTTCGAACTCGATGGATATAGAATTGATAAAACAAATGAGCCACTAGATGACAGCGATGTTGCAAATCTTCCATCATTAAAGCATCTAAAAATCCATTCGTTCCTTGATACTACGCCTCAGCTATTTAAAATCTTTAACGACTGCACATCACTTAAAACCATTTCTCTTAGTGCGTTATTTATGGTCAGCAAGAAAATTAAATCGATCAATGATCTAATATTTAATCAAAAGGCATTAGAAGTGCTAGATTTAATTGGCCTAGATACACACAATGCATTATTTCAATATGATGAATCGATGCACGAGATCAAATTTAAATTGAGGAAATTGAATGTCGAGTACAATGGATATTCCCTTAATTTGGAAAAGTTTGTCGAGTTCCTTCGTCATCAGAAATCATTGAAAGAAGTCAAATTGGCGCTAGACTTGAGAAATAGCATGCATACACTGCATGATTCGAAGCTATGTGACGAAATAATAAGAATACTAATGACGATGAGAAATTTATCTTCGTTAAGTCTACTTGTGAATAAATATTCGGTGAAAGAATTGGATAGCTTTAATGTTCCCAGCAATACATGTGTGAAAAAATTTGTGTTCGAGAATGAGTCGGGTGAAAATAATAATCTACTTCTATGTATGCTTAAATCGCTACATAATTTACAGCATCTAGAATTAGCGTGCGAATATTCTAATGATTTATTAGCACAGTTGCCACTAATGATGAAACTGAAACATTTAAAATTAACAGATTATTATCAGGGACTATTGAAGACAATAAAATGTTCCGATTCATTGGAATCGATTAGTGTTAAATATTGTTATACGAAAAATTCGGGAAGTGATTGGCACGAGTTCTTACAAAATCATACAAACATAAAGAAAATTCATATTGATCATTCAATTGACTTTGTGGACGATGCAATATGTGAACTTATTGCCGGTGCATGCCAGAAGAAATTGGAATATTTTGTAATGACAGATTCCGTTGCAAAAAATATTACTGACATTGGACATTTGAGCTTTCAGAAGCATTGTCCAAACATTAAGTGTCTTAAATTAACTAGTAATAACAAAAATACAACCTCACAATATAAACATCAAAGCTTTCATGACTTATTAGCTAATATTAAATGTGTTATATTCTTTTACACTTTTTGCATTATTTTCTTTATCTTAATGATTTTGTTAATGGTTAATGGAAAAATTTAAATAACGTATTTATACCATAATTGTACCTGCTGCATATTAAAAACTTGAATTTTTTGTTCAATACGCTTTAAAATTTAGATAATACATTGTGCGCAAATTATTATATTTTTATGTACCTAGTTATTTTTGTAACTCTTATTAATAATAAACTTATCCGTACTCTGGCAGGAATCTTGTAAGCGCATTGTAAGATGCGCACAAAGTTTCTGCTAAGATAATCAAAACTAGATGACACAATAACAACAACATGTTAAATATAAATAAAGAAAAACTTTTATTACCAAAAAGTAGTCGTTCCTTAATAATTTTGATAATTTCCCAAGATCTGTGTCACCATCTGATTACACAATTGCGCATAAGGATTAATATCAACGAGTTGTTGACGAGAAAACTTGGATCCGAGTTTTGCACTTTCATTAAAGTCATCGCGTGCAGCATCTAAATTGTTTTGCATTCTATGAATTATTCCACGTTGTGTATATGCACGACATTTCGTCAATTTGTATTTATCACCCGATAGTTCTATTGCTTTGTTCAAGTCACTAATTGTTTCTATATAAGTAATGGGGAAACAATTAGTCATAATTAAAGTACGAAAGGGTTGTTCATGAATGACGTAATTTGTGAGTCGTCACAAGTGACCCCAAAGAAAAACTTTTTACTTACTTTCGTCGTCCTTGAGAAAGCGAAATAATTGTGCACGATTATTGTAAGGTGAAGGTCTGTTTGGTGCTGCTTCAATAGCTTTATTGAACTTTTCTAGTGCTTCATCAAATTTTGCTGCTTCAGCTAGCACGACTCCCTCGATTTCGTACTTTTTGGAACTTGTAATCTCCTCTGTAATCTCTTCATCGTCATCTTTAATATTTATGTCATCATGAATGGGTTGTGTACAATTCCTAACTAGATCTTCGCTTTTAGACTGATCAAATAATAAGTCCAAAATTTGTAGATCACGAGCACTTATTTCCTTAGTTCCACTAGCCGACATGATGTTTGCAAATGAGACTTTTAATATTTGTGGATTAATAAATATCATCGAGATCCGAGAAACTCGTTTTTGATATTTTTCGAGTATGTAAATTACATACAGGTTTGAAGCTATGTGCTGAAAATGTTTTTAAAGCTATAGAAATAAATACCTGCTTTATATTGTTAGAAATAAATTCTTTTTTATTTTATTTACAACTTTTTTCCTCGTCGTCGATGGCGCTTTCGCTTTCAATATTAATTTTGTTTAAATATATATGCTTCCAAAAAAATTCTATTCCTTTTAAATGAATTTATTGCCAATCAAGGATTGACTTCTTTTAGAAAATTTCATCTCTTTCTGACAGTAACTTCTCAATAGAAGTAAAATTTTGACACTTTTTTACTTTTAAAGGCACTTAATCATATTTTACTCTCGACTTTCCTCAATAATAAATTCAGCTGCATGTTTATTTAAATTTTTCTTATTTAAAGAAGAAATTCTGACATAATGACCTGATTCCAATTTATAGATGACATTCTCAATGTTTGATTTTTTTTTTTGATCTCATATAAATATTATCAAGGAATGACCAGATTTCGAAATAATGACGTACTAATTTATGTTTTTCACAATCGCTGTGTGATCACCATCGAGAGCATTGAGCCAAGAATCTTTGTGAAAAATTTTCGGATGAAAATAAGTCACGCACATCTCTTTGTGAACGAAAAAAAAAAAATAATAATTCGTTTCAATGATCTCAAAATGTGAAATATTGCCGTAGCGTCTGAAGTTTCAAATAAGTCATGCCATAAATAATTAAAATTAATCCAAAGTTTAATCTTGGGATTAAAAATAAATCTTAAGATTTAAATAAATTTCAAGATCAAATCATTGAGTTCCGCAAACAAAAGAAATCAGATCAAACTCACTCAAATTTGTGTACATAATCGATTCTATTATTGCAGACTGCTGTTAATGTCACGAATTAATACTCATTAGTATAGTCAATTAATTAATAAATTTATCATTAAAAATGTACATAAATTGTTCAAAACTTAAAATTTAATTAAATAATCTATTATTACCGTGTTTTTTTGTGTAGAATATTACCTCTCTCTGTGTTCCTTACAATCAATTTCTATTTCAATCATGGCAAGATTATTAATTAATTTGTCCTGCATTCAAGTCATTAATTATTATAGTTTTTACTTTCGTTATTGCCACCACTTTGTGGAAGACGCTTATTAATTAAATAATATATTTAAATAAGTCCATTGGAAATCGACGTGAGAAGAATTATTTTTTTTACAATGCAGATTTCACTGTTGCCATAACTTTATCATCAAAGAGTGGCAGCACATCAGAATCATTCAAGATTTCTTCTTGAATTATTGGATTATCATCGTCATCGCACCGTGTTTTAAAGAAAAATCTGTGCATGGAAGATGAGAGAAAGTATAAATCACGTGACTTACTTTGAAGAGATTAATAATAATTATTTAGTTTATCTTACCGATAATTTCCTTTTTTCGGGAGGAAATCTTTGAACTGTTTCAGTGTTAACGGACTCTTTCCTGGAATTTTAATTCGATATGGCACATCCTCATCGCAAAATGAATATACGACGGTTGTCGTATGCTCCGTAATGGCGGGTTGTTGTTGAGTAGCTTGTGGTGGTTGAGGTAAGTTTTTGGCAGGTATTGGAGGTGGATTGACATTCTTTTGTGGTAATGGAGGTTGCATTTGCATCTGCTGAACTCTCTTCGTTCTATATAATCAATGAATAATTTTTTTAAGTTGTACATAAACGATTATTAAGCTAAAGAATTTACCTTCTCAGCTCTTCAATCTGCTGCGGTGTCAGCTTACTAACATCTGTAGGTAAAGCCTGAGCTGGTCTTGGAGGAGGTTTTGTGCTTCCACTACTGCTGCTTGATATACTCATCGCATCTTTATGCTTTATCGTCATCGTATCCGATGAAAACAAGCTGATTCCACTGTAGGGAATAAAAGATGAAGGAAGCTCATTAATATTAATTTTTATTTTTTAACAATAAAGCCCTCTTGAATGAGGAATATTCAGCACAAGTTTGGAAGTTACATTGTTTTTTGAGGAATATGCGCAATTAGCGTGCAACCTTGATTCAGTTATATTGTCAAGGAAAATAAATTTAAGAGTGAAATGATAAGCGCAATCTCTGACTGAAAGGTAAATAGTTTTTAAAATACTTTCTTGAGACACTGATAAAACATCCAAAAATGTTCATCTGACGAACTGTTCATAAATAGAGTAATAAATAGAATGAAAGCATACCTATCAGTATTAATGCTACCCCATTTTGTAAATCTCCGCATGTTTGAATCCGGCATTGATTTTGATACTCGCATTGATGATTGTATGCCTATATTTTAATGAAAAGGGGAATAAAGATTTTAAAAAAGAAGACGAGGGTTATTGAAAATGAAGTATATGATTCATCATCAACTTACTGCTTCCACAACTGAATGTTGTTTCATGCATTTTCCTTCGTTGGAATTGGTTTAGTGGATTTCCTGGTGATAAATTTCCAGGCGATCTTAGCGGTGTTCTGTCGGACCAAACTCGCGATACATGCTCATCTAAAATATCCTGATCATCCTTGTCGTCATCTAACATTAATTTGGCACTAATTGCATCAGCAAACAACTTATTGCTTTTCGATTGTTCAACCTATTTATTATTGGAATTAGTCGATAATTCATAAGGGGTATTAAGGAAGCAGATTATTAAGTTACCTCCAAGAGTTTCTTATTAAGCAATTCCATCCTATCCTGCTCTTTTTTCACTGCTTCAAGCTTAGGTAAAAGAATCTTAAGGAATTCTTCAGAAGAAAGAGAATGAGACTTAACATCTACGCGTTGTGTTCGAGGTATTACCTAAGATTTAATTTGATAATAAATAAAAATCATCTAGTTCCAAAAATTAAGCAATTGTGTATGAACTTACTGTTAATGATTCAGTATTATTAATTGCTATATTTTCACGTATCATTCTTCGCTCTAAAGAACTCTGATGATGGTGATGATGATGATGCCTACGTTGTGGACGTCCGTCTCTGTATAAATATTAGGAATAAAAAATATTTGAGATAAATTTATAATATTTGCATTTCTGTTTTTCATCACAAAGTATTACAAAGAGAAACTTCAGACTTTTAAAAAAGAAAATCAAAATTATAAAGAATGCAAAGCTACTTACGTCGACATACTAGAAATTGACATGGTATCAGAGTCTGTTCGTCCTGAACTCAAACTTGCCAATTCCGAATCTCGTCTTGAGACTGGATTATATGGAGCATAATTGTTATAAACTGAATATCCGTGAACACTACATAACACCATAGTACACACGTGAGTGCATCGTGTAGTGCAATTATTAACATTTTTTTGCAAGCCATCATGCAACAAAATTTCGATGAAATAAAAGAAGAAAAAAACACATAAAAAGAACGCATAAAAAATCTAATTTTCAACATAAATGGATGCATAGGGATCTATGCATTGCTTAATTTTCTCAAATAAGTATAGTTCAACGGAGAAGCAAAAAAATATATTAAAAGCAACAAAAATCCAATGTGTAGTTATGAAATCTGATCCGTTTTAGATGAACAATAATAATAATAATAAAAATATTTTTATGAATGGAACAAAAAACAATCAGTTCTATTTTTCATATACAGCACTTCAAAAAACTAACATGGAAACCATCATTAAAAAAAATCATCATAGTCATTAAAAAAAAAGAGAGATTCCATCATAAAAAAATAATAATAAAATTCAGTATTAATTTGGAAACTCACCCAGGAGAACGCATTTCAAGTCGTCTTCGTTGTGTTGCCATAAGTGCATCTTTTGTAAGTGACATTGGAACTTTACTGGTTGTAGTACTTGGCACTCGATTAATTGGATCACTTATGGACTCAGTTACATCTCCAACTGAACATCCATCACCGGCTTCTTCCATTAAAGTTGGCAGTGTTGAGCTTCTCGAAAGAAATTTTGATGATGTTTCGGAAATAGTCGATGATGTAGCAGTCGTTGTACTGGTTGATATAGTTTGTTGCTGTTGTAAATATTGATTCCGTTCAATGACGGTCATTGGCTGTTGTGCTTGCTGAACGTATTGAACATACATATCAGACTGAAGAAAATTTGGATATGTCGATTCATTAATAATTCTCTCGACATCATGCTGCATTTGATCATAAACGTCTGGCGTTAAAATTATTTCATCCTTAAGTCCCGCTTTAACAGCTCGTCTAATATCATCAGGCACAAGAAGTTCACTCTTTTTCAAAAATCTATAAATTGCCCCAATTATTTGCTTAACTTTATCAGGATCACTTTGCTGTTTTAATCCTTCGCATGCGAAATAGAAATTCAATCTATCACTATGAATACCACCTTCCGATTCTACATATTTCTTAAACAGTTCAACGCCCTCGCGATCTTCCAATAAGCTGCCTAATGTGCGAGCCCACTTAAGACATGATGGAGATGAAGATGATTGTGATGATGATGATGACGTCATAAATAAATGTAATTCACTTTGAGCACTGTCTGTCATCTGTTTAATTTCGTGATAGAAAAGTATTTGTATTTATGGATTAATAAGTGACTTGGCTTCAATTTTTTTTTGGAGCATTTTTAAGTGGAAAATCTGTGAAATGCTTGGGGGCCATTCACATATTACGTAACGCTTTTAGGGGGAGGGGGGTCTAAGATTTTGTTACGATTCAAACAAGGAAATTTTTTTTTCATACAAATTTTGTTACGAGGGGGGGGGGGGTCTAAGAAGTCATTTTTTCGCGTTACGTAATAAGTGAACAGCCCCTTGTGATATTCAATTTTTATGGGTTGATTCTCATAAGCGGAAGTGCTTGTAGATGACTCTTACTATTGGGAATATTGGGTACCGAAATCCATGCTTTTGCATTTTCATTCTTATGCATCTTATACAGTTCCACATTATAAATTGATTTGTCTGTCAGAAATTTCAAGACAACAAGAAACACATTGAGGACCTACCTTGAACTTTTTTGATGTTTCTTCTCCCGGAATCGGAGGTCGCTGTCCAATACTATCATAATCATTAAAATTTTGATTCATAACACTTTTCTATTCTTTATATCAATAATATTTTCTTTTGTCATTAACGAAAAGCTATTGCTAAAGGTTCTATTGTTTGTGCTTATAACTCTAAATAATAAACGATTTTCTTTTTTATCATTTATCGTTGCTTGTTTCTTTCATTTAATGAACTTTTTTAATTGATGAGATTATGACTTAATTTCTTATTATAAATATATATAAATATATATATATACTTGTATGTAGATTATATTAGCACATAAATTTTGATTACTATGCTGCTTGTGTTATATTCGTTTACACCACAAATGCTTCTTTATTACGAATTGATTGAAGATTTTTTTGAATTTTTTAAAAAAGGCATCTAGAAAGGCCTGTAAAGATATATAATAAAGATATTTGTAAGAAGTGCTGTTTTGCATGGAAAGGATGTATTTTTTTTTTTTTTCTTATGAGGATAATAAAAATGTAAGTATTTCTGTCTGTGAATTATTTATGGTAATTCTTTTGCCGTTCCTTCTTGCCTTTAAAGTTTGCCGCTGCTATAAAAAAGTAAACATATTAACTTTAAAGATAAGACATACTGAGTGAGTAAGGAAAAGAAGTAATCAGGTAGAGGAATTAAGACTAGACAAACATTGCGAATATTATTTTTGGCATCTCAATTCATTCAGTTCCTGCTACAATTTACTGATGACTGTAAAATTCTGAGTGATGTAAACGCCCTTCAACAGCATATTCTACCCTCATTTCGGAACTGCGCACAAAAGCGCCATTTTTATGAAAATTTTTGATTCGTAGTTTACCCTTCTGTGCTGCATAAATATTCTCTCTTTGATCCCTCCCTTCTTTCATCATCATTCTTCTCCGTTGCTTCTGATGATTTTTGATATACTTTTTTTTTTAATTAAAGAAGAAAAAAAATTATTGAAGCCATAATGACATAAATCTTTTGTTTTTGATGCCTTTTCTTTAATCACTCGAATGCTCTTAATGTCGGCAAAATATTTATGTGCTCTCTTCTCCATTCATAAATCGAGAGCTTAATTGAATTGTTTGGATATTTCACAGATCCTCTACAGAAGTGCATTTAGGTATAATAATCTAGCATAACATCCAGATGTGGAATTCTTTTCTTTTTTTAATGAAACATAATCACGGTAATTTTTCATCTTCCTAATATTTCACGGATCAGTAACTTTCTGAATTGTAAATTGTTTATCTGTTTTGATTTTTTTCAAGACTTATGCTACTTATTAATATTATTATTATGTGCAAATATGCTCCATACCTAATTCATAATAAAAAAGGAACTGCACTTCACTAATAATTGTGGACCGCACACAACTTGCATTCAATATCAGCGCAAAATGAGAACTGAAATCGGAAAATAATTTTTTGCCTTGATAGGATGTCATATTTCAACGGAAGGAGAAATTTTCCACAAGTGAAGTGGGTTGAAAACTTCCAAACCCTCTTCTTTCGTTGTGAATGAAGAGGCAGCAAAAAATATAAAATAAAATCAGAACATGCTGCCTGTCGTGCTTAAAGCCGTTTTATTGCAATCGACATCAACTTTTTTTAAACATTCAATAATAACAAAATATGGGAACTAGCAATAAAAATGCACTTTGCATGGACTTTAACAACAAAGTGACAAAGTCAGGTTTCAAAATCATTACAGCATTAAATTTCTGTTCTTTTGTTGTTAAAGTCAATAGACTCAAATAAATAAATAAAATAAATGCACAAGAAATGTTGAGGTTGACACATGCGCAAGAAATTGTCATCACATTAGCTTCCACATTGTTAAGTCTATTGTTGAGCATTAAGGATCTTTAAAAAGGAGGATTCGATTTGAGCATAACAAAAGAATTGACGGTACAATAGAGATGAAAAATATGTGTTTGTCATCAAAACTATATATTGGATATGCCTAATAAAATCTAGAAATAATCTTATAGACATGTATTGCGTGTATTTTTTGATGATCTGCCGTATATTCGAAGATTATAATATTGATTGAATTTCATCGCGTGGAGAAGATACAGAACATGTTTTTCTTCTGTCTATATGTATGAAATGAAATCGTGCATTCACATAAAAGAAATATCTATGTGATATAAAGGAAAAATTGCGTAAAAATGCGAGAAGCGAGAGATATTGAATATTTCGTCATCAAAATTGACTGATTGCAAGGAATTTACCAAATTTGCATATAAAAGCTGAGATGCCGGTTTTTGTTTAAAGGGAATAATACTTTCTTCTTATTCCTCTTTCGTACTGTTTCTTTTTCCTTACTACATATTATTTTATTTTATATTGGCATTTACAGACGGAACATAAAAATCTCTTACCTGTTTCTTTTTTTGCCGAACGGAGTTTTTTTTTAAGAATTTATCCTTAGCTCATGATGCTTGCTCTCACATACATAAGACATCCATCATAAAAAAACAATGTACAGAGAGGAAAAAATTGTATTCTTTATGGATTGTTTACCAGATTTAATGTTGTTGTAATTATTGTTTCGTTTTTCTTCTATTTTTAACGAAAAAAAAAGTAAAGTGAAGAAGAAATTTTGTTCGTTCCTTGATGGATATTATGATTCTCTCTTGCTTGCTTGCTTTTTTTTTCTTTGCTCTTTAATTAAATTTTAAACATCATTCACTCATTCACAATTTCTCTATCACATTATTACTTGATTTCTGATAAATTGTCAACTCGATAACACAAAACATGTGAATTAAGATACATACATGAATGTTATATTAACTAAAGAACCATGTAAAATTCACACTAATATTAATTATATTTTTTGAACTATTCACTATAAATTTTTTGATTTAAGACATTTTGCTTTTGATTATTAAGTTTCCGTGCTATTCAACACATCAAGGACGGCGATTTTTGATTATCAGTAGCATTTTTGTAGTCCTGTAAGTGAGAAAATTGGAAGCAAATCATTAGCTTGTTTTTGGTTTCTTTGGAAAACTTTTTTCTTAAAGAAGACATTTTCAAGATTTCAAGTTTTTTCACAAAATCACTTCTTGGAACTGCCTATTCTCACGTCATATCAACTGAGAACAATTCCCCATATCTTTTAATTCAATTTTTATTACCTTTGAGACTACAAAACTCTATTTAATATGTTCCTATTTTTGTAAAAAATAATGTTTAAGAAATAATAAACTAGTAAAATATGTACGGACTAGCGTGAGCCTTAAACAGCATCTTATGGCTGTACTGTATAAACATGTTTCAAAAAACTTGAAGCATGCTGCTCGATCCAAAGAACCAAAACATGACAATTTTATTTCATTTAATAACTTTGCAATATATAATTGGGATTAAATTTAAAAACAGCAAAGCAGCTACTTCCAGTAAAACCAAAGTGTCCAATTGTAAAGCCTTTGGTGCTGTAAATGTATGCTAAATTCCCCACATTTCCCCAACACTTTCGGTTTTTTGAAATATTTTCATAACCGTTTGTTCGAGTAAAAATTATAGCACCTGCTAGTTTAGACATTTAACGAACCAGATTCAGGTGCTAAAGTTTGAAAAACCATTAATTAGCTAATTACAATCACCTAATTTTAATAATTGAATTTAATTTTTTTTCTTTAATTTTTCCAACGTCTTTTTGGAATTTAAACTGATTTATGCTCCAATCCTACAGTCGATTCTATGCTGCACTTCAACATAATTATGATTTCAATTTTAACAAGTTAAATTTGGAACCACATAAACCATTAAAGCTATAAACATTTATTGAGCTTAACAATCTGCATGATACAGAATATTTGACCTAATACATATTACATTCCCATAAATTATGTGTCAAGTTCATAAGATCCATGCGAATCTCTTATATTTATCACTAAAAGCTTTTTCAGCAACCAACAACATCTAGTCAACTCCCTTAATTATAGTACATGTTAATATTAAAAAGAATGACTGAATCATTTATAATTTGTTGGAATGAGAAGCAATTTCAAAGTAAATTTCACTATCTCTGTCAATTTGATTTACTCTTCCTTCTTTTTTTAATTTAGTCAAATGATGTTGAACGTTATATGCTGCAGCTGTCCACATTTTTTCGGGAACATCTTGATAGACAATGGAAACTATTCCCATACACGACAATGGAGAATGAGCAGTTAATACTTCCAAAATTTGACGTTCTCTTTCTTGACGGTGCGAAATGTAGAATTTTATTCTTTCAACAGCATCTGTGATCAAATTGCCATGTCCTGGATAAATTTTGTCTGGTTTGAGATCTAAAATCTTTTCCAAGCTATTCATGTAGTCATAAAGATCCTCGAATACAGCAGTTCCTTCGCCCAATATGCAATCTCCAGAAAATACTGTTCTTTCTCTCTCATCATATAAAATGACATGATCTGTTGTATGACCTGGAGTAAAATGGACTTTTAATGTTGTATCCTCATCGACTCTAAATTCATGACCATCAGTCAATTGCTTAATCTTCATTTCATCAAAATCTTCCTTTATATCACTTCGAGGGAACTTCCAGACATTACAATTTTCATCAATTAGATTCTTTTCTCTCAAATTCTCAACAGCACCAATATGATCGTGATGCCAATGAGTTATGACTACATCACTGATAACTGCTCTCTCTTGTTTCAACACCTGTTCCACTAATGCAACATAATCTTTCTTATTTGGATCTGTTGTATCCAGCAGCAATCGCCTAAATGATAAGTACAGCAACTTAGACTATGGTGATTATAAATCAAGCTATTATAAAACTTACTTTTCAGCTGTTCCAATCAGATAAGAATTTGTGCCTTGCAATGTCATCGGTCCGCGATTTTGACCGAGAATCCTGATAAGTCTGTCAAATCGTGTGATATTTGGTATTGGTTGCATTGTATTTGTGGATAGTTGACGAACAGCAATATAACAAAAATTATTGGGAATAACAAGTGAAAGAAAAAACTTTTTAATCATTTGAAAGAGCGAATTCTATTGTTTGATTGTGACTTGAATGCTGGCGTATACAGCTGGTCGTTAATCGGATTCGACTTTCTTATTTGAAGAATTGGACTAAAATAATCCGAAGAACTTTCTGGTGTTGTGTCAACTTTTGAGTTTTCTTTATCACTATCTAAATCCTCTTCTACGTTCTTATCAATGTTATTGTCGTCTAGCTGATTTTCTTCTGGATTTTGAATTTGTGGATGCTCTGTAACTGACTTGCGTGTAAGTTCTTCAGGAAATTTTAAATTTAATGATTCTGTCAAATTATCGACCAATTCTTCAGTTCTTAGTGCTGTTTCTTTTGTAGAAGATAGCAATGTTTCTAAATCGTTATAAACTCTTGCAATTTCTGTGTATTCGTGCTTAATTTTGCTTAAAACTTTTTGTTTTTGTTCCAAAATATCAGATACGCAAGTTTTCAACTCTTCACTTTGATTATTTTCAATAATACTCTGTTGTCTCAATGCAATATACTTGTTCTGTAATTTCCGAACATTCTCTTCAATTATTAACTTCTCTTTTAACAAATTCCCAAACATATTTCCTTAATTAAACTATTAAAACTCGATTAAAAACAAGACTTGTTAAAAACGACGGTTATAAATAATAATAAAATGTGAAAGGTTTTTCAAAACAAAACAAAAAACATTTGTAAGGTTTTCAAAAATATAAACACAATTTCCATCAAAATTCACAAATAAATTAAATTAATCGGTTAAAATGCCTATTTTAAGTGAAGTTCAGGAAAATAATATGGATGTGGACCTAGAGCTTGTAAGTGACTGTATAATAATTCCAGATTCACTCAAAAATAATGCAAGAAATGTGAAAAAGCCGGAAAACGTTTATAATTATTACTATTAATTTTCAGAATGATGACGATCTACCTTATGAGGAAGAGATCCTTAGAAATGCTTATTCTGTAAAACACTGGCTACGATATGTAGATCATAAGAAGCACGCATCAAAAAATGTTATCAATCAAGTTTATGAAAGAGCACTAAAGCAACTGCCTGGATCTTACAAGTTATGGTAAGACTTTGTCACCCTTATGGTTATACCCTACAAAACTGCTATTATAGCAAACTATCATTATAGGTACAACTATTTAAGATTGCGTAAGAAGCAGGTTCGAGGAAAAAATGTACAGGACGACGAATTAGAGGATGTTAATAATGCATTTGAGAGATCATTAGTTTTCATGCATAAAATGCCAAGAATTTGGATAGAATATTTGTCATTTATAACAGGACAGTGTAAAATAACAAGAATCCGTCATTCATTCGATAGAGCATTAAGAGCGTTGCCTGTAACTCAGCATAACAGAATTTGGCCATTGTATCTAGAGTTCTTGGACAGATATGAAATTCCTGAAACTGGTGTCAGAGTTTATCGTCGCTATCTCAAATTATGTCCAGAGGATGCTGAAGAGTATGTCAATTATTTAGTGAAGAACAACAAATTGGATGATGCAGCACAACAGCTTGCTAAAATAGTTGATAATGAGCATTTTGTATCAAAATATGGCAAGTCTAATCATCAATTATGGAATGAGTTGTGTGAGCTTATATCAAAGAATCCTGATAAAGTTTTGTCCCTAAATGTTGACGCTATAATTCGAAGTGGATTAAGACGATATACAGATCAACTTGGTCATTTGTGGAATTCATTAGCAGATTATTATGTCAGAAGTGGATTATTTGAAAGAGCAAGAGATATTTATGAGGAAGCCATAGAATCAGTAACGACAGTAAGGGACTTTTCTCAAGTATTTGATGCTTACGCACAGTTTGAGGAATTGAGTTTGAGTAAATTGATGGAAGATGTGGGCAAGAAAGAACATCAGACGACTGAAGACGATATAGAAATTGATCTTCGACTAGCACGTTTTGAGAATCTGATGGAGAGGCGATTAGCTTTATTAAACAGTGTATTACTTCGTCAAAATCCACACAATGTTCAAGAATGGCATAATCGTGTGAAACTTTTTGAAGGAAAGCCACTTGAAATTATTAAAATCTATACGGAAGCAGTTCAAACTGTCCAACCAAAACAAGCTGTTGGAAAAATTCACACTTTATGGGTCGAATTTGCAAAATTTTATGAAGTTAATGATCAAATTGATGATGCCAGAACAGTTTTTGAGAAAGCAACACAGGTTGAATATTCAAAAGTCGATGACTTGGCAGCAGCTTGGTGTGAATGGGCGGAAATGGAAATTCGTCAAGATAACTTTAAAAATGCATTAGACTTGATGTATAAAGCTACAATAATTCCGAAAACTAAAATATCCTACACAGATGAGTCAGAGACAGTTCAGGCAAGACTTCATAAAAGTCTCAAGCTATGGTCGATGTATGCTGATTTAGAAGAGAGTTTCGGAACATTTCAAAGCTGTAAAAGTGTTTACGATCGAATTATTGACTTGCGAATTTGTACGCCTCAAATTATCATAAATTATGGAATGTTTTTAGAGGAACACAAGTATTTTGAGGAAGCATTTCGAGCGTATGAGAAAGGAATTGCATTATTTAAATGGCCGAATGTTTATGACATTTGGAATACATATTTAACAAAGTTTTTATCACGCTATGGAGGAAATCAACTTGAACGTGCTCGTGATCTTTTCGAGCAATGCATCGAAAATTGTCCACCAGATTTGGTTAAAAGTTTCTATCTGCTTTACGCGAAATTGGAAGAGGATCATGGACTTACAAGACATGTCATGAATGTTTATGAGCGTGCAGTTAGTGGTGTACAAGAGTCTGATATGTATGACATGTTTAATTTGTACATCAAGAAAGCTGCTGAAATTTATGGAATCCCAAGAACCAGACCAATTTATGAGAAAGCTATTGAAATGCTTCCAGAAGTTAAGTCACGTGAAATGTGTGTCAGATTTGCAGAGATGGAAAAAATGCTCGGAGAGATTGACAGAGCGCGTGTAATCTATTCACATTGCAGTCAAATGTGCGATCCAAGAATTACACAAGATTTCTGGCAGAACTGGAAAGAGTTTGAAATTCGTCATGGCAATGAAGACACAATGAGAGAAATGTTGAGAATTAAGAGAAGTGTTCAAGCTACATATAATACTCAAGTTAATATGATGTCAGCACAGATTCCAACAAGTACAGAGACAACGAAAAGTGCAATGCAAACACTTGAAGCTAAAGCTATGGAAACTAATTATAAGCAGAGTTTGGCATCGACTTCTGGAGCAAATATTATGTTTGTGCGTGGTGAGGTTCAAGGTGGAGATATTAATAAAAGAAAAGAGGAAGGAACTGTCTATAATCCTGATGAAATCGATATTGACATGGACGACGACAACGATGATGAGAACGATGAAGAAGGAAGTGATCAAGAAGGAGGTGGGGAAAGTACAGAGCTCAAAAATATACCGATTGAGAAACAAGCTATACCATCCAAGGTATTTGGTGGCTTGAAAAAGAATGAAAGCGATTCTGAGTAGCTGTAAAAAATTATTCCTTAAACAATAAAAAAAAAGTTTCTTCATTTTAAAATACTTTTTTTCTTTATTTCTTCTTGTTTTCTTTTTCATAACTTCATCATAGCTGCAACAGCTTTTGAGCCTTTTGTATTTAACATTGAAAAGCTTTGCTAAATATTTAAAACTCATCAGCTAGCTGTTCATTTTTTTTTTGTACTTCACAAACTTCTTTCAATAATCGTGGTAATTGATTTTCGCGCAAAATTATAATTCTGTTCAATTCTTTTTCTTCGACAATTCACATGAAAGCATGTTATTATGGGATGTATATGATATAATTATTATTTCAAACATTTTGCGATTTATATTGTCTCAATGAATCATTTTTGGAATCTCTGATCCAGAGCTGCGAAACAGGCACCTGTGACAGGTGAGAACCCTACAATACCTTGATAATTTATAAGGTTTTTCTAACAAAACCATACAAATTAACAAGGAATTGAAAGGTTCTCACCTGTCACAGGTGACCTGTTTCGCAACTCTGCTCTGATCAAGTTCGATGCTCCTCGTGTCATTCTTAATTTGGCTTACGTGTTATAACGGAAATAATTCAAAAATGCTTCAAGACGATACAAATTCTTTTATAGAACTCTACAACAGCACATATTTGACTGTTGTGTGGCTTTATAACGAAAATAATTCAAAAATGCTTCAAGACCATACAAATTCTTTTGTAGAACTCTACAACAGCACATATTTGACTGTTGTATGGCTTTGAGATTTCAAAATTTAACCGTTTCGCCAATCTTTTTTGATCCTTAGAAAATCATTGGATCCAAGAATTAGAAAAACGAACAGACATGAACAGAAATTCAAATCATTATTCACTTGATAAATTTTTTAATAATACCTAAATGAATTTTCGGCAAGATTCTTCAGTGTTAATTTTTTATTATGACTTAATATCTAAATTCCTCAATATTTGCAATAATTATAAAAAATAGAGAAGCATTTTCACACTTTATATTTCTTTTCAATTTAATATGTTACATTTATGTATAATATTCATACTTTTTGCAGTTAACGATCTCGCTTAAAATATAAAGGGAAAAATTTAATTTTTGCCTTTACAATACGCACGCAGTAAATTAATAATTTTTAAAGAAGCTAGCTGCTAATTGTAACACAAAACTTAGGCATATTAGCGAAAAAGAATTAAAAATATTAATTATCCACTTAAGTTATCATCAAAAAAGAATCAGTTAATTCATATAAAGCCTTTTCATTTCAACATTACATTCCATAAGACAACACGCCACTTAATCAAATGATATTTCATTAATTTCCATTCTTAATTTGATTGCAAAAAAACATTTGACATTCCTTGTTCTTTTGAGTAAATGATTTTAATCAATAGTAATATTGAATAATTCATATCTCAGCTTCTTTTTCAAGCAATTCATTCATAAATTGGAGAGACAATGCACGGGGGTCATCGATTTTAATAAAATACTAGCACTTTTTGATATTTGAAAGTTTATGACAATGACGGTTAAAAATAATTTTTGAACTTAAAACCCTACAAATTATTTTGATTATTCAAATATTTTTTGACTGTTAATTTTTTAAATCGATGAACCCCTTATAAAGTATTTAATTATTGACTCATCTTACTCAATTAGTAGTATAAAGATCAGTAAGAAATATATTGGCAAAAGTAATGGATACGATTTTATCAATCTGGCAATAAAGTGCGCATATAGCATGAATTCATTTATTATTTACATTAATTTACATTGCATAATTTTTAATTCTACATTTTTTTTTCTTCTTCACAAAAAGATAAAGATAGAAGGAAATAGTTTTGATTTTAATCGTTTTCAGTAACACGGAACAAAATCGAATTAACAGTTAAAATGTATGCCAAAAATTTTTATTCTGAATTCCAGTATGTAAAAGGGTAAATTAAATGAGTGATACTTTAAATATTAATGTCTATGAGACTTTTTGTAATTATTTCTAGTTGTTGTGTAAATTAATCTGAGAAGAGTTAGTAAAGGGAAAATTGGTTATTCTGCATCAGGCACTTTCAGTCATTTTCATTATTTGGTATAAAGATTTGTTATTTCATTATTAGTTTTGATGGTCGCTACTCGAGTGTGTTTTTTAAAACAGAAGGAAATAAATTCATTAAATGACTAAAATATTCTGTTGATCACATACTTTATGACCTGACTGATGCAAGAAATTTAAATGTAAAAGTTATTGATTAAAACTAATTGAAATAATGACGAACGATGATTTTACCTTGAACCTTTGTTTCTTTGTCTCTAATAGAGAGATTCTTCCGTCTTAACTTTGTTTGAGATTACAGTGATATAGCATGTCACTATCAATAAAAAGCTTCAACTACTTAACATTAACGATGAGGACATTGAAAATTGCAACATAAAGCCCTTTCCTCTCTTATTTCTTTTTTATCTGCTTCCATTCGCTTAATGTGCAATAAAACGAAACAGATTCATGATAATAAACGTGATGATGCAAGATTGAATGTGAATTTTTGATGAACTACTAGTTTCGTCGGCCTTACTCTCATTCACATCGTCATCATCTTCTTCTGATTCATAATTTTTTATTGAAGATTTTTCAGTAATTCTTTCTATTGCATTATTGGATATCGTCGAGAATATTGATCGATGCGTAGTAGAACTGGATGTTGTTGATGTCACGGTTCTTTGTGTCGTGGTCGTTGGCACAACTGTGTTATTATGTAGCCAGAATGTCGGACTATAATCAATTTCTAATTGATCCTCTAAGTTTGCCTCGTAGCCCTTAATTGTGAAGAATTAAAGAATTTAAGAATGAATAAGTAAGCAGGTTCTGCTTATTATGAAAAAATATTGAATGCACTTACAGCATTAACACGAATGCGGCGTTTCTTAGACTTAGTTCCATCAGCCCAATGAATAATTAAATGTGCATCATATGGTCCATCTCTTACTGTATAGTTTCCCCATAATGAAATATTCAATGCAGTTCCTGGCTGTAAAGTCGTAGAGACTCCTTTTGTATTCATTACGCGATTATTTGTCTCAAGTCCCCAGAAGCAGTTGTAGACTTCCTTTTTGGCAACAAAAACTGTCGTGTTTACACTGCGTGCAATTGCATCATGATGTCCCAAATTTCTTGTCAAGTTATATTCATATCCAATAACGGCATTTACTTCTGCTGATTGTTCTCCATCATTTCTTAGCATCGTTTGACCGAGTAAAATACGTTTAGTTTCAACTTTTAACTTAATAGTACTAAACTTAATATCATGTAATTCATAATGTAATGGCTCAAAAGTAACAAGAACCTGTCCGTTGTCAAATGTTTGCTCAGAACTAGATACTGTTGCGTGGATCTTTCCAAAACCTTCCTTCGGATCAAACCAGCCTAAATGAATTGAAATAAGATATATTAGAATTAGTTTTAAGCATCAGAACAGCTCATAAAAACTCACCTATCGCGTGATCTATTTCATGATGTTCCATTGAATGATTCTTCTTGTGTCTCGCTATGTAATAAACTTCCGACTGATAAACAAACAAATAAAGAAGGAACAATAGAATTATATAGACATTATATGAATAGGTGTTAACTTACACGTAATCCACTGTTGATTGTTGAGACGGTACCGTCAATGTGTGTAAATACGACTCCACTTTTCTCCCAATCAATCCAATCTATCTTGGCGCCGTTACCTTTATTCATTAAAAGCTCGAAATCACCTTTTGTCTTGATTTGCGAGTGCATTGAAACGATGCATACATGAGATTCTTCGTTGCGCTTTTTAACATATCCAGTCACAGCAATTGAGTTCACTGATGAGCGACAAATGTATGCTGGATATTTCTATATGATGAAATTAATAAGTTTATTGATTTTTTTAAAACAATTAAATGAAGTCATTTACCTCTAAGAATTCTCCAGCAGCAACTGCGTTCTCTAACTGATGTTTTGCATTGCTTGGATCAAATGGTTCCCATATTAGAAGACTAGACGTTACTAATTGACCAATTTTTTTGTCGAATACAGATACTGGCTTAGATGAGGCTGCAAACTCAATAAGGAGGATTATAGATAATAATAGAAGCTCCACAAATTTCATCATTATTACTGACTGTAAAAAAAAATGAGAAAAGAGATGATGAATGCATGAAAAAGTTAAATTAAGTATGCATATTATTATGTAATTCAATCAACTCGTTGATTGTGACAATTTTGCGACAATTTATGAACAACTTTGTCCTTCACATACTGCTTGCTATTCTATTTATGCTGCTATACGTCGCGTTTACATCAAATCTATCTAATTAATCAGAGATGAAACAAACAAAAAAATGCTTTTCATTTAGATCCAAAACACTTAAACAAAACAATTTATTCAGCACTCTGATAAATTGAGAATGCCTCTTTTCGGGTCAATTGTTGAAATTGCTAAATAGATAAATGATTTGACGTTTCGAAATTTATTTTAATAATGTTAACCTTTCTTGTTTTATTTCGCCAATAACTGTTATTAAGAACCATACAAATGCTCAAATTCTGTTGTGGGGTTTTGAAATTTTTGAAGAAAACACTAGATAGAATTAACCATCCCCCCCCTTTAAGAACCATACAAATGTAAAAATTCTGTTGTGGGGTTTTGAAATTTTTGAAGAAAACACTAGATAGAATTAACCACACCCCCCCTTTAAGAACCATACAAATGACAAAATTCTGTTGTGGGGTTTTGAAATTTTTGAAGAAAACACTAGATAGAATTAACCACCCCCCCCCCCCTTTAAGAACCATACAAATGTAAAAATTCTTTTGTGGGGTTTTGAAATTTTTGAAGAAAACACTAGAAAGAATTAACCCACCCCCCCCTTTACAAAGGAAGTAATAAATTTTGCTTGCTTGATGTCTTTCAAATTGTAAAAGAAAACAATTTTGTGTTTATTTGACCGACTACGACATTTGGCTTTTTCCTTTCTTATTCTTATCTATTTTATTACTTTCTTATGCTCCCCATTCGAAAAAAAAAAAACAATTTTACCGCTTCCAGCGATTTGGAATAGATATTTCATCAGGCAGCAAGTAAGCATGTACAACCAACCCTCCTTTTCAAATCATATGAAATATTAATGGAATTTTTCAAGAATAAAATAATAAAAAAGTCTTTTAAAACTCACTGAATCAAATTCAATTTTGTAGTAAAGAAAAAGAAGTCACAAAAATTGAATTGGAACCAACGTAATGCTATCTGATCTGCTTATATTTATATTTGAGAAAAGAATTATCATTTTGTAATAACTATTTATTCTCCTCCGTCTGTTATATATTTATAATTTTTCATATATCAAGTTCACTCATGACCATTCGGTGACGCTAATAGAATCTGACTTTCATTGAGGATGGGAAAAAATCTGTAAAGCATGTGGATATGCTGAAAAAATAATATTTAATTTGGAAATTCCATACACATGAAGTGACAATAAATTAATTGGGACATATTAATGTTCAATGGGTATTATATTTTTGAGTTTGTTCCTGCCTGCCTTGATAGCACTTGATTTTCATTATGTGACGTTTGACATTCATTCATTTGCATGGAATAATAAAATATAATATTAACAAACAACTACATTTGAGAGAGCACATAAAATGTGAAACACGAAACTACTTACTAATTAAGCTTTATAAAGGAACTAACATAAAACTGCATGCCTATTGCGCATTGATGGATTTTTAAAAGAAATTTAATTTTTCCCAAACAATGCTGTAAGTGGCACTGCTGACGAGAACATGCCATAAATAAACTCATTTCATGGACACTTTGTGATACAGTTATTTATGGCTCTCGAAAAATGCATTTTATGCTGTGCATTTAAAAAATTTCATGTCAATAAAAAAGGCAACAAAAGGCAGAACATGATGCTCTTTTCATCAGTTACGAAAATTATGCCCAAAGCAGCATGATTCGGGAGTCGTTTTGGGAAATTGCCAAAATAAACCATCATGCAACATTTAATTGAGGAATTAATTAGCTGTGTAGTTACAGTAGATAGTTTAAAATAACACAGTTGCCAAGTTAACTTGATAAATAAATAGAATAGCTGAATAAACATAATCTTTAATCCTTGGATTTAGTTTTAATCTTCAGATTCAATTGTAAAACATCGTAATCCCCAGATTCATTTCAACAGAACCATCTAATCTCCATTAGTGACGAAATAAATTACTAGAAGTCTAAATTTTTATGACAGCATGTTGAGTTTCATCAATTCATTTGAGAGGAATTAACACTTCAAGAACCATAAACAAAAAGCTGATAACAATGCGCTTAGGTCAATTGAAATAAACTTCCAGTTCAAATTACAATATTTTATTATTGTCTGCTTGACATCTTTCAATAGTCATTTATGTCTATTTTTATGACATGTCAATGAGATGCAGGAGATGAAGGAAGAGTGTTATCAAATAGAAATAATTTATATGCATAAAAAAAGATGTTGGAATTAACAACGCAAAAGAGAAAAAAAGGAAGGATAAAGTTTAATGGATAATTTATAGCGTTTCATAACGGACAGAGTTCCTTCCATCATCATCATCCTATACACTGTACACCGTTTCACACTAATGACTTCTTCCTCTTGAACAATCTACAATTCATGCATGATGATGGTGCCACTTTGGTGACGACATTCCATTCATATCTCACTCGAGAATGCGAATAATTTAGACAAGCAGGCAACAACAGAGAACAAGATAGGATGAGAAAATAATAATAGCATCAACAACAGAACAAAAGAATGGGTTGAAAGATGTGCAATTTTCACATCACCAGATTCACATGTCTATCTAAGAATGTACATTTTATATTAAACAAAAAAATTGTCTGCCAGATGCGATTTGTTGAGCTAGGTCCGGAGATAGAAAAAAAAACTGTAGCCATCAATTACGTATGCGATGCAATGCCAAAGTCCATAACAAATTGGTTTTGAATTTCAATACAAATTCTCTTTTAGTCCATAGAATAAATATTATTATCTATAATACCGTGGCACATGCTGTAAGTTGAAACCATTGAAAATTTGAATGAAATTAATTTTTTTCCCTCTCTCTGTTCCTCCTTCTTACTTCACACATTTTTCTCTGCTCACATCTATCGTCGGTATCATTACTATCTCTTTTTTCTACATTAAAGGCCACAGAGCAGAGGAAAAATAGGAAGTGAGAAAAATGGAAACCGAAATGAATGTGCATAAACAATGAAGCATTTCGACTATTCAGCAACTAACCAGTCAGTCAGATAGTCAACAATGAGATATACACAATAATTAAAAGAAATTCCATCCATGATGTTGGAGATGAGAAAATATATAAATTTATGGTAGAACGTCATCGTCAGTGGACGATTTAAGCGCATTTCAGCCTTGACTAGGTGTAATGGAAATTTTTAGAGGAACTATCTTGTTTAGTAGTTATTAGGGGCCGTTCACTTATTACGTTCGCATTTTAGGTGGGAGGGGGGTTTGAGAAATTGTAACAAAATGTAACATAGGGGGGGTGTCAAGAAGTATGTAACGTTCTAACTGTAGTTCACGAAAATTTTTCTTTTTACAAATTTCCACCTTTTTAATGATTTATGAAAAATAAATTATGAACGTTCAGGGGGGGGGGGTTGAGTTGTAACATATTGTAACAAGGGGGGGAGGGGGGTGAAAAAAGTCGTTTTTTTGCGTAACGTAATAAGTGAACGGCCCCTTACTTTCTATGAAGTTTAAGATTTACATGATAATTTTGTTCTATTAAAATCTAAGGGATAGATTTGACAATTTTTATTAATGAGCCATTACAAGATAAGCAGAATGTTCAAAATTTCATCTTTTACAGACATCATTTTAAAGATTCACAAGGACAGCAAACAAGACTTGTTTGCCACAAAAAATGAAATTTCAAAATCCGAAATATATCTTAAATGCACAAATAATAGTCAACAAATACGTATTTATTCACGTCACAAATGTCTTATCTTTGTCAAACCGTCCTCAAAATGTCAAGCAGCTATAGAAATATTTGGTACTATAAAAAGAGCTGTGATAATAATAAAGATGGTGATGATGATAAAGTAAAAGAAAGACTATTTTTTTTTTAATTATTCACTATCCATTCAGTTGGAAGTGCATTGTATGTTATATGTTGAACGATAAATAAGAAAGAACTTAATTAAATGAATGTACAATGATTCCCATCATCGAAAATGAAAAAAAAAACTTTTTGTTTTATTGAAACATTTATTACTTCTCAAATATAAACTCATTCTGCCTGTGCTGCCTGCCTTTACAATAGCTATGGCAAGTGGAATAACATGTAGGTTGAATTAAAATCTATTTATATGTCATCATCGACATAAGTTCGACAACTGACTATAAATAATTTATCAACATCAATGGCCCTGACTGCTTGCTTGCTAACGATTCAATAAAAAAATTGACAACGACGATGTAATGAAGGGTAAAAATGAGCAAGAGATAGAGTTGAGCATCATAATTTAAGTATGTAAGGTCCGCGATATAATTATGCTGAACGTGCATTCTCTTCCTCCCATTCTTATTATCAAGATTCACTTTATAATGAGTCGCCTTGGGACATTCAATTTTTTAATTATTGCTTTCTTTTTCGGTCATCATATTTATGGCTTTACATTCTCGGACAAAACAGTTAGGGGTGCTTCATAAATTATGTCCAGCATCTTAACAAACCCCAGATTTAAAGCTGTTTAGCACTTGACATATTTTTTGGGGTTTTTTTAAAAAAAATTATTTAAAGATTGACGTCACTTAGGAACGACTGCTTAAAAATTTCATATTTTATCATAAAAAGTTCACATGCTGAGCAGACAGGAGCAAAAAACAAAATTGAGTTATTTCACACTCAGTCTATGTCTCATGTGCCAAATCTATTTTCTTATCAAAATCGATACTTGAAGGAGACGACGAACCTATAAAATAATTTATTATGACTCATTTTACGATGACCTTTTTGAATGTTCTTATTCTTATTGCTTAATGCATGACTATGCTTTGCCAAATTGAATGAATAAGACTGTTGGAATTTTTCCTGGTTGATGACATCACCAGTTTTATTTTTCAATTGATTCTACTACCTAATTTGCTCAATAGCATGAGCCACAATAGTCATCATATATCATCCGAATAATTTATCACTTTAAATTTTTAAGTAGCTGATCTTAATCTATAATAATGCTTTTGTTTTTGACTAGATCTTTCTTTGACTAGAGCTTTACATAGTATGTACAAAATACCTTAACTACCAACATCCACGCTTCATCTCATCACGCGAGCAATTCGTTTAATGATCCATTTATTAATTCATACGTTTTTAAATAGCTATAGCTACACTGTATCTATTTATTTTACATTCTTTTCTCATCGCCTCGAGCTTGCTCTTTTGGTTATGGATGAGGAAACAAAAAACGTGACAAATTATTGTGCTTATATCTCAATCTTATCAATAAAAGTAAATGAAACAGTTTGTTGGAAACGACAGAGATTAATTCTTGGATTTAAAATTATAGTAGATAGAACAAAGGAAGAAGCAAGTGACAAAAATTATATAACGATCAATAAGCAGCACAGATTAAGAAAGAAAACAAAATTTAATTTAATTACCGTCCGAATGAAATTCCAGGAAGTCATTAAACTTAACCGAATTACTTTAAACTTTAGGTTCTGGTTTTTCTATCATTGATTGATAGTTGTATATAGAAAATTACTCGTCAGTCAGCATATCCGTTCAGTTGAAAAAATATCATCTCATTAAAGAGTCGTTTCTCAGTACCTACTTGCTGTTTTTTTTATGTTCACTCCAAAGTATATACTTTTGTTTTTCATATGTGTATATACGATCTACAGACACCCAAATTGTAAGTTTATGATATAAGTGCAGAGCATCATTTTACTGACTTCATAAACTGTGGAAAAAAGGAAGAAGATGCCGGTAAATATAATAAAGCGGCTTTGTAAAATGAGCTGTTTACTTATTCTCTCACATTTTTATTATTATATCTCGTTATGTCCATTTTGTGCCGTTGTAAGCTATGTAAATAGTTGACAACAAAAAGTTTCTCTTCTATCCGATCTAATATCGATAAATTCTTTCTACAAGGTCAGCAACGCATTTTTGTATTTTTTGCCGTTTGCCTGTTATGTTGTGTACAACAACAAAAAAAATTTATGGACGAATACAGCACATAGGAAAAAGTAATTTCCTCATTCATACCGCGGATCATAAATTTCAATTTGTCTAATAAATATCCAATTTCAACTTTTTTTGGACTGAACTTGTCATTTCACTTGACAAAAAAGTGAAATTAGATTTTCGCGCCAAGAAGCTACTGACCGACCGTTTCGCATTATTGAATCATATATCGCAAACTCAAAACTGCAAAAAGGCTCTTAAAATGCTAATGAAATTCAGAAATAAATTAGATTTTTTTTCATCTTTTCTTAAACTTTTAAGTAATAAGAAGGAACAGAAAGTGTATAGAATGATCAACTGGAAATGTTGAATGGGAGAGAGAGAATTAACATGACGTTTCAGTTAGCTACGAGAACACAGCAATAATAAGCGATCCACGATTTCAATAATTATTTTGGTTCCAAAAATTTCTTTTTCAGGTCGTTCATATAAAAACTGACCCCACTTCTCCTTTTTTCACAAAACTTTTTAATGATCAATAAGTTCAGACGGAATTTATTCAAAGCGTAGACCCCCCAGTCATCATATATCTTAAAGTCAAAAGATTTAAGAATTAAGAAAAAAAAGGATGACGACACGACTTTTGAGAATCTACATACAATTTTTATTTATTCATCTATAACAAATCTGCTTGAGACGTGTTTTGCCATTCTACATGCTTAAATCACTTTGAACTGATAATCGCGTAAATGAAGGCGAGTGCGAAATAATGAGAATAAGTAATAAAAGAGAAAAAGACGAATAGCTTCTCTGCCTGGCTTTTTAGGTAGATACAACGAATGAGCAGATTGATTTAACCGCAAAAACAAAAAGTTATTTCCAGCATGTTACAGTTGATGATTTTTGATATAAATATAATAGAAACTTTTCAGAGATAGGAGAAATAGTTGTGTCTATCATTATTACTTTAATACTTTAATGTAAACATGACGTCGAATTGTGCATAAAATAAATAGCTAGTCTAATGCTGAATTAGAGCAAATCGCTCAAACTCGGGGTCTCTTGGCTATGATGTTCACAGGTTTTGGATGTGATGGTTAATTATATATAATTTAAAGGTTTCCCTGAATTCAAATTTTGCCAAACTTTTTTATTAAACGTGTTAAAATGTCAACTTTTAACGGTTTTTGTCTACAGAAGAATCATATGACGTCATTGACGATGATAGCAAATTTCATACAGACTGCTCCCGTTTAAAATCCCGTTCTCCAATTTAAGTTGATTAAAATAAACCACCACCAAAAAAATAAGTATACATAGCACTTTCATAGAGGTTCAGGTTGTGTAATTAAAACTCATCCAGAAAGCGTGCATATATAAATATTTATAACAAAATAATAGCAATAAAAATTAGTACGACTTACCACGTTAAATGAATGAGTAAACACAAAAAAAAAATCTGAAATGATGCACGGTGTTCTCAGTTCCTTCTTTATATATCTTATAAGCACAAACGTAATATTATCGATTTTTCCTTTTTCTCTTTTTTTCTCACAAAAATTATTTCACAATTCCTCCTTTTTCTCTCCGATTCTTCTTTATTTCAGTTTGGCTTTTGATATGAAAATTTTCATGTGATTCAAATCATTCATTTCATATCGATTTTATGCTTAATTTTGTTTAATGTTTATCTAATAAAACATTCAATGATTTCTCGTGTCTAATTTTATCAAAAATCTTTAATTTTCATTGCACACACAAAGTAAAACTAATCGATTATTTCCTTCAACTCAACTCTCATAATTGCGGATAAATAAGCCGCGAAGATATCTATGGACCGAGAAATTACTTTCTCGATTATTATGCCTTATTATGATGTTTTGTAACCGTGATATTAAAAAATAATACTCGAAAAAAAATTATTATTAAACTTGAACTTTATGCTTCGAATTTTTGGGCGAGAATGATTATTGTAGCCGTTAAGTCTGAACGTATAATGTGTAACTGACTGACTGTGGCTCTCCGAAGAAGTAACACTAAAGAATGAACACGATTTTTAAATTCTCTCTCCTTATATTCTACGATACACTTTTATCTCACATCCTCTCTTCATTCTCGCTATGCTCATTCTGGATATTCCAGCATAACTCATGTTTTCTTTTGTTAATTTTTTAACGGTCAAAAATTATTTGAAATTTTAGCATAAAATTTCTATTTTTCTACACTTTTTCTTGCTGGCTCGAAACTCGATAATTCGAGGACTTCTTTTGATCCTGATCGATTCATTTGTTTGTTCTTTGTTTGCAGATATTGCTGATATAGATCAATCTTGTTGTTCTGTTAATACAATGCAATTAAAATGAATTTTCTATGTTTTCAATACAAAAAAATGAAAATAACATTAATTTTGAATTTAAAATATCCGTTAAATTTTTTAAAATGCCAATAATAATTAATAAAGTCATGACGCTTAGTTTACTAATGATGAGAAACTTTTTCAACAGCCTCCTTCTGTGATAAGAGTAAACATGACTAAAATAAGCAGAAATGTAAACAACAAACTTGTTATTGAAAGACTGTGTTTGTGGTTTCTTTGGGAATTATATAAAATGCTTAATTTTATTACCAATAATGAGTATAATTTCGTACTTAAAAGCTAAATGTAAATTGGAATTTGATTAGAATGTGAATTTTTAAGTAATTTTGTGTCCCATTTGTAAGTTTAATTAATCAGTTGTCAGATTTCTTTGGAAATATTTGTATCTTCAACATCCCATCCTTGTTAAATTCGTAAATCAGTGAATCCTTATCATACATTTGCAAGTTGATTGGATATGTCCTTTTAGAGAATTTCCTTGCAACAATCGAGTTATCATCCGGTGCGCATTTTCTTGTATTTACAACAATAGAGTCTCCTGAAAGCTCAACAGTCACTTCCTCACGTTTACACCGCTGTACATCCAGATTTATTTCAAAACTATTATTCGGCATTATTATTGGTGGTCAGTCGAAATAATAATAAAAACAGTCTTACACCTATGAACACAGAAACGAAAGTAAATCAGTGAGAAAGAAGAAGAGAAAAAATTGGAGTGGTTTTTTTGATATTTTTATTTGTCAATCTCCATACATATACATAAAATGCATGCCAGCATGTATGTATACAACAAGTAGCAACCAATACAATCTCAATTTGGGGAAGATCTTTCGAGAGAGTCATAGAACAGAAGAGAACAATAAAACTGCACACATAAAGTTTATGCACGTGTACGATGTAAATCTCATTTTACTGTTCGATTGTCTATTAATACACATTTACAAGATATTTGAGAGCTTTTTGAGATTACTTTTATGTGGAAATTAAGAGCCTTTTATGATAATAATGATAATCTTCTTTTATGTCTGTGAAGTATGCTTTTGATTGAATAATGTGCGCTCAATATTGAGAATGAATTGCTTTTAGCGATTCCTTATAGACTGATATTAATGTTAATTGTGTGATAAAAATCTAACGGCTTTTAAGAATTCAAATTCTATGCTCAATAACGGTTGTAGAGATTGTTGTTTACAAGAAATGAATTCATCAAATATTAAGTATAAAAACGACCTCGAAATGGACAGAAATGTAAATAAAATAGAAGTCAATTAAATCCTTTTACCGACTAAATTATTCAGATAAGAATTACCTCTCAAATTAAGCTTAATTTTGAGCAATTAATTTTCTTGTAATTTAGATCATAAAATTCAAATTAAAAATGGCTGTTAAATTGCTCATCCTTACAGTAATGATTTCATGACATTGATAATTTGCGATGTGACTATTTATAGAGCTTTTTTAAGATAGTCAATAACTTTTTCTTCGTATATTAAACTTAGACATGAAATTCAACTATCGTAATTCACTTTTGTAGAATGTTTTTGATCGAAAGACTCGAATAATGAAATACGATGCCTTCCTTAATTTCCATATAACATGCGTAGAATAATTTAGTAGTACCTATATTTAGATTGAAGATAATAAAAAGTACAAAAAACCGCTGAAATGTAAAGGATCTATGGTCGATTACAATATTCATGTGACGTCATTCCATCGATAGTCAAAAATTTGTATTTTTAGAATGTGCTTTCGATTACACGTTCTTTCCTTTATTATTAATATTAATATATATAAGTGAATCAACAAACTATATCGTGCGCTTATGAACGTTACGTGCTAGATAGAATTTAAGTAATAGGAAAAAGGACATAACAAATATTGCGAGGAAGAGATTTCGCATATTAGAAAAAAATTCGTTTCCTTTTCACTGTTAAGTATATGCTGCTGCTACTGCGTTATATAATAAGTCGATGGCAATGTTAGTTAAAAATTGGTTTTGATTACATTGAACATTATTATTAAATGGATTGGAATCATAAATAGATGTAAAGATAAAAATGCTACACATCTACAAGCTATGTAATTTCCTTTCTTTTTGTCATTGTCCTCATAATAAAAATTTCGTTGATGCTTTTTTGTCTTTTTCATATTTTAGATGTGAGGTAGATTCTCTCAATATATATATGCTCAAAATGTGATCGAATTAAAAAATCGTGTTCATGTTCTTAGACACTAAATAACGCGAACAATGAATTAAAAACGAAATGCATTGTGATTAAAAATTGTGATAACAAGCAATTTCATTCTTTTCAACATTATTATCCCACCTCGCATTAATATCTTTCCAACAAGAATATTATTTGAGAAAAAACAAAAAACAAAAAACAATCTGCAACTCTTAATGAATAATTAACTTTTTTGGACCGATTCTACTAAATTGATCTATTCTGTATCTAATCTGATCAAGATTTAAAATTAATCTTGCTATTTTTTCTTAAAAAAATTAATCCTGTGATTTACAAACTCGAAAAAACTATCGCAGGATTAAAAGGTAAGTAGCTAGTCGAATCTAGAATAATCGGTCCATAATTGTTTATGTCTAAATCTATAATAGTATTCGTAAATGAATTCTAAATGACTCAAATTACTAGGAATGCTCGTCTGTGCGTGCGTGAATGTGCTTAAGTGCTGTTGTCTAATCGGCTATGGCGATTAGACAGCATCACATCATTCATCTTCCTCATCACTTGGTATTGAGTGTGATCGCTTCATCAATGAGTTTGCACGATTGGATAACAGACTCATTAAGAATGATGGCTTCTCTGTTGTTGTTATTTCGACTTTGCGCTCTTCACCAGCCACTTGAGGCTTTGGGGCTTCCAACAACAAAATTCCCTCTTTTGACAATGTTGACGTTACTAATGACATGTCGAATTCGTATGGTAAATTGAATTTTCTCACGAAAGACCTCTCCACTGAACCGTGATTATCTTCACGAGAATCATGTTTGCACTCAACAACTATGGTATGATCGATAGTCTTTACACTGACTTCTTTTGCATCAAATAAATGAACATCCACAAACGCTGTAAATCCTTTTGAATCAAATCGATGAGTTCTTGGTTCAGAATCAATGACATTTGAGGGAACTGACCAAGAACGAGCACGAGGAAGCATTCCAAAACTGGTTTTTACTTCTAAAAAAATAATCATAGAAGAAAATTTTTGTTTGAAAAATTTTTCATGGAATAAATATGGCGATGGATATACAATTTTTTTTTTTTGACAGATAAGAGGATTGATAATGCATACCATGATCAAAAGGCGTTTCAAATATGTTGCATCCATAAGGTAGATAAGCCATTATGTACTTCATTCACTTAAATGACGTTTTTATTCTTAAATGTATCCTCTCACAAATATTGACTTTTTTTTCCTCTAGTTTCTCTTCCAAGTTATCACTTCCAATGAAAATGTTAGACTGAAAAATTTTCTTCTACTCTCTGTGTCCTATATAAATTTTTTCTCGGCTTGCGTGACTACATTTTCATTTTTACGGTATGCTTATGCTTTCCTTTGTTGTTGCTGAATCGTAGTATTATGCGTATTACATGTTCCTTTTGCCTGTAAATTCTATAAAAACTGCGCATTTTTACAACGAAACTGACCATTCCCACTAGACGACTATGGAACAAACTTGAATATTCGACAAAATACATAATACGCGTGTTACTTCCCATCCAGTTTCATAATCATCACAAAAACAAACAATTTCGCACACGTTTTTGGATCGATTTTTTCCTTATTCTTCTTCTTATTCCTTGCTATATGTTTTTATCTCGCACAAACAACTCACACGCTGCAAAATCTGAAATTCAATACAAATTAGTCATCATCGTCTCTGCCTTAAACATTTGTATTTAGCTTTCCAACCAACACATATTAACAACAACAGAACAATGAACAGCAAGTAATGGAAAGTAAGAAGAAAGCTCTCAAGGTTATTTGAAAAATTCGTCACTTCCATAAAGTTTTTATTTTGTTTATTACAACCCTTTTTTCGCATAAGATATTTGCACACAATCAAAGAGATGTATTTAATGCTACACATGTCATAGATACGATAAAATCCATTAACTTGTGTTTGTCTGTTTGTTTTGCTTGCTTGCCGGCACGTTTTATAACGGAATGATATTTTCTGGAAGGAAATTGACCCAAAGCATTGATTTTTATTGACACGCAATTTTATTTTAAGTAAGTTTTAAATGCCTTTACGTGGCTTTTATTTCACACAAAACACTCAAATATCGATTATAAGAAATCATAATTAATAGCAAAATTCGTAATTAAATTAATATCATAAAGATGTGAAAGTAAGTTAATCCTTTTTAAGAGAGGTAGAGTTCTAAACGTTTACAAAATTCTTAATGCTTATTTAGTTTCTGTTATTAATATGAGGTTTTGTGCATCAGTCTGAGATTTTATTTTTTAAGTTTTGAGCCACGACATTCTAGTTTCCATTCGAGGCTTCTCCATCTTCTTTTGGTTGGTCATCAATATGCTTCTTGTTATGCTTAACGCTTAAGTGAGCTGGAGCATTTGTATGTGTAATTGGGATGTGACGTTCGCTAGCTCCTTCAATTGCTGGTGGTGGAGCTTTGATTGTAAGGACGCCGTCAGACGACAATGTTGAATGAACATTATTCATGTCATATTCTTTAGGCAAGACATATTTGCGAACGAAATGACGTTGAACTGAACCATGACCATCTTCTCGTTCTTCATGTTTTCCTTCAATTGTGACTGTATGATCAACAGTCTTAACAGTGATCTCACTTGGAGCAAAATGATGAACATCTACACAGGCTTGGAATCCATCCTTGCCGAAATGCAAGTTCTTTTGATCTTTGGCGAGTTCACCGACTGCTTCACGAGCTAATTGCCATGGTCGTCGATATCCAGTCATTAAGTGATGATTGCCTTGACGTGGAAGAATACGATGCGATGAAAAATCATGAGGCATAATTCCCATACCGAATCTTGGTTCCATTCCTGTATGTTTGTAGATAAAAAGAAAAATCAATGAATTTTATTGTACATGGAAGCTGGTGTTTTAGATTATATCCACATCTTATTAATTACTATTAAATTAATGATTTTGAAAGGTTCAATCAATTATTCTGTAGATCCGGTGTGGATATAAAACAATAGAATAATATTACACCGGTTATCACAATGGCGTATTTTGGCAAGAAACGAAAAATTGATTTTTTACAAAATTGAAGTGCATACCGTGGTGGAAGAATGGATCTTCAAAGATGTCAAAAGCTTGGAAAGGATTCAATGCCATTTTTAATACTTGATTTGTGCTTTTTTATATGTTAATTAGAAGTTAAAAGTTTAGTAATTGCAAAACACTACTAAGCGAGGCTCTTACTTCGAAAGAAACTTAATGAATGATGAAATCTATTCCAATTTCGAGTTTATATATATAGTTTTTACTTTGAAGTACTAGCTTCGAATGTTCTTGAATACGAATTTTCAAGAACAGTTGAGAAAAATTAGAATCTTCTACATCAATTCAGAATCTCAGAAAATGTTGATGTCTTTTATTTATCGAATATATCCTTTAAAAGTCTTAATATTAACAGTAGATTTTTTTTAAAGAGATCATTAAGGGAGGAATAAAGGTCGTTTTAACCAACGGAGTTTGGAACAATAACTATTTTGCTTAAAAGAATTTAGATAAAATGTAATTTTTGAAATCTAAAGGCAACATGTGCTCGAACGGATGAAGTAACAATTTGTCTGAAATAAAGATTACATCCTAATTTGAATAGACCTTTTGGAGAGTCATTCAGAATGATCAACGATGGATGTAGAGATTTAACAGTGATTTTTCATGCAGAAAAACTTGTCTTGATCTCTCAATGGAATTGAAAGTAAAACACCGGAAATGGATGTAGAATGAAAAGAAACAGTTGGAGATTTATGAATGAGAATGAGTCGTGGTGCAACAGAAGCATAAACCCGAAGATACTTACAAAGTACGCATGTCCCATACTCTCCTAAAATACGAATGAAAAATTGTACTTTATCGTTCAGAATTAGAGTATTCAGTCGTTAAAAGCTTTGCAAGGAAACAAGTTGTCTCTGCAATCATTTCAAAATATCACACAGTTCAAGTAGGAAGGAAAGAAAGAAAAAAATTGAGTGTTTAACTTGTTGGTTCAATTATACGAAAACAAAAAAAAGAGTTAATTGATAATCTTTGGAGATTCAAAGTTAGATTTGGAATTGCAGAAATTTTTCCAATCATAAAGGATAAATCAGTCTGAGAATTTTAAGGTAAGACATGAACGGTGCCTTGGAAAAGGTACCAGAGATAGAAAATAATTTATCAAGGAAAATGATAGGTTCTATGATTTAAAAATATATATCTACTCCAAATACAACAACAAAAAAGCCCACGAGAGAATTTATACAGCACAGCTAAAATAAAATTATAATAAAAATGTAGCGATTTGACATACACAGGATTATATCAAAATCATACATTTTCTGCTCTCTCAAGTCCCTGGATTTTTATGTTGGCTGGATGGTGTGAAAAAGTGAATCGTTGAACAGAAACAATAAAGCAAGCATTTCATCTTGAGACATTCAAAAGTATGACTTTTTTTCCTCAATATTAAAAAGAGCAGGAAGATGTAAAAGGGAGCATATTTCACATTTTTATACGGAAAAGGGTACGAGCAGATAATAGAAAGGTTCTTGTGAGGAAAAAAATTAGCATCGATATTCTTTGGGGGATCTTCAATTCAAATAAGGTTTTAGTTCCTTTAAAAATCTCGTTCAATCTTTGTTTCGCAAGATTTTCATCTTTGAAAAAAAAAGTCTTCAAAAAAACAGGGAAATTATTCAAATCGAGGACCCCCTGAATTTACATCAGAGCACTGAACATTGAGGTATGGCATGCATGTATTTTCCAATTTCTGTAAAATAGAATTGCTGTAATATAAAATGAGAAGACAAGATAATTATGCTATTCATACCTCTCAACCTTTACAACATAATCTTCATCGATATTCGTTTTCATTTGCCTGCCTCTTACAAGAATTGCCTCTTTATATTAATGTCTTTCTGTGCTCTACATGAGAATATTGATATAGTCACATATCCATTGGCTTATTTTAAAAATAATAATATTTGTTGATTATGGAGATTAAATCCGAAAAAAATACAATATTCGTTCCTAAAGCGGTTTGTGGAAAGGAACAAGAGCGTATCACACAAATTTTTATTTTATTCATTCGCAGGAACAAAAGCTGAACAGATAAAATTTACATTTATGCCTTACAACAAGTAGGCAGTCGCACAGGATAAAGTGCGAAAAATAATTCTGCATAATTTTAATCTGCCACTTGCTTATTTCAATTACCATAAATCAGTGGGTATTAAGAGTGTATGAAAGATAAAAGGAAGCAGTTATAATCCACCGTAAAGCATAGAAAATTTTAGGAAATTGTATTTGATGGGATAATTGTTTGACCTTATTCCTTTTTGTTGATCTTTGATGGCTTGGGATTTTCTCTTCTTTTACTTCCTTTTTTTGTGGTCTAGATTTGAGAAAAATTACATAAAACTTAATAAGTATCAAAGACAAACCAAACATCAGCAAATGCACTTTATCATGTCATATAACTCTTAGAAAACTTAATTCAATTCTTGTTGATGTTTTCTGACGACTTTTAAAGTTGTTCTTTTTCTACTTTAATCCTTTTACTTTGGGTTTCTCAAACCTTCCTTAATTATAATCTGTTCTTTATTTTGAAAATGGCAAAAGCTAGAGAAAATCCTTTAATTAAATTGGGTTTGCAAATTTGAAAAGTTTTATAAAGAGTCATTGAGTTAGAAGATGAAATTTTGCAATTGGGAATCTTATTTTCAATTCATTGACTTCATTTCTGTCCATATATCAAGATCTAAACAGTTGAAGAATAATTAATTTCTTAACAATAAATTTTCGGAAGTTTCTTTAAATTCCAGTTCACTGTATCTTGTCCAAAAGTATGAAGTAGTAATAAAGCTCAATTTTGCACTTCAACAGCAATATAAATTTACGTCAGAGCACAAAAGCACTAGTGGCTATTTATCTCAGTACGGTTTTAATTACGTGAACCTTTAACTTTTCCTCTGATGCTCCTCAATCAACATTAATTGTAGAAATAAATTTTATATACTTTTTGATTCAATCTTTCCTCCTCTAAAGGGAGAAATGTTCATTAAAGAAGCATGAACGAAGAAAAAAAAAGTTCACCTCGAATGTTATAAGCCTGCGGTTAAAAAATTACATAATAATAATATGTAAGTGACATTGCGTGCCTTTTTCATCATAACAAACGTTTCTTTATTGCTCAACTTGCTCGTATCAGTTAGGAAAAAAAAGGCTTCTTCCTCGTTCTTTTGAATTTTTAATTCTCTTATATGACAATGGGCATGTGACATTCAAAAGTGCGTATATAGTGGTGCTGTTATCTTTACTCCTTACACAAACAAATTATTCAAAAAGAAATAAAAGAACGAATCGTGTTTAGCATATCGGAATCTTCATTATCTGGCAATAACAATAAAGTGGAAATAAGAATGGAAAAATTTGTCCACGGAAATTGAAAGCTATTTCTCGCTTGGACTACAACTTGAAACTTACGAATTTTTGCTATCTTGTTTGTCTGTCTGTGCTCGTCTTGAGGGCAAATTGCGCTTCTATTTCATACTAGCATGACAAAATTTACTCTTCCTTAAAATTGGCTTCTTCACATTTCCTTGCTTGATATTTTCCAATAAAAAAAGCATCATGTGCATGAACAGAATCTAAGCACGAACTTTCTTTATTTGCAGATAATTGTGTTATATCTCCTATTTGAATCATATTGATATCTAGCAAGCCTACAGCCATATTCTCTCGGTTTTTAAACGAATAAATTGTGTGCAATTAAAAGTTATACAAAAGGAGCATCCTTGTTGCCATTCACAGACACAAAACACAAAAAAATATAAATTAAAATGGAAGCTGCAAAACAAAAGCGTGTAAATGTTGAAAAGGCACAGAACTTCATGCGCCAGTACAGAGATCCAGAATCTCGTGAGCTCAAAAAATTATCAGCTCATCAATTTATGGATGTTTGGAGCCATTATGATAAGGATGGTGAGTAATGATTTATCTATACCAATTTTTCTTTATTTTTTATTCATCATATGCTCCGATTTTTACCCATTACACATCTCTAAGAATAATAGTGTCATTTCTTTCGAATACATTCTTCGCTAGCAATTTGTCAATTCAACAATATGTATGGAAAATAATGGAACTGATGGTACGGGGACTCGTCGGAAAAATTGGGAAATTTATAATTCTCAAACTTTACTAGCAGAAACTTCATATCAAGTTACCACATCTTCTTCTTTTATGGTTCTAAGCCTTTGATCAAGGCGTGGAAACTATCCCAAAAATCTCATTTATCCCATATATCCCAAAAATATTCAAAATAATACCTGAGCATGTATGCATTAGAATTGAGATATTGATTTTTGGGATATGTGGGATAAATATGATATTTGGGATAGTTTCCACGCCTTGCTTTTGATCGATTCATGAGTTTCTCAAAATTAAGAAAAATGGGAGTTAAGTAAAGCTCAAATGTATATTGTCAATTCCTATCGTTTTTAGATACTCTATGTGTATCCATTCTATATCACTCTTCTTTCACATCCTTTTTCTGTCTTGTTGCTTATTCAAGTCACTTCGTTTTGTTTCTATTAGGTCTTTGAATTTCAAATCAGATGATATTGTCTATTATTTTTCCTTCTTTTCATCATCATCATGAAGCATCATTTTTATGGTCTGAACATTGATGAGAAAAAGTGGTAAAGGAATGGATATTTGGAGAAAATCAAAATGATAAGAGTTATTTACATGTATGAGGATTCATAAAGTTGATAATCAAGGGTCTGCATTTTCAATTTCCTTTTCATATTTTCTGCCATTTTCTGATATAAAGGATGTGATGAATATTTGCGCAAAAATTCTCCGAAATTCGATTAAAAATAATTTCTTATCTCATAATATGTACGTCCATCAATCGGCGTCTGTTTCCTACATATCCAAATTGTTTTTACTGAAGCAGATGCTCAAAACTGCTCACTTGGGAAACATTACTCGCAACTAATTTCATATTAATGTGGATATATTATTTATTAATAATGGTAAACATCAATTGACTGAGCTTTTTTTTTGTGAGTTAAATGCTGAAAGGAATAAATTCCTCTTTTATATTCCCTTTTAATTTATTTATTCCTCTTTCTTTTATTTCGTATATATTGGTATTTTATGTTTAGAAAGCTTAAGTAGTATAATAAATAAAGCACTCCCCAACAGTACTCTACGCCTTTGCCTTTTCATCGTCTATAAAAATCTTAAGAAAATGAGTAAAAGAAAGAAATCTTTTGTATGTCTCTTTTTTGCTAAAGTTCTTTATATATTTCATTTTATGTAAGGATAGGGAGAGATAAGAAGCTTCCTTAAGAATCATCAGGCCTTTTTTTGGTGTTGTATATGGCGTACTTTTAGTTCCAATGTGTTGTTAAAGCTGAGTTTGAATTTAAAAACTTAAAGGAACTGAATTTTTTTCGCTCAATTCCGAAAATTCAATTATAAAAGATTCAATTCTACTAATATACTAAAACTTAATGCTAGAAAAATGTATCCCACCTACAAGGAACTGCTTTTAATACATTCAAATCCATGAAACACAGTTCTTTCCTTAATTTTAAAAGATCCAGTCAATCTACAGAGCAGAATGATTTTATCAGTATGAGAATCTAAGAAAGAAGTGAACACTAAAAAGTATGTGGAAGTAAAGAGATACATGGAGTATAAACGGGAAAATGAAATAATCCAAAAGGATTTTCTTTTTAATTTCTTTCATCTTTTCTCTTTCTTTATTCCTTCCAATGTAAACACATGCAACCATAATATAATCATTATGAAAAAAAAGGAAACGGTTTCATTGAAGGAACGGAACTGGATGGATTTCTTCGAGAGTTTGTAGCAAGCGCAAATCCAACAGAAGTGAATTCTGAGGTGAGTCATTTTAATATATTCCATATAAGTGCGAGAATTTCTTACACGTGTGCCATCACGCATATAAATATATTTATTTATGTGAACCATTGTGCCAACTTCATCATTCATTGGTATACAGCCATACAGAGCAGAAATAATAATAATATCTGTTGGAGGAACATTTTAACGTATTTCCCTACCAGATGAGATTTATTATAAGGCATATAAATGAGATCGAGCAAATAAAAAATCAGAAAGAACATGGAGGTGGGTCAATATAGATATATGAGGATGTCATGGCCATATGAGGCACTTTATGTGGTTTTATTTTGTATTATTACTTAGAAAAGGCTCTTTGAAAAAATGGGAAAAATAAATAAAAATGTTCTCGTTCCATGCGTGCAAATTAATTACTTTGTCAGTATTCAAGTATGCATATACCTTAAGAACAGGGGCCAACCTCTCTCTGGCATAAATTCGTGTCTAATTAACATTACAAAGAAACATAAAGGGAAAATTGTAACATAAAATGATGATGAAAATAGAAGTAAAGAGAAGGAGAACAGAAATAAAAGTAACCGAGCACAACAAAGAATCGTTTATGATAAACTTAGCCTCTGTTCAACTTTAAGTTACAAGTGTATCCACAGACCACAAAGAAGATTTATTCGGATAAATTAATTGAACCATGAAAAAGGATGTTTTTATGGAAATGTCGAGTATAGCCACAAATTTCTATTCTGGTGATGATCCGATTCTTTACATTTCGAATTATAAGCTTTTGCTTTTATTGTAAATGAAGCAACTAGAAGCGAGACGTAAGAATAACAGACATCGATTTATAGAAATGACTATATCATGTTGTGCGAACAAGTTGCTGTTTACATTCAAAATATTCCTCATCATCAGTTTTTTATTCTATACATATTGGCTACAGCATCTGATGCTGATTGCATGAAAATTCCAATAAAATTTAAAAGTGTCATAATTGGGTCTCTTCCTCTATTTGTCTGAGTGCTTGAATTTGATAAAGATGATGAGAATGGAAACGGATGAGATACAGAATGAGGTAAACAATGGAAAACAAAAAAAACTTTTGTTTTTTTAAGATAAACAAAAGCCAATAAAAAATTTTCCATTCCACTTTTATATCCATTTCATGCCACAGAAGTTATACAAGTTTTATCCTCATTCATTTATTAATTTTTCATTCATTCAATTTTATTATTTTTTGTCTGTCTTCATTTCAAGTCTGTACTCTGTACTATCCAGTCTAATAATCAATAATAGTTTAGTGAATAAATATTTAATCCAATTTCAGTGTCCCCTCCACTTGTAACCAGTAGCATGAAAAAATATTTGCCTTTTCATTATTTTTATTTTTGAATTGAAATCATTTTTAAATGAGTTACAGACCTAAGAATTCATCATGCATGATTCTCGCATTTAATTTGTTTATTTTTATTGTGAAACAACCATAACTCTATCAATTGGTCATATATTCATGAATTTATTGGTAATCAAAAAATGATTTTGTTATTCATAAATTTTTTTTTGGGGCTTCTCAAGTTTTTATGTTTGTGACGAATGACTCGTGATTCTATGAATTTGTAATATTTGGTCAACGGAACTGTTTTTATTCTTAACCTTAACTACGATGTGGATTCAAGGAAATTTCTATTAAATAAATATTGAACCGGATCTACCATCAAAAAATCCTAGATCCTGTCGATAAATGTTGAATCGCCAAAACAAAATCGCTAATAAAGTCTGCATGAGCAGCATATAATCAAAATGCCTACTATTTGGTACATAATGTGATAATTCATGTCAGTAGTTTTCAGTAAATAGTTGATTAACTCATTCAGCATTCCAAAATGTAATCATTATTGCTTCAATTTCATGTATTTCATTTTAACATTATAGTCATTGCTCAGCCACATTTTTAGACATGTGTATGTATTTATTATAGAGTTTATAAAAAATTTAAGGAGCATGAAAATAACTTTTGAATTTCAATGAAGGAAAAGATGAAGGAAAAACTATGTATACATGCATATGTTACAATTTGTGTATTGAATCCATGGTGAGAACATGTCCGTAAAAGGCGTTCAACCGTTATAAAGGATTTTATGATGGTATATTTCGCTTTATTAAAATATTTTTCACAACTTTTCATTTCGAAATAAATTTCAAGCTTTTTGACATGGAAATGCGAAGGCAAAACAACAAACTATTGAAAAAAGATTGCTGTTCAGCATATGGCTCATATAATTTTATCGCTGAAATCAAATCATGCGAATGAAAAATCTAATAAAAATACAACTAATGAAAGTCAATAACTTTCAGAGTCGGGGTGTTTCTAACAGCTTGCTGGTTTCGGACTGAATATGTTGATTTGAACATTAAAGAGATTTAAAGTTTATTATTTTATAGAATAAAATGAAATGTAGTGAAAATAATAGCTTGATGTGCGGTTAAAGTTAAAGTTGTACTCGTTCAGAAAGGTATTCAAGGATTATTCTTACAGACATCAATTCTGCAATGATTTGTTAATTCCCATAACTCATGATTATCTATCGCTGGTCTTCTGCAGCCAAACATACAGCTAAAGCTCGAAGTTGACTGGAGATTTTTATCGATTTCGACTCTATACAAAATTTTATCGACTTCGAGCTCTGCATACAGCTATAGGATATTTGTAAGAGCTCATTATTTACTTCTATTGACTGTAAAATATAAGGAAAATTTCGAATTTTAATTAAAATTTAAATGGGTAGAGGCCAGACAGAGGTTGAAAACTTTTCAAGACAACCTTTTTGATCGACCTTAAAACTTCATGAATTTATTTGATTTATTAATTCTTGATGACATTTTATTGACATTTTAAATAGTTTCAGTCATTCTATATAGCATGCGAATATACATTAAACTTTCTGTATAGCATTAATTTTCTGAATATTTAGAGTAAGAAGCAAAAAATTATATCCAAAGAGTCATGAAGTAGCGGTTTTTAAGCCAAGCTAGAAATAAATTAAATTAAACTGGCAACGAAATCAATAATTATATCTTCCATGCTCAGTTGATGCCAATTTGGAAGTCATGTACATGATCGTGTTCCTTAATACATATCTCATGAAAATGTTGTTGCATGATTGCCACAAAATTTTCTTAATAAGAGGGAAGCAAAGAGTAAATGACATTGGAATAGTTTATTTTTTCGGAATAGACTCACGTTCTTCTTATAAAATCCATTTTCGCATTTTTACAATCCTTAATTTCAACCAATACGCTCTTGTGCTACATGTTGGTTTACCCCGATTCTCTTGCCACAATTTCTTTATTCATTTCAACCGCACACATATGTTTGATGCATAGAGTTTTCTTTATAAGCCATGCTGAATTATGATCTACATGAACAAAAGGATATAAAGAGTATCATTATTCTTATGTATTTTCTGTTCCATTCTTCCATCTTTTTTGTATGCTTTAAAAAAATCATTGAGGAAGATAAATACATACAACCATCTTTGTCTAAATACAACTGACGTAGCATCAAGGTTTTTTTTTGTTCTGTCGATTTATTTTCTTTACGGAGGCGCTTTTTTTGCAATTTTGAGATTCTCGTGTCTTTCACAAAAAAGCAAGAAAATTTCCGTCTGAAACAACATTCCATTCTAATAAACTTTTTGGTTTTCAGCCAATCTATTTGATTCAAAATTCTTGTTATTTTATTTTCAAGCTATAAAAAAATTATTTGGTTATATCATGAAGCATCATGAACAAATGGATGTTTGCAAATTGCGAAAAAAGAAATGTTTATTTCTTCAATAAATTATACTCTAAAGATATAATGTTGATGCAATGACATGGGGGTAGATACGAGAATATTTTTTTACTCCTCTATCGTTCCTTCATATCTTTGTAGTCGCACCTTGTGTTTGCAATCCTGAGAACATGCCAACTTCCATATTTAAGCAAGTACTGTGCTTCAGCTTTAAGTCGCTTAATTTGTTGCTTTATCCGAAAATCTCAAACAATTCAGAAACTTTAAGAAATTTTCAATCGAAAGGTTTTCTCCATTCCTATGGCACCCAAAAGCACTATATTACTTCCCATTATGTTTACGATCAATGGATATTCGTTGCCCTTAAGGGATATGAATGTAAGGAACACAAATTCTCATCAGATCCCATGCAATTCTAAGAAAAGGGAAAGAAAATCAGAATTTGTTTTATTTCTCGAGGATATCCAATGATATTATGGAGGCAGCATTTAACCCACAAAATAAATAAATCACCTCATCAATCTCATCCTCAAATTGAAAATCTGTTATCATAATAATTGCCATTTCTGGTCTATAACCTTTGACCAAAAAGCTATTAATGGGTTGATTACAAATCACAAAGGTTATGACTGAATAAATTGTAAAGGTTTCAAAATCCTGCTAAATCACTTCTGAATTGCTACTTCCTTAATCTTCTTTCGAAAGAATTTTTCAATTAACAGAATTTTGCTGTATATCTCTTAAGGCTTTTTCACAAGAATCTGTCAAGTCTTACAAAGTTGACGTTTTTTTATACAGCGTGCTCACAAATTTAGTTTTAGAATTTTCACAGACATGTATATAATAAATTGTAAAAAGATAAGGCATTAAATACATTAGAGCTGTCAAAAAAATTTAAATTGCTTTAAAAGAAGTGATATAAGTTCTACATTACTTTAAATTTTATGGGTTCTAATTCACATCGTAGATAAATATCTTTCAATTTTGTATGAGAGTTTCCCCGAAGTAAAGCACATGAAAAGTTCTTTACAATCTTCAATGACTCTTAGTCTTTCTACATAGGATGTATTCGAGCGGTGTGGTGTAGGAAAAATTCAGCAAGTTTCTTCTATTTTTTTGAAAAAGTTTTATTATAAGACCCTTGTTGGAGATTTAACATGATGATGATGATGACGACGATATCGCTTTGAGTAGTTTTAATCATAGCAATTAAGAAATTAAAGTATGTAACTAGCTTTAAAGAGATGATCATGAAAAATTCAGAGATTTCTAATGCTGATGATTTAGATATGATCTGGATTAACTTAGCAGTCGATGTATACATCCCTAACATTTCAATACTCTTGCATTATTAAACTTTGTCTGTCAATTCTCTTCTATTCCAAACCAAATAATGCAATGACAGAAATTTCTATACGGTGTGAATGTGTCAATATTGGGAAATACTTACCTCGTCTACTATCACTTTTTATTATTAGAATTACGCTTCAGTATAACATTTATGGATGGAAGCAAAAAAAATTATTTTATATAATCTGTTGGCGTCGAGAAGCGATTTGAAAAAAGAAAACACAAGCAAGAAATAAAGATTGAAATGCTCTCATTTATTTAATATCTCTTTTTCATTTTTTATACTCCACGTTTTCGATCATTTCCCAATTTATCAAAGGAATAAATTACATTCGTAATGTAAAAAAGTTGAAAATTTTTCAGCGATCCAATATTATCGGAATTGAAATGAAAAAATGAATTTGAGAAGAATAAAAATGTATCAATCAACAAAATTAAATAGAGCACAAGGTACATGAAAGGGAATGAGACTGAAATTTTTTTACACGTTTGCGTTTGGAAAAATAAACAGCAATTTGCCGAAAATAATTTTTCATACATTCTTTAGGGGTACTAAAGTAAATGACGTCCATCATCAATTAGAGTAAGTTAGATATAAGGTGTTAAAATTAGTAGGGGATGTTTGTATGATCGCGAACGTGGTTCTGTTTGCCTTAGATACTTTTAAATAAAGAGAGATCTAGGAATGGCGATTTAGACTAAGTTTAAATACTATAAGCTTCCTTTTAATGATCATTTGCATCTAAAGTTAACCTTACATACATTGAACTATATCAATTGACATCATCAACGATCAACTCCTTATCTTTAGTGTACCCACTGTTTCCATTCATTTTCATCATCAAAATTTATACACAAAAGAGCAGCTTTAGTGTAGGCAAGAAAAACAAGTTAGGCAGTCAGTCAAACAAGCGCGCGAGAGAGAGTAGGAACAGTAAGAAGATTGAATAAACTTTCCACGTCAAATCGATTTTCATTTTCTTTTGTTTTTCATTCGCAAAAAGAAAACTGTATATATGGAACGTAAAACCGAGAAATAAAAATCTTAAACGCACGAGGCGCTATTCAATAAAATGATTCCAATGCACATTTAGAAAAGGAATGGAGGCAACCTTAATGAATTCGTACACAAGAAAAAAGTTGTGAAAGAGAAATAAATAATTTAAGGAGAAATAAATGTCAGAGCGTTCAATGAGTGGTGCAAAAGCATAAAATGTATAAGGAACAAGTATTGAGATTCATTGGATTCAGAAACAAGTTAAAATATTGTTTGAGTATAGAATGTATTCAAGACACGCACTGTTTTATTTTGCATTATGATATTAAACGGAAGGAAGGGTAATGAGAGGAAAAATTGTTCGTTGTCATCATTATTATCAGTTCCCTTTTATCTTCACAATGTATCAGCACAAAAAAAAGAGAAAGAAAAACAGACATCTTAAAAAAGTATGTGATTCTGTGTTTAATGTCTTCCTTTCCTTACTTTCCATGGTAAAGTGAGATTCTTTAGACAGAACACAATGAGTGCCGGGAAGCAATAAGGATGAAGCAAATGAAGATTACCTTTATCTCATTTCATCAAAGTGAACATCTTTATTCCAGAAAGGAATAAAAGTTTATTTTTCGGAAACCTCAGACGTCGTAAGGAGAAAGTTTGAGGAACTAAATGGGCTGTGCGCTTTTCCTGATTGTAGTATGTACTTCATATCCATTAAAATTATTATTTTTGCTTCCTAGTAAGATAAAATGATAAGGACGTACTTTCTTACTCTTTTGAAAAGAGCTTATTGTACAGCACATGAGATTTAGAGCTTATTGTTGGATATAGAATGTTCAATTAAAAAGTTATAAGTTGCCATGTCAAGTTTTAAACTCAGGATAGCTGGGATACTTAACCACTTGAGTACCAATTTACATTTACTAGCAATTCCTCATTGAAAGAGTTTAACCTGATTAACGTTTCAAGCAGCCACAAAAAATATTAAATATTGAACAGGTTCTCACCAAATTCAAGTCTCTTGATTTTTATCTTTAAAAGCTCATTAAAAGTCAAACAATCCAATTGCGTGCTGCACAACATTATTGTTTTAAACACTTGAAGGAAAATCAAGAGCATAAATTTGTGGTGAAAAACTTTTTGGAATGCTTTTGCAAGCACTTTAGATTCAAAAATTAATTGGATGATTATGAATGCAAATCTTTATATTATAAAGATATCAAGCAGGATCTTGAATATATTTCGAATGTCAAAACGATTTTAAATTTCAATAATAGAAGTTTCTCACAAAAGAACATGCTAAAAAGTTTTGTTATCGTTTTAGTTGTACTTTTTACTTCCCCTCTCTTTCTTTTTGTGCTTCATGTTTGATCTCAAATCTCGAAAGTTTTAAATGAAATCGAGTGCATAAGGAAAAAGTTTTTTTTTATTTAATCCTCAATATGCCTTCACAAAGAAAATAACAATGAGCTCTGACTTTTATTTGATGGATGATACAACTTGTTATTTTTTTTTAAATCAGTTGGTAATTTCATCATAGCCTGATTCTCTTGATAATTTTCAGGATTGTTTGGGGTTTTTGCTCTTGGGTTAGAAAAACTTTTTCCATTTCAATGTCAGCCCAAAAAGAAAGAATTTATCTGAATGACTTTATTACATTTTTTTAATATCGTGTTCAGTTCATCTCATGTTCATCTTGTCGAGAACGACAGAGCGGAAATGAGTGCGAAACTTTTTCCAGAAACTTGTAGATTATTAAAAGCATGAAATTTAATTACATGCCATAATGAAAAATTAATCAAGTCAATCCTTTTAGGGGTCGTTTGGATATTACGTGATGCCAGAAACTTCTTTCTTAAAGATAAAGCTTCATTTTATGAACAATCTTTTGAAATTTTTGATTTCCAAGTCAATTTTGATCGAAGTATATTTAAAATAAAATGTCACGTAACATCCGAACAATCCCTTTAATATTTGAGAAGGGTAATTAACTTGAACTGAAAGTATTTTCTTTTTCTTTATCTCCCATTACAGGCTCTTACAGATGAAATGTTAGATGAATTGAAATCATGCTTCCTTGAAGCTTACGATGATAATCAAGATGGAAAAATTGATATTCGCGAACTAGCTCAACTCTTGCCAATGGAAGAGAACTTCCTTCTTCTCTTCCGTTTTGATAATCCACTTGAGTCAAGTGTTGAATTTATGAAAATTTGGCGTGAATATGATTCAGATAATAGCGGATATATTGAAGCCGATGAATTGAAGGTAAATCAAAATTTCTCATTCATTTACTTCATCGATGCGTTCAAGCTTGAAAGGACTTGATTTATGGATAATAACATTATCTTCTATATCTCCTTTTATCCTCATTCAACCACAAATCTAGAATTTCCTTCGTGATCTATTAAAGGAAGCTAAGCACAACAATGATGTCTCAGAAGAAAGACTTATTGAATATACTGATATCATGGTGAGTTCAATTTCTCATATTTCTACATTTCCTCTCAAGCATTAGATTGCTTATGTACATGTGTAAAGAAGAAATTACTTGATTGATGATCCATGAATCAATGTAATGGATTCGATACATTTTTCATAAGAGAACATGTGCCCAATTGAAATAGCCTACCTCTTTTAACATCCAGAGTTGGCAAGAAACTGTATAAATCTTGTTCTATCATCTAGAATTTGGAGACTTCCGAAAAGTTTCCGATATAAACTTTTATTAAAGTTACAAACATTATCAATATTTAACTTAAAGAGCTAGTTGGTGATATGTATGGATGGCTGGCATTAGGGGGATAATACATCATAATCAGATCTATCTACTCAAGCTATGTTCTAATGCCATATCCCGCCTTATCAATTCTATATAATGCCAATTAAATTGACTTTGGAATTAAAGCTTTAAAAGCTTCATACAACTCTGCCTTTCATACGTACGAATACATACATTTCTCATGAAAAAAATCTGTCCTTTTCACGTATTATCCAAATACTTTGATATTGTCTCGAAGCGAAGAGGAACTGTAGAAGCCTATTGAAGCATGTAAGATTGGATAACAAATCACGACATAAATCTTTTGTTCCCTCGCACTTTTTTCTTGATTCCTTAAGCATACACACAATGTTTATAACTTGAAACAAGCATTTCTCTTGCTTCCTTCTCGTTTTGAAAATGTCGACTTAATGACTTTTCTCTTTCATTCTTTTTCAGCTACAAGTGTTTGACGCAAATAAAGATGGTAAATAAATTCTATATTTCTTATTTAGTAAAGTATAAACCATTGAATTAAATTGTTTTTCCTTCTCTTTCTTATTTCTCTACTACATCCTACAATCTTATAATATCGAATATACAGGGAGACTTCAATTGAGTGAGATGGCAAAGTGAGTTATATTGTTGTCCATTGCTGTGTATATATATTACATTTTTATCGCAATTCCCAATGCAAATAACAAGCTTTACCAATTAAATATGAACGAATCGAAGAATAAGAAGAGAAAAAAATAACAGATCCATTACTAGACCTACGGTGTTTGAATGTTTTAATTTAATTTTGTAAACGCGACGATTGTTAAACGGGAAAGCTTTTAGTTGTAATTAGAATTTTACAAAGCTCTATGAGGCTAATGCACTTGATATCAAACAACAACATCCAAATTTTCCCAAACATAATACACAACGTACTGCTTCATATAATTTTTAATTTCTGTAAAAAAATTTCACGTCTTTAAATAAAACTCATTGATTTTAAGTAGCAATTACTGATGTCTTTTTTCCCATCATCATCATCGTTCATGCCGAAGGTGTAATTAAGCATAAATCAAGTGATGAAAATTATTTTTTAAAATCAAGTGTAAGGAAAAGTTGAAGAGATAAAATGAATGATGAAGCATCTACAAACTTTTACATAAAAATTATGTTACACGTTCATGACAGCAGAAACTTTTGCCATTTTCCATACTTTAACTACCGCATTTCCCTTAAAAAAAATATGAAAAATTTCCTTTTCACTTGCTCTATTTGCTGTCGATTTTGCTGCTTTTGCCTTAAGTACACTTAATAAATGCTTGTGCTCCTTAATTTTTTTAAGCTTCTCTTCTTTAAGAAAATTGCTAATTCACTAAATTGTTAATACGCTTAGTAGGGTCGTTCATAAATGACGTCACTATTTTTAGGGGGTTAGGAAACTCAAAACTCATTAACACCAAACCCATTTTGTGACAAGTCATCAAATCTCACTTTAGGTAGACGTCATTTATGAACGACCCCATACACTCTAATCGTTGTCAATTTAATCAATATTTAATTTCGTACCTTCTTCTTGTCTGTTTCTCTCTTTACATTCTCATTTTCATTGTCATCAAAAAAACACGCCTCATGAAACAACAAACAGATTGCTTCCGGTTAAAGAAAATTTCTTATGTCGTCAGGTATTCAAGGTGAGAGAGAGTCTCTGTCATTTACATCTCATCTTCATAAAATCTAATCACCTAAAATTTAATTAACACGACCATTATGTCATTTTCATCACAAACTTCAGTCTTCTTGACAAGCTGTAGCTATGTATCAGCAAACAGAAACTGAAATTACATTCCTTCTTTATTAATCGATTTAATTCTTTCTTATTTTATCTTACAACACATCCACACATACTCACAGGGTGCCAAGAATTTGACAAAGGAGGATATAGAGAGCGTTTTCTCCCTTTATGATAGGGTAAGTAATAGACATGATGTAAAATAAAATTTTATGCATTGTTACCATACTTTAGAACGTATGTCTCTATGGACATTAAGCACACAAGTTCTTCATAAACAGCACAAGTGTTTACTCGACTCAATTGAAGACAATTTTTTTTCTAACTCGGAATTTCGTGTGCTCGTAGGACTTGTAATCATTTTCTGCTGGTTGGTGATTACATAGAACTATTCTGTCCCAAAGGAGCAATCTTGTTCTTGTCAATAAGTTTGACCTTCTTATGCAACATAATTTTTTGGAATTTATGTTGAATCACGTTTAGCTTTGGTTTACCGAGAAAATAAGCTTTTAGACAGCAGTTGATTTTTGCTGAACAGTTATTAGGTGTTGAATTTGACAGTCTCCTTCATTATTTTAAGCTACTCAGAACAATTTGTTTGCTCTTGTGGCTTTAAAAAGGGATTATTTACAATGACGTGCTCCTTTTAAGTGTATAGAGCTGTTAAAAGTTAAACTTTTTATGGATGTCAGGATGTCATTTACGTACGAATAACAAAAAGCATGCATATGACTACAAACGTATAATCATTTCCAGTTAAGCGAATCAAATATTCAACAAAGCTTTTTCCGGTCGTACTCGACAATAGAAATGAACTTGACTCTTTCCTTTAAGGAGCATAAACCTATTAATTTGACTGCGGAATTCCAGTTTACATGCATAAAATGTTTTATAGCGTACTTTATTGTCATATACGTTTATGTACTTTATTATTTAAACGTGACTATGTCAAGGATAACAACAAGTGATAAACTTCCTGTACATACATTTTCCTTCTTTTTTCACACAATATATCTTACTTCCACTTCCATATAAAAGCATTAGCCACAAATGAGTAAATAAAACATAAAGCAGGGTGCCAAACTAGAGATATAATCATATCGATAAATTATTTAGTTCCTCATGTGAATATGTCTGTCCGGAAACTTTTAAATGCCTTCAGTCGCTTGTTGATCGTTGAATAACTGAATGGAAATGGAACTAAAAGACAATAAAAACAAGAAGTGGAAATAATAAAGAAGAATTGGAAATGATTCAAGAGAAAGATATAATAATAATAAATTTGAATGATTCTTTTTTTTGGCAAATATCCAAATTTTGAGAGATAATCATCCGAACAGGATGGCATCCTCTCATCACTTTGTATCTTTAAAACAGTAATAATTTAAGAGGATTTCGTCAACAAGCAGCTTCAACATACTTTCGTGTATTTAAGCATGAAACTCAATAAATAAAAGAGGAACATGAGGAAATAACTATAATTTATTCATGATTGTATGATGATGATGTTGTTTCTGTATTATGAACTTGTTGAACAAACTCAGTAATTTAATTTTCATTTTATTTTTCTTCCTTCCTTTGAACACAAAAAAAATCGGCGCTGGTACCTTTTGCACCTTTACTTTCACGAAAAACAAAAATGAAATGTCTACTTATTCATCCAAATATACGTCATTCGTGACTTTGCTTAACTTTAAAGGATAATAATGGATCCATTGAAAATGAAGAGTTGCGAGGATTTCTCAAAGATTTATTGGAACTCGCAAAGAAGGTAAATATTAGCGATTAGTTAAAAATTAATTGAATGTATACCCACGTAGATATGACGAGGCATAAGTAAATGACTGAATTTAGGGTGAGATTAGATGAAGTACATTTATATTCACCGCGAAACTCATTCATATGTTCTTATGTATGCTTTCATATGAAGCGTGGATGTATACATACGTTCTCACACATCAATCCAACCCACTCATCCTCAACCTCTTCTCCTTTTATTTTCTTTTCAAAAACACGCTATATTTTGAAAAACATACATAATGTGGCTTCCAAATGTATATTCTTGAATTGATGCTTTAGGATTATGATGCTTCGGTAAGAAGAAATTTTCACATCATTTTTTATATTCACGTCCTCATCATCTTTTGAATTCAATTCACAGGACCTGAAGGATTTTGAGGAAACAATTCTACAAGGTGTAGGATATGATAAGGATGGCAAAATCTCGAGAAAGGAACTGACAATGATCCTCTTAACACTCGCAAAGATTCCACCAAATGAGCAATAAATTCAACAGAACTAGTCAAGAAAACATAAAAAGCTCAACTAATGATGTGCTTTTTTACAGATTTATATAAGAACAGTTGTAGACGAGGATATTTTTCCAGTCCATTTGCTTAGCAAAAGGGACAATTGTGAAGAAGAAAAGAAAAATGAATTTTTATTTCCTATTTTTATCGTTCTGATTACAATAACGAACATCCTTTATCAAATTTTTAACTATACTATTTACTATATTACTTATTATTGTATGTCAGAGAGTTCGTAATGCGGAAAGCTGAATGAAAAGAATGACAAAAAAAGGCCGGAAGTGTTGTTTGTAGATAGGTTTCACGAGAGCACTTTATTCACTCAAATCTTTAACTCTATTACACATTGTTGCTTTTACGACATTTTTTCATTTTCCTTTTCGACATTGATCGAGAATATATCTAATAAATATATATATATATATACATATAGACTTAACAAGATCCAAATGGCACGGCAAAATACTGAAAAGAAAACATTTTTCGCATACTTCGTATCGGGTATCTTAATAATGACTTTGTGTTTTGGGAGTGTTTTTAATGAAAAGCTTTGCAACACCCAAAAAAAGTTATAAAAAATTATATAATACAAAAAATAACACCCAGATATGTGTGTATGTGTGTTTTACAAATTTGTGAATCTAAAAGTTTAATGCTTGTTACTACAAAACCTCATTTATGTAGTAAAATCATGTTTAAAGCTTTTTATCAATTGCAAAATTCCTTTTTTTTTTGTTGTGACCAGAGATGTAGTTAGGGACTGAGTGTCAATGATCAATTTGAGACTACATCATGTAATGCAACCTTAAAACTGATATGACCCCCAACCCCCTGCCTACACCTCTGTTTGTGGTTATAGAAAAGGAAATGAGAAGATAAAGTTTTTAGAAAATTAAACATTTTCGAAAGTTTTCATTTTGCTTTCTCTCGTTTTTGTTCCTTATGATTAAAGAAGATTAATGACTTGTAACACCAAAATGAATGAGAAAGTTGAATGTAGCATAAAACTTAAAGAAATATGATATATACTTTATGAAGGAAGAAGATTATAAATATATACTTAAATAAATTAAAAAATTAACTTCTATTATATTATATAGAATTTTAAGCATATTTGGCATAAAATGGGCAAACCTACTCTAATCGAGTGTGGATATAAACTTTGACCTTATTCTCTTTGCGACTTTCCATTTGTGATTAATTAAAAAAGTATGAGAGAATTTTTCTAACCTTAAAAAGTAATTTTCGATTTCTAAATTTAGATAGCATCCACACTCGATGGAACCTAGCCCAAAAATCAAAAAAATAAATATATCATAAAAAGGCACAATCAGAAGAGTCATCTTTATTGGAGCGAAGCTTATTAACCTTATGATGAATACAAATCTATTTTTCGTTTTTATTTACGCCTAACTCGTAGCTATTAGACAACATGCGCTTGTCCCCCGAAGGCGCAAAAGAAGTCGTTCTATGTCACATAATAAAATATTCTCTTTTTTTTGTGTGTCTTCGTTCTCATCGCGTGAATGAATACAGAACGAACGAACAGTTGTGACAGAGAATGGGAAGGAGGAAAAAAATAATAATAATATGAAATGAGCGTCAGACGACAATAGCTTTTATATGAGGTACATACTTTTGGCGAGTGAAAATGCTTATGCACGATAATCAGATAAAAACCAAAAGCGATAATCAACTTGTTGCAGAACAGCGTATTATAGATATAGCAGTGAATCTTCGTTCCGTTCCTCATATGGCAACGCATATAGGTAATCAGATATACAAATATGAATACAATTATAATGCCAACAACAGCAACAAAGGCAAAATAATATTTTGTATGGAAATCAAATTTAGTCGTGATTCACATTTGTCGGAACGAATACCAATTCGATGATACAAACGAATGTACATGAATAATTTTGAATCATATGAGCGTGAAAAAAAGTGATGGAAAGTGAAATGTGATGCCAACGAAATAAATCTCTATTTGAAATGTTGTCTAAACATGAAATATGAATGTTGTAAAGGCACAATAACAATAATGAAGCTCATAAATAAACATCACCATCGAATTGATTCTCATTAAAGCTCATATTAAATAACAGTAAATGATACAAATACCTTAATAATATTCGCTTATGAATTTTTCTTCTAGATGTTGATGATAATTGTTAAGGGAAATAAAAATTAACATTTTAAAAAACACAAAATAAATTCTATCAAAGTTCTATTTTTTAGAAGAAGATACGCAAACATTTAAACATGATAATAAAAAAGAAGAAACTAATATTGATTGCTATATAAAGCACAGGGGATGCAAACTTTAATGATGTTCGTATACACAAGACTGTTAATGAGTTCGGTAAATTTATTGGTCATTAGTGGATGTAATGTAGGGGTTGTATCATGCTATTAAGTAAATGAACTCTTCCCTCGGATCTTTTATGGACTAAATTGAAATTTGTACTCCTTACATTCTGAGTCTTGTGACTGTTACGTCCAACATTCTTCGATGAATATTGCTTGACAACAATTCATATCCCAAGATCCCATCAAACTTTTACAAACTCGATCTTTTTTACATTTTAAAAATATTTCAAAGAACTCAAGAATGTATTTTTTGCACCAAAAAGAATTTCGATATGCTTGAAGCTTCAAAGGTTATTAAATTAAAGACTTATACATTTTTCATTTCAAAGAAAATTTCCTTTTGTTGACACTGACATACATCTTGCGTTTCTGATGACAATTTTTCTGAATGATCAATTTTTCATGAAGCTTAGTTTTGAGACAAAGTTGTGAATTGTCAAGAGAATATATCTGTTGAGCATTAATATCCATATCATTTATAGACAGTTGATGGACATTGAAAGAGTTTGCATCCCTAGAATAAACCTCAAAAAATTGAAAAATTTAATTAAAAATGAATAGATGATAAAAATGAAATTGCTTCCATAATGACGAGCTAAAATATTGAAACTTTTTATTAGTCTTGTTATTCTTGCTTTCAAATTTACATTCTAATCGATATCATTGTGACAGTGAACGAGACATTCTTTTTTTTTTGTTGTAACGACACTCCTTGTTCAAATTTGAAGTACATTGTTCCGATGACAAATAATAATGAGTGGCTCACAACATCATCGTCATAGTCTATGCTTAAATCCGCCTTCCTACAAATTATTTATTTTTCTATCACGACTTCTTATTGAATCTTCAAGTACCATTGAGATTTCTTATTCCTTCTTTTTTGGATATAAAAGTATATCCGCAAATTGAGAAAAAGTTTCAGTAAACTTTTTTAATTGATTGATGCTATGTATTTGATTGAACGTGATGAAAACGATTAAATAAGTAATTCTTATATAGAATAAAGTTATTGAGTAAAACTTAAAGTGTTCAAGATATTTATGCTATGAAGGAACGACGGAATTTTAATGAGTTTTAAGAAGAAACTTTCTTTTTTTAATGCGTACTGAACTATATTATAAAATTAAGTTTTAAAGGAGGTAGAATAAATTGAAATAAGCAAGAATCGAGCAAGCATAACGAAAAACGCCAACGAATGTCCAAAAATTATTTAAATAGACGAAGTGCTATAAATTATCAATTATTTACACGTTCATTGTTGTAATACACAATTTCCTTCTCTCTGCATATCAACTTGCTTACAAGCAATTTTCAAAGCTTTCAATTCATAAAATAAAATGGAAAAGCTGCTCGGCTTAATTGTTAATGAGGCATATTCTCATTAGTTATTTCCATAATTCATGATTTGATGATATGTTGAATGAATGTCATGAGTAAAACATGTAAATGACAGAATAAGTCCTTTCTTTACGCCTTTTTGACTTTCATAATGGTGTTTCCTCCCAACCAACTAGCCATTCTTCCAGTCAAGAAAAGAAAATGATGATTATAAAGAAGCAAAAAAAAATGAGTTTCCCACACACATTTGTGTCGATTGTATAATGCAAGGATAAAGAATAATAAGAATGAACATATGATATGAGCGAGAGAAAGCGGATGGAATGGAGAGATGGAGAGGGAGAGAAAATGACAGGAAAAATATTTTCGTACTTTATGATGACATTCATTTGGTGTGTGTATAAAACCCATCATGAATAATTCAGTTATGCGAATGCAGGCATTTAAATGCTTTGCTATGAAGCACACACAGGATCTCATGATAGAATAGACTTAGTGCTGTTTCTTTATTTAACTTGTACTACCGCCACTATTCCACAATTCACATATGAATAAAGCTCAAAGAACTGAACATTGATTACAGACGACAATTGGATTAACAGAAAAATGCAAAATGTACAACGACTAAAATCCCATTTATTATTGAAGCATCGCTGCTGCTTTTTTATCAGAGCATTAAAACCAAAAGCACAACTTATTTCTGGTCCCGCAATTCTTTCACGTTCTGCATACCGAAATATACGTTTTCATTCAATCATAAAAGCATTATGTCTCTCTCACTCTCTGGGGGGCTCAACATTCATGTCGTCCAAGATTTTTGTGGTTAGGGAGAGTCTAGAGCTGCATGATACTGGATATTATTAACATTTTATAATGGTATGAGTTGTTCATTATAGAAATACGATCTTTTGTCATGGACATTATTGATGCACGATCCCCTACAACATTTTTCTGCTATGCTCTGTGTTTGTTTCATTTTTAACCCAGAACGAAAAATAAAGTATAAAGTATGAAAAAAGGAAAATATTAATCAACCAGCAAAGCATACACACAAAAAAAAGAAAAAAATAAAATAAAATATAAAAATTTATGAGAACAAAAAAATTTCATCGCTACACAGAAAAAAAAAGCCTTATCAAAAGGTTGCGACGAGATGGATATAAACGTGGAAAATTAAATTGTTCTTGTTTCATAGATGTTGTCACAAAGTTTTTCGTGCTCTGCTCGCTCATTTCTTTCGCATTCTTTAAAAATAAAATATAAATCGCCATCACATTTAGTTATGTTTGCAGCAAAAATGAAATTATAATGAAAATTGTTTTTTTCTCCTTATTATATTTATTTATGTATGTATCCAGTACTTTAAATCAATTTTCTCATATTTCTCTTACAAAAAAAATTGAATTAAAAACGAACATGAACGAAAATGAAAATATTAATATTTATAAGGATATTAGAGGGGAAAAACAATCTTATCTAACATAATATAATGTTAACGTTATTTTGTATTTTCTGACTAATTTTTCAAATAAATCATGTAGTTCTTTCCGATTCTGAATTTCAAGAAAAATAAAAATGAAAAATTTCAAACTTTTAATGTTTAAAATCAAGAAAAAAATTGCCTTTTAATCTCTTTGCATGTTTTAGAGTTCTGAAGGTAGGAAGCTATATTTACTACAAAGTGTTTCCTGCACAGTATGAAAAGGAATAGAGCAAGCAAGAAATATGTTTGATCCAATGGATAAGTGAATGGTAATTGTTCTTTGCTGATTTGCATAATGTTCTTAGTCTTACTTACTGCAACGGAATCCTTTTGTATTGATTTTATTAGGAAATGAAGCACGTACTGTCTCTTTGGTTCTTTGCAAAAACTGTTTGAAATTCTTTCGAAAAGCTTCTGCCATCACATCTGGATCTTTATTAAGCTGAAGCCCGAACAATATGGTTCTGTTGAAAAACATTACATGGCTCTAAACATGGACGAAGAAAAAGAGTTTTGCAGCTGAATCATTTCGTACCATTCAAATTGAGAAAAATAATTATTATAGGAGTATTATTTTCTAGATTCGCAACTATTCCTATGAATAATGAAATCAGCCTGCCAAAAAAGTTTTGAGAACCGTAGATAATTATTGCTCGGATGTACCACAAAACTCGAAGGCATTAAAATCAAGTTTGATAAATTTATAAAAATTATAATGGTGCACTAACCTAGCCTAACGACAATGTTCGTGATGATAATTCCCATTTTACGAACGGAAGATTGATAAAAGAAAAAGATAAGTTGCGCGTTTGTGTAAAATGTTTCATACCGACATACATTTCAGGTTGTAATGAATCATTCTTATAATTTTTATAATGTTATCAAGCAGTAGATTTTCAAAATATACTTAGACTTACTGGAGGCAACGTTGTAAATTTTTATAAATTCATAAAAATAATGGCAAAGAGAATCGAGAGACGAGATATTGTGATATTTTATTGCTATTGTGGAAGACGCTTTATGGTACTAGTGAGGAGAAGCCTAGTAGGCATTAGATGCAATTTAAAATTGTGTCCGAGATGTCTCGTTAAAAGAATACCTCAGAGGTAATTTTCAAAATTTAATGATAATTTGTAAGGCATAAAAATTGTAAATTCTTTTTACAGAAAATACAGTAAAGACAGAATGCCATTGTAAAGATATAGTTATGGAAAGACATAAAAGTTTAAGGTGATAAACTACTTCGTGCTAAACGACTAGTGAAAAATTGATGGTGATAACTATTCTCTAGGATTAAAATTAATACGATATTATGCTAGCCAAGCGCAAATATAATCCTATCCGTGATAAAATTCGTGTGATAATATTTTAATACTCTTTAAGCATTAATAATTTTCTGAATAGAGTTTTAACGTATTTTAAAAATTTGAATTTTATGCTCATTTTTATCTTTAAGTCTCCGTTTTTTGCAATTTCATGAAAACTCGTATTTGACAGCATTTGATGCGTGTTTTGTTATCAAAACAACTAGCTCAAGGTCTAAACATTACTGTTTTAAGTCCAAAAATAACTCTGTGACACCTGTTAAAATATGCTAACATAACGTTAATAGAATTTTCGAATTTAGTGTCGACATCTTTATTAGTTCAATGAAAACATATTGAAGTTTCGGACATTTTCAGTTCTAATGCTCAACTACGATGCCTTAAACAAAATATACAGTTGGAAATTTAACGGCTGAAAAAAAAACCAAATTTTCCCTTGTTTTCTTACTAGGGTAAATACTTTTGAAAATTGCACACTTTTGAAATTTGCACACTCATATGAGAATAAAAATTTCTCCCAAAATATCCACTTCTGATAATACTTTCTTCACAAAATCTTTGTATAATTATTGTCCAAATGTTGTTGTACCATTTTAAGTTGTCTAAAGGCATCAGGAAGATGAATTTCTTCAGCAATCAATTTTTCATACAAAACGAAACTTTGCAAAATATAAAGTTTTGGGATACAATCAGTAGAAGTATTTCTTTTGTGAAAGAATAAGCGGAAGTGCCCAAAAAATCACTTTCAAAAAAGCTTGTTTTTCACTTTTAAAATTTGCACAAAAATGTATCAAAACTTTTGAAATTTGCACACTTTTAAGCTTAAGAGACATTGCGAAATTTGATGTAAACATTAATTCTGATTCAAAACATTAATGTTTTATGCCTAAAATAAAGATAAAAGAGAATAGTGATTTTAAAAAATTAGAGGATATCTGAGGATATATTTTGGACATGTCGGTTATGAAAAATTCAGTCTAGAAAATCAAGAAATGTGCTATGCATCTAAACTTTCGACACAGCGAGTTTTAATTCTTACAAAAAATTCTTCTTAATTCTTAAAAAAAATATTTGCAATTTGGAAAATTTAAAAGTGGTCTTTATTTTATAGATGAGTTTTAATGATATAACAAACAGCTTATATTTGAGATTTACTCGAACAACTTGATTTTGTAGATAATCCATATAATGGATATGCAGCTTTTCCTTGCTTGATTTTTGTTCCCAATTTTCCTGTTGATATTCAACGACGATGCATCTGACGATGTTATAAAAACACAATAACAATAAATTTATTGGATTTCTTTGGAACTTTCCGACAAAACATAATATTTCTTCACCCTTAAAATTGTAAACATATTGTTTGTTGAAACAAATTTGATTCATTTGCAAATTTTAAAAATTTCCATGCCAATTTCAAAAGTTGAAAATAAAATGCCAATATCACTGCTGATAAGCATCGTAGCTTTAAAAAAGAGGATGGAAATGAAAATTTCCACTATTTTCAATAGTTTAAAACCTTAACCAAACCTTAGCAAATATCGGTTAAAAAGTTTCACGCAAATGAAATTTTCATCAACAAAATTGTGCAAATTTCAAAAGTATTTACCCTATAAGCCTGAGACTTGATAAAAAGTTCATTACCTCGATTTAATAAAATGTCAAAAAAAGAATTTTTTAATGTTTTCAACAGTTTAGTCTGTGTTCCAAAGATTCTTATCAATGAAAATGTGCTGATCTATCTAAGGAATGAATGCTGGGTAGCTGGAAAAATCACAGATGTCGATGGGTAAGGCGAAAATCATGAAATGAGTGCTTCGTGTTTTCACAAACAAAAAAAAATTATTTCTAGTTTTATGAACATAACATTCCATGACGCAGTATATTGTGATCAAAAAGGCTTAACATATAGAATGGAGAATTTTATGGTTCGATTCCGACAGATTCTGTACATTAAGATCCCAGATAATGTGAGTTTTAAGTTCTTTTACTGTTTATAATCCAGCATAAACAATAATAATCAAACGAACATCTGACTTCTGTTGATATTCTCTTGACATGCTTGAATGTATTAGTAAGCAAAAATACATAAACCTTGAATGACTTACTTATTATCAGAAAATCAAATTTTTCTCTCATTTCAAAGAGCTGTCTCATTGAAAAAGGTGCTTATTCGGTTAATAAACTCGTTTATCTGCACAATCGTTGTATAATATGTCAAATTGCAATTAACACTTCTGGAAGACATTTTTCGCGCATAAAAAGAGCATAAAAGAAGAAGAGAACATTAAATAATAATAAGAAGAATAATGAGAAGTTCATTTATTTTTGTAAACCTTGTAGCACGGAAAGTTTTTAGTTGTAATAATATTCGTCAGTCATCCAAAAGTATACACATATTTACTCAGTTAAGAGCTACACAAAAGTTTATTTCTAAGTCAAAAACTATGGAAAACTCACCAAAATCATTTAGTTTAAGTGATTACGATTGTATTGGATTCGATCTAGATAATACGATTGTGAAATATAATGTCAAGGAGATGATTTATCATGAATATAATGTATTATCTGACTATCTTGTAGACAAAGGTTATTCTAAGGAATTTCTAGAGAAACCAATCGAAGAAGGTGTCGATTTCTTACAAAAAGGCCTGATTTTAGACTTTGAGCGTGGAAACTTGTTAAGAATTTGTCCAGATGGAACTATACAAATAGCGTCACATGGATCAAAATTTCTTTCCAAGGATGAAATTATCAAGTGTTATGGTGAAAAGAGACGCTGGGAAGTTACTGATGAATATTGTCGTGATATGCTAGTTGCTTGGAATGGAACATTAGCTGATTCTATTAGAACTTGCTTGGATTATTTCGATATGCCAGCTGCTCTGGCATTTGCTCGTATTATTGATTCAATTGATTTAGAAAAGGGTGGAACTCAAGAGAAGTATAATATATGGCCTGATATCTTAGCTGGACTTATGGCTATGTTTTCAAGAGATTATTTCCCAACTGGTGGAAGTAAATATTTCGAGGCATTGAAGAACAATCCATCGAAATTTATTTACAAATGTGATCAAAAAGTCTTAGATTGGTTAAGAATGCTGAAAGATAAAAAGAAGTCATTTCTCATTACTGGATCTCATATTGACTTTGCAAGCCTAACTGCTGGATATGCAATTGGTCCAAATTGGCGTGATTATTTCGATTTAATCATATGCTATGCTAAGAAGCCTGGATTCTTTACATTGAAACGAGATTTCCTTAAACTTGATGGAATTGTCGAAACAGAAGCGATTAAAGTAGAGGATATGGTTGATGGAGGAGTTTATACACAAGGAAATTTCACGGAATTAAGGAACTTTATCTCGAGCATAACTAAACTTGACGATCCAAAAATATTGTATATTGGAGATAACTTAATTCAAGATGTCTTCACACCAAATAAGCATATTAAAATTGATACAGTTGCTGTAATTGAAGAAATGCTCGCAGAAGGAGTTGATTACAATGAGGTTTATGATATTTTACGATCAAATAGTTGGGGAAGTTATTTCCATACAAATGGTGAAGATACTTTATGGGAACGAATAATTAGGAAGCATTCAAAAATTTGTGTCCCGTGCATCGATGAATTAGCCAAAAATCCAATTGACTATAAATATTCAACATTTGATCCAACAGATATTACAAGCTGTGGATATTATCCTCATAATCCATTCGAACCAATTGCTTAAATGCTAATCACCAATGTACTATAAACTTTAAGAGAATATAACTGTCGTCATGTGTTCACTAATAATGTTCAAAGAACTCCAAAAAGCATATTTAATTCTACTAATTTTTAATTTATTCTTAGATTGACATTCAAGAAGCAATAAGAGAGTTTATGTCACGAATGCACAATCCACAGAAACCCCAAACGAAAAAGAGAACATTCAAATCTCGACGCGCCATTGAGAAGAATCAACAAACTGTTGCTGAAATACAAAATATGAATGCTTAATGTCAAAAATTTTTGTTTGTAATTACTAAATAAATAAAGCGAAATTTATTTATAGCGAACTTCCATTCGAGAGTATAAGTATTGTCAACCTTAATCAGCTTACAAAATCTATTTAAGAGAATTTTAACATATAGCACCTTGAGCCCAGAATAAGTTCCAAAAAAAAACATTTTTATCCACAGACATCCTTCAACCAGATTTCTAATTTTGAATAGCTTTAAGCTCTTAATTTATTTAAGGCTGATTTTTTGGTCAATGGGCATGTTTTATGCCATTTCTACAGCCATTGCGACTCCCATACCACCTCCAATGCACAAACTTGCAACACCACGCTTCTTTCCTGTACGTTTCAATGCATACAATAAAGTTACTAAAACTCTTGCTCCACTGGCACCAATTGGATGTCCTAAAGCAATCGCACCACCATTTATGTTTACTTTTGTCTCATCTACTTTAAGTCCTTTATTAACGGATAATGCTTGTGCTGCAAAAGCTTCATTTAACTCGAACAGATCGACATCCTCTAATTTCCATCCTGCTTTCTCCAAGACTTTTGGAACTGCTTCAATTGGTCCTAGAATTATTCAATATAATTAAGTTTTTAATCATGCATACTCAAAGTATTATCAGTAAAATGTAGAATCTGGATCTGAACTTTTGAACTTAAAGATTATGAGTAGTTTGTTTACTGACCTGCTCCCATTATCTTTGGATCGCATCCAGCTTGCGAGAATGCAACGATTTTAGCCAATGGTTTTAAGTTTCTCTTGAGTACTTCCTCTGCTGATGCCAATAAAACACAAGCAGCTGAATCGTTAATTCCTGAGGCATTTCCAGCTGTTACTGTTCCTTCCTTTATGAAGCATGGACGTAGTTTTGCTAATCCAGCGACATTCGTGTCACCCTTGATATATTCATCTTTGGAAACTGTAATAGTTTCTTTACGTCCAGGCACTGAAACTGAAACAATTTCTTCATCAAAATATCCAGCCTTTTGAGCTTCAGCAGCTAATCTTTGAGATTTGGCAGCAAATTCATCTTGTTGCTCTCTCGTGACTTCATATTTCTTTGCGAGATTTTCAGCAGTTTCGCCCATATGGATGTTATTCTGCAAAGTTAAGCTTAGGTTACTACAAAAGCAAATAAATCACATGTAAATAAGTACCATTGCATCAGTAAGGCCATCAACAATCATTGTATCAACCATTGTTGAATTTCCCATTTTTGTTCCGCTTCTCAAATTCATTGCATGCGGGGCTCTTGTCATGCTTTCCTGACCACCACAAACTACAATTTTTGAATCTCCATTTTTGATAGCTTGAAATCCAAGGCCAACAGATTTTAGTCCAGACCCACAAAGCATATTAACACCATAAGCAGGCACTTCAATTGGTAGTCCAGCTTTCAAAGCAGCCTGCCTTGCTGGATTTTGTCCTTGAGCAGCTTGCAATGATTGTCCTAAAATCACTTCATCGACATCTGATGCAATTAAGTTGGCTCGATTGACTACTTCCTTAATGACAACAGCACCAAGATCATGTGCTGTCAAGCTGTTAAAAGCTCCTTGAAAACTACCTGCAATTTATTATGAGTTTGACTTATTTGAGAATAGAGGAGACATAAAACAATTACTGACCGATTGGAGTTCTAGCGGCAGAAACAATAAATACTTCAGGTAACGATGACATAATAAAGGTGCCTAATTATCCAATTTATAGTCTTCAAACAATTAGAAGTGACAACGTGGATGTCTCAAGAAATTAAAAAGAAACCGGTCTGGACACTTAAATGTATAAAAAAGAACTAAAGTAAACGATTGTAAGATTTCCATCATTCACAATTTAGCTTGAATAAATTAACATATTTACAAAGAGATGATCATCATCTTCGTAGATGTTTACATAATGTGTGTTTGTATGAGTGTTTAATGATAAATTTCTCTTTTTGTGTATCCCCAAAAATGGCATAAAATTAATGATTCTTGACAATTTTTCATGCAACCTTTGAGAGGATATAAAGGATACAAATCTTATTTATCGCTTTACTGAATAACTTCATTTAAAAAATAAATCACTCGACTAATTTAATAATAATTTAATGAAATTGACAAACCTTTCTCTGTGTATTTCACTTTTTGGCTGTTGAGATGCTTGAAAGCTTCACAAATGTTTTATGCTATACGCAAAAATGTTTTTTAAAGCACAGAAATCACTAAAAAATCGCAATATAACCCTAGTGTTTAAAATATCTATAAATAACCGTCAGAGAATATTCAAAATCTATGCAAATCCTAGCTTTCAAAAAATTAAGTATGAATGCAACTGTCAAAAATTATTTAAACATTGGTGCGTTTCTTGAGAATCAAACAGGTATTTTGGATAATTTATGCTTAACGAATGTCAGCCTTAAATATAGAGGAACTAAGGCTGAAAATTGCGAAACAAAATTAGGGTTCGAAAAAGTCAAGTGTATAATCGACGACATCAACTTACCTGAGTAAAATATTAAAGGTAAAACATTTTTTCTCGCAGTCATTTTCCATCAGTTCATCATATAACATTACAATACAGCAATAATAGAGAAATTCACCTGAGTTTTCGGTCTTAAAACCTTAATAATAGTAGTTAATGGACATTAGTTGAACAATAATCGAGTCGCTTAATAGAACAAAAAGTTAATTCTGTGATATTTTTATTGCTTGGACGATCAAAATAGTGTTTTTTTTAAATGAAATTAAAGATCAAAAAAGAGTAGTTGAAGGAATAAATATGTCGATAAAGTGAATCTAAGGTGATAAATCTCATCAAACATAAAATTTTGTGGTTTCATAAATAGGATTGAAATTTATGTGAATTAATTACACATTATTATTATTATTTTTTTTAATATTAAAAAGCAACAAGCAAGTAAGTCGCTCATTTTGCAATCTATCCTCTCTCACCAACGTTATTTCTCTTTTTGGAACATATTTGCTTTCGTGTCCATCATAAATAAATGTAAAGTCTACACTTGTAAAATTCCATCAGATGAAGCTCTATGCGATGAAAGTTTCTCTAACATCCAATTAAATCATAAATTAATAATATAAAAAACCATAGACATTACAAAACAATTTTTCGTCTTTCCTGTTTTTTTTTTTTAACTTTACTTCTTTTCATTATTTTGAAAGTGTTTTTACATTTGTTGAGCGCTTAATTATAAAATGGAGAATAATTTGAGTAACTTGAGATTTAGCGCGATCGAATTATACCAACCAGAATTGACTGGCATGCTTACTGGATGAATAAAAATAATATTACAACTGCCCAACAACAACATCTTGAAGAATTCTTAGTCATGAATATTGTCAATAAATTATAGAATTTATTGCTGTTTAATTCCATTTACAAAGTGGCTCTAAACGAGATTTTCTAGACCAACGGGAAAGAGATTTTTAAATTTTATGTAAACTTCTACCAGAAAATATATTCAAATCCAAAAAAGTCGTTTAAATTTTAAAATTTATTCCAAAATAATAATGAAATCAAAACCAGCTATTTAAGATACCACAAAATTTTAGTCTACAACATGCTCTTACACGTGTTAAGTTCCTTTCTTGATTTTTTTTTTTCGATATACACACAATTTCCAGAGATATAAAGCTAAACAAATTGGAAAATTCATTGATAAAAAAAAATAAGTGAACCGCTGTAGTAAAATAACAAAAAGTATGAGAGTGATATAAAGTATAGCAAAAAAAAAAGTTGTAGAAATAGCTGAATGAAGACACAAAAATGATGAGAAATCTTTAAAGGAATAATAATAATAAATAAGTATAGACACAGCATTTAAATAAATAGTAAAGTGTCAGTGGTAGTGCGTAACAAGTGTAAAGAAGGAGACGAAAAGGAAAGAATTAAACGAAAGGATAAAAGAGAAACGAGAAAAAAATGTTGGTTCCGGAAAATCAGCAACAACGGAATGGGCATGTTATTTCTATGTACCTGGCAACTTGCGGAGCTAATGGACATTTACTAGGCTCCGACGAGAAGGAGATTATCTATTTAGTATTTGGTATCATCGATTTACAAATTAAAGAGGTGAGTTTTATTATTTTGTGAGGAGATAAGAGATATTGAGGATGGTTAGTTTAACAGCTAAATCCAAATAATAATAGTATTAATCATGAAGGTAAAATTCTAAAGTTCATATTTGTCCAATAATCCGGTATCTTTGGGGATTTCCCAGTCGTGTTTAGAACGACTTTTGCACTGTTTATTTTGAAATCTGTTTTTGTGGAATCGTGGATTTTATCACATACTTATTTTTGGAAGGAACTTGATGCGGAAATCTATGGACCAAACTAGTAAGCTAGGATTAATCCTTAGGATTAAAATAAATCCTAGGAATTAAAATTTAACTAAAGCGGGATTTACATTGAATATTAATTTTGATTCGAGTGCCTTAATTTCAATAAATTAGAATGCATCGAAGGTCAAAGAAAAGTAATAGAATGTCCACGAACTTGCGTAGAGATTTTCTTGAGAGAACAAGCTAAGATGATAAACATTACAGTGTGCGTTCCATTAGAGAAATTCCTGAAAAACATGTTTTTGGCCAATTGAGTGGCACTAAGAGAAAGAAAATAAGGCGAACGAATATCAATATGATGATGAAAAAAAAAATTATTTGAGAAAAAAGAAATTGGGACAACTCACCGAAAAAAAAAAATCTTTTCTTCATTTGTTGATTCAAAACAAAAAACAGAAAAAAGAGTTAAAAGAAGAATTTCATGTAGAGATGTTGCGTGCTACGTTATTCATCTTACACATATGAAATTTGTAGTTATTTCTTTTCTCCTCATACACCTGTTTCTTCAAGCTTCAACAATCTTGCGAAGGGGAACTTACATTTCTCTCATCTACGTTCCTATTCTTTCGGTTTATGTCTATAGCCATCAATATACCAATACTATACATTTATGATAGAACGACCGGTTGATTTAGTTAATTTTTCGGGACATGATACTGTTAAATTACATTTCATTCATTTCTTCTCTTACACGCCGTAAACATTCTCTTCTCTTCTGTCTTGCTATCGAATTCTCTTCTATCTTAATTTGTACCTTTACCCAAAACGACGACAAGAAATTAAAATTCCTAGATGATTCAAAAAAGTCTCTTTTTGTGCAGAATCAGCTCATCCAATAAACTATTCTGATAAAAAGCATAATACATAAATGCTGTGTCCAAAAAAATGCTCAGACATCGATACTCGATAATATCTCTGACCATTTTTCATGATACTAGTGGAATGTCTTCTTTTATTTTATTTGAACATTCACTGCTTATAAATTTGAATATATTCGATGTCTTTTTTTCTCCAGCATGTAGAAGAGATGCTGTTATAAAATATTTTATTTGACAGACTCGAATAGGAAAAAAATGAAAATAAATCTCTTCATTGGATTTACCCGTTGCTGTAAGAAGCGAAAATTGGAAATAAACAATTTTAGAAAATCCAAAGCATGTGATTAAAGGTGTGGAATTGCGATATTTTTTATTAATTTGATTATTTTAGTGGAAAATTTTCGATTTCCAACGGCTATCAAAATTTAAAATTCACTTTCTATTTTTACAATTTGAATTTTTAACGGTCTTTAAAAATTTGAATCTTTTAAACCTTACAACAGTCTGAAAATTCAATTCAAACTTTTTTTTATCCGTTTATTTTTAAAAAGTAAGTTAATTCATATAAAGTGGCAGTTTGAAAGCAATAAACTATTCATTACAAAAAAAGAGAATCTCCCAAATCAAAATAGCCTGCCTTATTAAGCGTGAATATGATAAGACAAGTCTTACAAGTTTTGCACTCTTCTTTCCACACATTTAAGTGCTTGTTGTAAGATTACTATGCGTAGAGTTGTAAACGCAAAAGAACCATAAAAACAATTCTTTCTTTTGCTTTAAAACTCATTAAATTACATGCACAAATAAGAACGTGAAGAATGTTTTGATTACTTTTGGAGGTAAATGCGTGCAATATGAACGAGCCAAGAACCTTCAGAATGAGATTTCTTTTCATGAATTGATACGTTGAAAGTAGAAACTTTGCTTATTAAACTAGTAGCATGCAAAATTATAAATTTATGTGTTTTTTTTATCTTCCAGATTATCGGAATTAAACAATATCTAGTAAGGCCTAGTAGTGGATTTCAATGCAATTCACTAAAAAGTCCATCACCAAACACAAGTGCTGCTTCATCAGAAAGTGGCAGTATACCATCCACATCGTACACAGAGCCGCTGATAGCTGAAGCTGTTTTACAAGCGAACGGAAGAGCGCTCAACGATGTGATTAATGATGTAAGTCAATTTGCGAATTTTGTAATGTCATGACACGTAACTACTTAGACGTACGATTGTCATTAAGTTGTAATTTTTGATATTAAGCCCTTAAGTCACGGAAAGCTTGCGAATAAGACAAGTCAAGTGCAGTAATGTCCTTGAGCAAAAAGAGTTATTATTCGCAATTTATTTTGACAAATCACCTAAGTACAATGATTATTCTGACATAAATATTAAAAAAAAAGAATAATTATTGAGTATGTGACACATACGATAAAATATTGGCACTCAATTTTAAAAATATGAGCCTAGTGTGGTCACATTTATGCTAAACAAATGAATGGAACTATTTGCTTATCGATTTGCATATTTGAACAATAAAAAGTGCATATTTATACTAATGCACTTTTCTGATCGAACATAAAACTATTTATATTAGGATTTGTGTGATTTAAAGAAAGACTTTTGTAACATTTGAAGAATTACGAGCTCATTTGAGGCTTTTCTGCTCATTAAAAAATTATATTATTGTCATAAACATTTGTAAAGCTTTGCTGCTCCTCAAATAGGCACTTGTTGATTAGACATCATCACTTGACCGAAAACTAGTCAATCATTCAATTCCACAACATAAAGTCTACCATTTGGCAGCAAAAAGCTTACGTACTTGATACAAATTGCTGTTGAATTGATTGACATCCGTCACAGTGACCTTATAGGAAGCTGATAAGTGCTCAACTATCTAAAATCTTAACTAAAGCATAGGATCAATGGTTCAATATGATATATGGAACTTTCAAGTCTCTCATTTATGAATGTGTGCTGTAATCTTAATCTCTTAATCACTCTCAATGGCAATCGCTGTATCTTATCAACAAATTTTGAGCTTTTGTAATAATTCTCGTATAAGAGTAACTAGGGAAAATTTAGGATTTTCGGACATTTCTATAAATAAATATTAACAGGCATATCCATAGAGTCATTCGATTCAAAGTTCACAAAAATATTATTTTTAAACATTCCAGCACAGCATTTATAAGTTAAATATAAAAAGTTTTATCATCAGCACTTTTTTTTCCAAATCCTTTTATCGCGATCATAATTCTTCCACTATCTTAAACTTAGTAGGTTAATATGACGTTTGATAAGTGAGTAATCATAATAAAAGTCGAAAGCAAGAAAAAAACATATTTTTGATTGAAAAAAAAAATGAAATAAAATATAATTAAGATGATGGAAATTAATTATTTCTACAAAATATAATTTACTGACTGGTAAGATATAAGTGATTGCCTCAATATGACGAAGTTTAAGACTTTTTATTTTAATTACATCACAATTTTTTTTTTCTACATTATGCTGCAGTGAATCAATGTCAGCTTTTATTTTATATAATGACTAATTTGCTTGAGAAAGGTATTGTGGATATAAACTTCGAACCTTTGACGTAGCTATGTTTTAATGCGAGACATTTGCTTGTGACGTCCATCAATAATTAGATTTATAAACTTTGTTATTTCTCCACAACATTTGAATTTGAAAAGAAAACATTTTTTTCAAAAGACGTCATTTATGAACGACAATCCTCCCATAATATACCTCTTAAGAAACATCATTAGATTATGCTTGTTTAGAAGAAAAAAAAAATGCTTGGATAATTACCTTTGTGGCAATAAAGCAAGCTCGCTGTTGCTATCATCGAGAATATATTGTCTCATTCTTCATAAAAATTTATTGTTGCTCAACTCTTGACCTGCTAAATTATAATTTTGATTGAAAGGAAGCTCTATCGACGTAAATAAAATATACAGTGAAATAAATTTAAGTATTTTATGAAACTTACTTAGAATATGAGCTGGAAAGTTAATGTGATAGACAAATGACGAACAAGACGTAGCTAATGCACACAATGCTAATGCTCCACTATGGGCCAGAAATCGAAAACTTTTCCGAAAATTATTTTTTTAGTCTAAATGATAGCTCTTTCATTCCCATTTATGAAAATACTTACAAAAGTGGCCAATTCAGCCTAAGTTCCGAGTTATGGCTTTTCAAATTTTTGATTAAGAGCATTTTCTCGCCCCACAAAAATTGTCACTACTTTTCATTAGATTGATGAAACTCTTTCAATTTTTTTTTATTTGGTAGCTTAAAATAAGAGCTTTATTTTAGGATAGTAAACATTTAATTATGCATCTTTTAACTTTATGAATTTTAAGGTTTTTTCAAAAAAGCACGTGTTCAGTATGATTATGTTCGTCTAGGACTTCACTCTTAAAATAAATGATGCTGAATCTTTTTTTATATTGTAGATATAAACAAGATCTACAACTTTTATTAAAATACTATAAAGTTTTAGTAGAGTTTTGCTGATGAAATTAAGTCTTTTCTTCAAAAAAACTGCAATTTTTTGACATAAATTCCCATAACTTTTCAGGATAGCCCAAAGGAGTGGATTTTTTTTACATGCTTTGAAAGCTCTTTGGATATACTATCAGAATATATAATCAGCTTGAGTTCGGTTACTGAGACAATCTCGAGCAATTTGACTTTGAAGTGTGACCAGAAATACATTTCAAAACATAAAAATTGAAAATAAATTTTGTACGTTTTTCAAAATTTTAGTTTTTTGCTTTAGATCAATAGATCTCATCAAGGCGCATATTTTGAGTATAAATATGTCATAGTTTGAACAATTTTTATACTCAAATTTCAACAAAATCATTTTTATATATTTTTTCAACAAATTTTACTTATTTTTCAATTATTTTAAATCAAAACATATTTTAAATCTTCTGATTTTGATATTTTTTGAAATTTCTATGTTTTTATGTTAAATTGTCACTCCTAGAGCAACAATTCATAAATTTTTTTTACTTTAAGGTAATTTTTTTATAATTTTTTGCAAATTACACTCATTTTTCTTATCTTTTTTTATCAAATTTTATTTTATGATAATTCTAAATATTGAAATTTAATGTAATATGCATAAAAATTCTCTTAAATATTTAAAGATCATATTTTATCCAATTAACGTAGGAATAAAGCTGGAATGAGCAAAGCTTTGATATGTTCCTTTAATCTGAAGGTAATTTTCCTTTCGATTCAGAACATATAAGCATCCAATCATTTATTTTTAATAAATTTCGGTAAACATACTTATTTCCATGCAATTGTAAAGCATAAACTATCACCACGAACTATTAAAATTAAAGACCTATAATGAAAATAGTTTTTAAAAAGGAAAACGCTATCAACCATTTTCCAATCTATCAAATTTATTGCGACAATTTTTATCCAATGTTGAATGGTTCCTTATAGTTTTTTACCATATTTCATTGATTTTTCAAATTTTTGTCTTTGTATATACTTTTTTTACTGATCTGTGGGCGCAACGTGATACATTTCAGATCCGTTCTGACAATTTATCATTATAAGGTAATCTTGTAGCTCTCGTTCCTATTTCTCCCGCTACACTTCAAGTTCCTCATCCGTTCCTTAATCCAAATATCGCATGGCTTGATCTCGTACATTAAGCAGTCGAAGTATCCAAACTTCTGAAAAAGAACAAATTTGGAAATGGCTGGATTGGAACCGACGACCTTCGAGTTACCATACCAAATTTGAGCCAATCGCCTTACTTATTTGACCAGCGAGGCACTTAAACCCTTATACATAGACAAAAATAGATTCAAGAACCATCATTTAGTTTTGATAAATTTCGAAACGATGCAAACTTTTCAAACTTTTGTATATATACTTTATATATTTCATACTGGTAAATTCCAGTCACCATTAGTGAGTCCAGTCAGATTATAAATATTGAGCTTTCAACTTCCGAACCTGAAAGGCAGTTTATGCTTTACAATTGCATGGAAATAAGTATGTTTACCGAAATTTATTAAAAATAAATGATTGGATGCTTATATGTTCTGAATCGAAAGGAAAATTACCTTCAGATTAAAGGAACATATCAAAGCTTTGCTCATTCCAGCTTTATTCCTACGTTAATTGGATAAAATATGATCTTTAAATATTTAAGAGAATTTTTATGCATATTACATTAAATTTCAATATTTAGAATTATCATACAATAAAATTTGATAAAAAAAGATAAGAAAAATGAGTGTAATTTGCAAAAAATTATAAAAAAATTACCTTAAAGTAAAAAAAATTTATGAATTGTTGCTCTAGGAGTGACAATTTAACATAAAAACATAGAAATTTCAAAAAATATCAAAATCAGAAGATTTAAAATATGTTTTGATTTAAAATAATTGAAAAATAAGTAAAATTTGTTGAAAAAATATATAAAAATGATTTTGTTGAAATTTGAGTATAAAAATTGTTCAAACTATGACATATTTATACTCAAAATATGCGCCTTGATGAGATCTATTGATCTAAAGCAAAAAACTAAAATTTTGAAAAACGTACAAAATTTATTTTCAATTTTTATGTTTTGAAATGTATTTCTGGTCACACTTCAAAGTCAAATTGCTCGAGATTGTCTCAGTAACCGAACTCAAGCTGATTATATATTCTGATAGTATATCCAAAGAGCTTTCAAAGCATGTAAAAAAAATCCACTCCTTTGGGCTATCCTGAAAAGTTATGGGAATTTATGTCAAAAAATTGCAGTTTTTTTGAAGAAAAGACTTAATTTCATCAGCAAAACTCTACTAAAACTTTATAGTATTTTAATAAAAGTTGTAGATCTTGTTTATATCTACAATATAAAAAAAGATTCAGCATCATTTATTTTAAGAGTGAAGTCCTAGACGAACATAATCATACTGAACACGTGCTTTTTTGAAAAAACCTTAAAATTCATAAAGTTAAAAGATGCATAATTAACTGTTTACTATCCTAAAATAAAGCTCTTATTTTAAGCTACCAAATAAAAAAAAATTGAAAGAGTTTCATCAATCTAATGAAAAGTAGTGACAATTTTTGTGGGGCGAGAAAATGCTCTTAATCAAAAATTTGAAAAGCCATAACTCGGAACTTAGGCTGAATTGGCCACTTTTGTAAGTATTTTCATAAATGGGAATGAAAGAGCTATCATTTAGACTAAAAAAATAATTTTCGGAAAAGTTTTCGATTTCTGGCCCATAGTGTGCTCTTTTTGAACCTTAGAGGTCACATTTGTGATCAGAAATCAAGCATACATTATAAAGATTTTTCTCGTACCTAAAATATTGAAAATAAAAAATACTTGAGGCACATGCTGCCTTTGTAAATTAAAGAAGATTAGCTAATGTTCAATCGAAAAACTCGTAAAATTCAGGAATAGGATATAATGTGATGTGCTTATTTAATAACACGAAGCTCATATCGAACATTTGGGGATTTTTGCAGCACAATTTTTTCTATGTTTTTTTTTTTCAAGGCAAATTAGTTTTGGAACAGGATTTTTGCAGATTTAAGTAATATACTTGGTGCTGAGAGATTTGAATTGAATTGTCTTATAAATGGATGCTTGAAATCATCAAATAAGGAGATTAAATTAATAATTTTGCAATATCTGACAAAATTTCATTTTTAACGAAATTTTGATAATCGTTCAGTAATCCAAAATTCATTTCAGTTCATATCGTTTAAAATCATTAAAATTTTAAGAATCCGTTAAATGTTTAAAATTATTCAAATGTTAAGAAGCCGTTAAATGTTTAAAATTTCTTTATGGCCAAAATATTGCATTAAAATTAAATGCATTTTTAAATATGATTACATTTTTATCCACCTGATAATTTGCATAATCCTGCATTTTAATTAATTTAATTTAAAAGTAATGGAAGGATATTTGGACTGCAAATTATCATGTTAAAAAATATTAAAACAAATAGTACCACAGGCTCTTATTTCTTTCAATTAATGACATTTGATCATTCGTAAGCTTATTATTGTTGCATAATCCATGAATGTGATGAAATTGTGATTTGAAAGACACTTAACATGTGAGTAAGTTCATGCGTGATTATCATTAAATGTACCTTATGTTAAGCTTGTTTCTGTATTTGCATTGGAGACATTTTTTTTTTTCTACAATAAACTTTGACATGAAACTCTTTTGAAATTACAATAATGCTATGTATAGCTTTTTTTTCGAAATATATTATTATTCTACAATTGTGTGACGACGTTCGAGTATCAAAGGTGAAGCTCAGACGATAGCGACAATATCCGTCATTAACTCATAGCAGAATTTTTTTTAATTATAATTATAATTTTTTAAGCTTAAATGTATAGCTATGTTACGTTTTGCATGGCATTAAACTTAAAGAACTGTCACTGTTTTATTTTTTTTGCAGTAATGAGATGTGTGTAGCGTCATTTTTTTATGATATGAGCTACATAGTTCACTGTTGAAGCAGCTGACAGCAATTACATAGGGATTACTATCCAGTTATTTGCTGTAAACAACATGCACAGAATATTCCATTATAATGAAGAAGTACAATTTAATTGGAAAACTCGCGCGGTGATTATTTTCATTAAGATAAGCATAATTAACGAAAATGAATCATGCATATGGAACTGCCTTAAACATTTTTATGATTTCAATGGCCGACTAGGAAAGATTCATGAAATATGCAAAATTAATTTCGATATTTGAATTAAAATGCAATTTTTATGGCATTTCTTCCTAGAATAAAAACTATTTATTGAGCACAGGGTGCCAATTATATTTATTGGAAGTGATTTTGGAATTTACAATTATAATTACGGAAAGTTCACATGAAATCCTTTATTGACGATACACAGTCACTGTTTTATATTTAATTTGATTGAGGAAATTCTAGAATGATATTCATATTATTCATGAGTAGTTCCAATTTTAAACAAGCCGACATCCGGACAGGAATAATAAAATAATTTTGATTCCAAATGCCTTTTGGTCACAAAATCCTTTTTTTTTATAGCATTGAAATGTTCTTTATAAGGTTACCTGTGCTGTTTTGTAGGATGTCAACAATAAATCCTTCATTTCAAATTTCCTTAGTAAATTCAAACTTTATCAATCCATTAAAATTCAATAATCGGGCCAAACCGTTGTTCATGGAAATAACCGAAAATCCCGTTCGGATTAGAATTTAAAGCTATAACTTAATATCAAGCAGAACAAGAATTTCAAAAAGTCACAAATGTATTAATTGCATCTTAACATTCAAATTATTGAAGAGTCTTAAAATCTACAAATTCTAATATCAGAGGTGGATATGATCATATAATTATAAGAAATTGGACATTAAAACAGCAGTAAAATTTCAAATAATAATTTGCATCTTTGCAATAAAACGTAATGAGCGACTGCAGACGTTGTTTTCCGAGAATTGAATGTCTAATGTTACCAAAAGAGCATACTGGAAGTGATTTAACTATTATTATCCATTAGACTAATATCCACAGAATATTTTTGCATTAAGCGTATGAACCTTAGCAATCAATGTTTTACTTCTATCTATCCCGTAAATCTTGTGTTGGATATGTGTCAATTTGATGTTGTTGACATTAGTAATAAAGAAATTCGTCCACAACCTACATGTAAAATGAAAGAATTGAATTGAAAGTAAACATTAATTAACTTTCATAGAAGAAAATGATCTCATTTTTTTTTCGAAGCTTGACTGACTAGTTTCGTCCAATTATTCATTTAGTTATGCATAACATCATGTTAAAAGCTTTTTTTTTTCGCAATATTTGGGGCTATCAATTAGCAAGCAATATTTAATATGACTGAAAGATATAATTTTGTGTCTTTATGTTTTTCAAAATAAATGACAGGACAAGCTGATAAATCATTCCTACTTATTCCAGTTCATTTAAACTAGTTATTGATAGTAGAAGTAAAACTACTTGAAATTCAGTGTTTAAATTATTGCGTAATGTCAAAAGATTTTCAAATCGAAAGGATTTAATGTTGACCTTTGAATTTGTCATTGGAACCAATAAGAGTCTATTCTCTACCGGCTAGATTAAAAGCATTTTTGCCATCCATTTTTTCCTAGTTAAGACTTTGAAGTGACACTTAATCATTTCATTTCTACAAGAACTTGCAAAGGCACGTGTATTCAAATGCTTACTATTTCTTGGAAAAGGATGCTCTTTTGCCATTTCCAGTAACGAGATATCATTGGTATTGACTGTAGGAAGCAATAATAAATAAATTAAATTAATATACAGTTGGTGACCATAATAAATTATTAAAATATAAACAAGGTAGAAACTGAAAATATACATTTTCAGATGAAATTTAAATATTAAGGATATCTGACGTACTAAAACGGCATGTTAGATAAAACTTTCCAGTTTTTATATTTAGAATTCTATTGTGAATCCCCTAAAAATTAATAAATTAATATTGTTTATTTACTTCCAGTTTGACACATACCTACGTTCACTAAAAATCGATCAGAACAATATATGTTTGGTGACCGATGGCCAACAACCACTAAGGCAGTGCCTACATCCCGAATCTGGTGCCAAAGATATTCATTTACCATCGTATTATTGGAAATTCAATGATTTAAGGAAGGAGTATGGATGCTCAAAGTCTGCTGATTTATCTAATTCCACCGTACCAATTGCTGACGTAAAGTTGCCAAATATGCCTGCTGTTTCCACAACTCAGTCAATATCATTAACAGACATTTTGAATGGTAAGTTTACTTCTTTCTGTTTCATTAACAAGCAAACAGCAGCAACAGAAGACAGCATACTTTGAGACATTTTTTTTTTGTTACTGTATTTGTATTACGTCGACAGTAAATATTTTTTTAAATTAATGGTAATTATCTTTGTGAAGTACAAAAAGTACATGCAATCTGAATATGTTGTTTTGTGTTGTTCCGTTTACCTGGAAGTTATAATGACTATTATTCTAATGGTCATCTGACCCATTAAAAAAATAATAATGATACTAAATTTCGAATATCTAAATCTCGAGCTATCATGTACATAACGATGAATGAATGTTATTTATGAAGAAGCTGAATGTTCATCTTGTCAATCAAGTCTATATAGCAAATACAAGTGGAAATTTGTCGTTTCCATCACTAAATTAAGTGATCAAATATTATCATAACTCTTGCCTCTGAAAATGCAGCACATTCCTTAATCATACTTACTTCTTTTTGTCGTCAACGGACATGACAAACATTGTTTGACATTTTATTATATTGTGCTTTTAATTTTCATTGATGCTAAAATGTCTTAAAGAGCAGTGACAAGATTTTGTGAATTTTTTTAATAATTATGTTTTCCGGATCTATATTTCAAACTGGGTGTGCTGCATTGACGATTAAATTAACATTTGATTCTAAGTTATTGAACTGCAAATGTCTTCGCCTTGGACATTTTTGAATTAGAGATGACTAGATTCTTCAGTTTGCATGTTTGTTGTGAACGACATGAGATTCAAAAATTGTAACGGTTTTTAAAAATTTGAAATTAGTGAAGATTGACAAAAATGAAAGAGCCAACTTCAAGGAAGACATTTAAAAAAGATAATTTAACGGTCTATAATGTAATAAATCAATTTAGAGTTCAGAATTATATGATTGCTTCTTAAGTACATTCTTACTCCTCAATTATCCAAGCATTAACTTCACTTACATCAAAATGTGAATATAAAATGATAAATGATCATTAGTGAGAACTCTTTATGTCCATTTCGATGAGCAGTTAATGAAATTAATCTAAAAGTTTGAACAAAGTAGACTCATTAATACGAAATCAGGATATCCTACCATGAAATGTTATGTGTGAAATAATCATTAAAAGCGAATTACTATGTATCGATAATATTTGCAAAAAAAAGCATTTTAATTATATCAGATCAGAATCAATAGAAGTATATCGTGCATTGATCAAATTAAGAGCTCTATTTGCTGACTTATTCAAGCAAGTAAGAATTAATGAATTCTCATCGTCATTAACAAATGCGCGCATTGCATTTAATTCTTGCTGCTTTGACCCGATATGATAATTAGGCATGTGTGTATAATTATTGGTGGAACCTCCATTCAAAGTCAACATTTCTGAGTAGCAAGCATACATGGATCTCCCTCGATAGTAAATTGACAATTGAAGAATTCACAAGTTTAAAGGAAAATTAGCTATTTGAAGAAAATTGGCTTGTGTTAGCCAAGCTCGTCAATTGTTAATTACCAAAAACTATCTCTTATGCTTACAACTATGTTAATTGAACGATCACGCTGCGTTGTCTCAATTTATTCAAAAAAAATTATTTCTATTTCTCTTTAATCCATTGTACGCTAATTATTAATTTATAAATTTCACTTTTTTTTATTCAACAGAAATGGAACTGAAACCTTGTGCAGATAGCGATTTTTATATCAAAGAATCTAGAGATATGATCACAATTGTGCAATCAATGATAATTGCAGGTAATTACTAATATGAATATCTATGTATAAATATAGGTAATGAAAAGCAGTTTCGCTCACACTTTATGATTGTTTTATAATCAAGTTCCTATCCAACTTTATGTGTGTAACATTGACGCACACAAACTCGATTTCATATATTTTATTATCATTCGCTACTACTGATGCTGCATCCGACTCTCTCTTTTTCATTCATTTTCATTTCAAATAAATTAAAAATCAATTGTGTGCAAAATTTTCGTCAGTTCTTTTTTTTCGCATCGACGTGAATTTATTTAAATTAATTAAAGAATTTTTTTGTTTGGACTTAAAACACACAATTATAGCTTGAAAATTGCATAATCGTAGATATCCATGGGCAATTAGACTTTTTATGATTTTCTAAAGTCCCACTTTTTTCTATGTTAATTCTTTTGTATTTCCTCAGTTACACGCTTGAACTTAAATTTTAATTTAATTGTTTATTATAATGTATTAATTGGAAAATCGAATGAGAAAAGCAAAAAAATCGGCAAGTCACATCAGCATTTTACCGTGGATTAATTTTTATAAATTTTAAGTACAAAAAGAGATCCCTATTATAAAATTTGACTTTAAACGCTTGTTTTTGCCTCAAAATATCTTAAAAACAAGTGCGCAAGCAATAACGATGTTAACAGTGATCAATAGTCAGTGACTTACTACGTAATTCTGTTTGATTTTTAACATCGGTACAGACGTAAAGATGATGAAGATCAAGTGTTTTCTAAGTTCTTGTTTCTATTCTGCACACTTGAGGATGTTTTGTTTATTCTACTGCCCAGTTTGATAGCTGTGTCTACGTCATCGGAATTAATATTGTTTTAAAAATATAATTTTAACTGTTTTTTGAAATTTAAATATTTCAAAAACTGTCGTCAACTATTTAAATCTCAAATTTCCGTTAAATTTTTATTTCTTACTTCAGTCACATGATATCTAAATTTAGAATCACAAATAATAGAAGCTTACCATCAATTTGTTGTATTGTTGAATAACAAAAGATTTATTTTGACGTAGAAGACTTTAATTGAAAGAATTTTAAAATCATTTATTTGCTTTTTATTCACCCAATAAATTAATTAAAACCAGTTAAACGAACAAAGTGCTTCTTAATTTACCTAATTAGCCATGATTGCAATTTGTTTGATGAACATTTATAATTTATAAATCAAAAATAATTTTTTTCATGAATGGCAAGCTGAGTTATGAACCTTAAGAAATCCACTGACGACCGCATATAAGCGTTGCTAATATCTTAGTTAAATTATTTGAGACATAGCCGTGTATAATTTATATTGAAACAGATAGGAGTCAATAGAGTTTTGAAATGTTTTTAATGACAAGACATGTTTAAAAACAAAAAATCCTATGCAAGTGTACACGCAAAACTTTTTAATCCATGATGGAAAATTCCATTTTAACGCCAGTCATCGTGATACTTCTTATTTTCCAATTTGATTTACGACACGTGATTTTCGCTCAATGGAATTACCAGAGTCGGTGTGAAACAATTAAAAGAGAGCAATGATAGGTATTCCCAAAATGCTGGGATTAGAACGATAGGTTACGTGTTTTAATCCAGGCAGATTAGGCGAAAATGAAGATAAATGTTGATACTTAACTTTTCTCTGGATCTGCCAAAATATTTTATAGCAAAAAAAGATAATTAAAAAGCATTAAGTACCCATATCTAGTTGCTTGACGTGCACAGGAATCAAAAATAAAGATTATACATTTTCATGAGCTTAAAATGACGCAACATAATTTAATAATTACGAGCAGGGTTGGCACGGTCTTTGTTGTTTTGTTGTTTTTGCTTTGTTCCGGACACATTTGAGATTTTTTTGTCCTTAATATCTTCATTGACGAAAAGTTTCTCGCAATAAGCTTGGGGGGCTCCCGAAATACAACTACAATAAGTCTGTTTCCCTTTAATCTTGAATTGCTATGAGGGCGATTCTCCAGATAGGTTGAATTTTTAAAAACAGAACTGTAATTCCACTGCTACTTGAAATTTTTAAATTTTTGAAATCCGTTGGGAAAAATGTAAACAAAGACTTGTTTACAAAAATAAAATTTTGTTTTAATTTATAAAAATCATTTTTTTTATATGTTTTGATTAAACAGAAGGTAATTAATAATTAATATTGCACTCAATCATCATCGTTTCTTTTAAAAATATTCCATTTAAATTTATAACGTATTTGAAAAATTTGAATCTCACAAATTAGTTTCAAGCGCTTTAAAAATTACTCGAAGACAAAATTTTCATCAAAAGAATTGAATTTTCTTGTGAAATTTGTATTAAGCTTAATAAAATTGTTGTCATATATGATAAAGTAGTTCGTTTTCTATCGATTGGTATTTATATCATATGTCAAAGAATAGTTTTTAATACTTAATTTTTGATTATAAAAATCCAAATTCCATATTTTGTCTTCGAGAAATCGTCCGAAGAATCAAAATATTTCCTTAATTAGAGTATATTGAAAGCATTTAATTATACAGATTTGTAGAGTTTAAAAAGTTGTACAATATTAATTTGTCTTTCAAGGTGTGTGTGAAGCTGGCGGGAACAGGTTCTCAGATCAAGTTGAAACTTTGTCAGAATTACGTCCATATTACGTCCATTTACGTCCCGTAATTAAATATTTTCGTCCTACTTCCTATGACTGGATATACCACTTTCAATATTTGAGTATCTTTCCCGCCAACTTCACTTTTTCAGCGGGAACCAATTACGAAATTAATTTTAATTATACATATTATATATCAAAACTGATCTCCTAATTACGTCCAATTTCGTCCCGTAAAAATTTTTGGAATCGGATATAACCAGCAAGAGTTATGGACTGTCAAAGTTTTGAACAGTACTACTTGTGGACCAATATTTTTTCCTATTAAATACTTATCATGTAGTATATCAAAACACGTCTCCTTTTTGTCAAGAGCTTAAATCTGATGGAACTATTTAAGTTCAAACTGTCATTTTGGACTTTTTGCAGTTCCAGTTCCATCTCGTACCTGAACATCATCAAAGTTTCAAAAATTTACTAGGACCATATTGTATGTCAAAATATATTTATTTTTTCTCAGTATTCCTAATCAGAAGGAATTTTTTAGATTATTTCACTATTTTAAATTTTTGGCAGTTCCTGTGCATTCTAGCCTCGTACCTGAGCATGTCCAAAAATTCGAAAAAAAATTAAAAATTAAAAAATAAACATTTTTTTATTTTTCAATATAAAGATTAGGTTATCGAATCTCAAAATTTTTAAAAACTTTTAGAGTATTCAGGTATTTAGGTCGTTAATACAATTATTTTTTAACAAGAAAAAAAAAATTTAATTTTCAATAGTAATTGCCAATCAAATAATTTTGGATGTCAACGCATCAAATTCTTCATCAATGAATTATTTCAAATCTATAATTAAGTCGTAATAGCCACTGGCTAGCCCTCTTAAAAATTTTAAATCAAGAAGATGCACACATATATCAAGATGTGCAGGCATGCCAAAAATGTACTGAAACTGTAATAAATCCAAATTTACCATCAGGATTTAAAAATTTTCTCAGAATTTGAATTAATGAGAAAAAATCCTTATGATTTGATGCATAACATGTCCTTAATTTTTTTTCGAATTTTTGGACATGCTCAGGTACGAGGCTAGAATGCACAGGAACTGCCAAAAATTTAAAATGGCGAAATAATCTAAAAAATTCCTTCTGATTAGGAATACTGAGAAAAAATGAATATATTTTGACATACAATATGGTCCTAGTAAATTTTTGAAACTTTGATGATGTTCAGGTACGAGATGGAACTGGAACTGCAAAAAGTCCAAAATGACAGATTGAACTTAAATAGTTCCATCAGATTTAAGCTCTTGACAAAAAGGAGACTTGTTTTGATATACTACATGATAAGTATTTAATAGGAAAAAATATTGGTCCACAAGTAGTACTGTTCAAAACCTTGACAGTCCATAACTCTTGCTGGTTATATCCGATTCCAAAAATTTTTACGGGACGAAATTGGACGTAATTAGGAGATCAGTTTTGATATATAATATGTATAATTAAAATTAATTTCGTAATTGGTTCCCGCTGAAAAAGTGAAGTTGGCGGGAAAGATACTCAAATATTGAAAGTGGTATATCCAGTCATAGGAAGTAGGACGAAAATATTTAATTACGGGACGTAAATGGTCGTAATATGGACGTAATTCTGACAAAGTTTCAACTTGATCTGAGAACCTGTTCCCGCCAGCTTCACACACACCTTTCAAGGCTCTCTAATGGAAAAAAATTATAAAAAATTCATTTTAGTGGTGGTTTTTTGAAAATTTTTATCTGGAGAATCGCCCATGAATTGTGTGTTCTATTCAGGGGGAAAACAACTTGGTGACTGATTCCAGCCCTCATTATGGTCGTAGATACCTGTTAGCAGCAGCTTAATCTATGTATTGGTTTGGTGTAAAAGAAATGATGATGAAGAAGTTGGGAAATTGTTATTAAAAATACATAAAAAATGTTAATATGGGTCATGCATGAATTTGTCAGTGATATTATCTCTAGCTTCTCTTTTTTTTTGATATAATTATTCAACGTTGACTGTTCAGTTGATGATTTTCTGTAATTTGCTTTTTACTCTTGCTGCATCATTATAATCCATTAATTTATTTTTCTACCTCAATAATGGCCACAACAAAAAAAAAGAGAGTAGCAATAGATAATGAGAGAAAGATGACATTTTGCTGTAACTAGGCAACAAGTGCTACAACATTATGACATGAATTAATTATGCTGAGTAATGTGCAATTATGTATGTTACGTTCTCTCTCAACCGTTTCTTTCTTTACAATCATAAATTTATTTTTTAATTCTTGCCTTAACACTTTGAGTTTACAGACCATATATGCATTTAGATGAGAATGAGTAAGAAAGTTGTCACTCGTGACTATACATAGCAGCATTAAACATTTTGATGATTCGAGCATAAAATTTCATGTTGAAAAATAACTGTCAAAATAAATTTGAAATGTCCAAAAAATTGAAATATTTTTTAAAAAATAACGATCCAAAATCTCAAAATAATGAGTCATGACAAACCACTTATTTTTTCGGAATTCCAGCCATAAAAGAAGAAACTGAAGTGACTTGCACACATATATTTTAAGCTAAGAAAAGTTATAATCTAATAAAAGTTTAATGAAATTCATAAAAATAATGTACATTTGATACATGTGTGCTTCTTGGTCATAGAGAGTGAACATAAAAAAATGATTACATCTGACAGCAAAATGACGTCAAATCATGATAATCTCAATGAAAACCCGTTCATAATCATCATTGTCGTCAACACATTGATGATTTAATGGTTGTTTACAAAGTCAAAGTGGTGGAAGTATAGAAATTTTTTGCAAGTCAGCGTTTTTCGGTCGCAGACAAAACTTCTCGCTTGACTTTTGAATGTCTTATTTTATTAATCCCTTCTTCTTACTGCCTTTTTATTTTGTGGATAAATTTGCATTTACATTTGATTAAGCACTGCTATTAAGATTCACAACGTGTTAAGTCCTAATTTGCTAATTGAAATTTTTTGTTCTTATTTTTCAGGTCACAATTTTAATCCGAATGAGATTGTCAATCAATCACTAGAACCTGGAATTTGGTAAGTTTTGCAAGTTTATTAATTTTACAACATTACAAGATGATTGAAGCAATTTGGTTGGCTTCCTTAAAAGAATCGAACTTATCATTGAAGAAGATAAGTTGACTTGATAAGAAATTCCTATATATGGAAGTCTTGTTATTCCTTGTTTGATATGAAAAGTAATGAAAACGTGAAAATATTTTATAAACCTCAATAAATCCCAATCGAAATTGCTTATCTTTGCGTTGCCGGCAACAATTTCTCGTCTCGTCGTCACTTTATTAAGATAAGCACGTGTTGACAAATTAGAACCTACCCTGTTTTTTCGTTATAAGCTAGTAGCTTAGAAGAATAAAAAAGTGATTTTTTTGGCTCACTAGTAGCTTAGTAACGAGTAGTAGCTTAGTAAAGAAATTGAACTTCAATGAAAATTTTGAGTTTTTTGACTTATTTAAAGAAATTTTGCTATCTTCCCGATTTTATTTCATTGACAATGTCATAAGGCATTTAAACTGATACTTAGAAAGTTGAAAAAGATTAATTAAACTTTATTTTTGGTAGTAGCTTAGTAAAGGTTACAAAAAATTTTCAAGTTCAAAAAACTTTACTAAGCTAGTAGCTTAGTAACGAGTAGTAGCTTATAACGAAAAAACAGGGTACATAATTGTTTTGTGTGCATGAAGATGGCTTTCGTCAGCTGATTAGATATATACAATGTATTAGGATGAGATAATAGACTACATACTAATGAGTATGAATGTATTTAGAAAGATGATAAGCATTGCAAAAGAACAATATTTTTAAGGAACAACTAACACCTACTCATTAGCATACAATACTCTATATTTGAATAAAACACATTCATCTTATGCATAATACGGTATGTGCATGAAAAGAAATGTAAAATAAGCAGCTGGTATTTAAACACGTTTAAAGAGTGAGCGTTATCAGTAGTCACTGAAATATTGACCAGTTGTGAATGTGTGCTCTGCTTTTTCGGTGTAATGTTCTATACTTACTTACACTCGTAATGAATTTCTTGCATATTTAATGACTTTAGCGCATATTTCAAGCTATGAACGGTTTTCAAAAATTCAAATTTTAACGGTTTTCAAAAATTCAAATTTTAATAGCTTTCAAAAATTCAAAGTTATTAAAAATAATTTTGAATCTTACCGGCTTTTATTTAAATGAATAAAAACCATTCAAAGTGACTCAAAAATCATGTGAGGATAGCTTTAAAAAATATCTAGTTGAGTCTCATTCACATTTTCATCTCTTTTACTCTCATTTTCATGAGCTGTAAACCATCTGTTTATACACAAACTATATTAGAAAATAGAGCAGTAGTTTTGAAAGAAGTCTATAACATTACTCTACATGAATAAAGTGCTTACTTGCTTACTTATATATAGGGAGGATTAATGTGTTGCTTGCTCAAAGAAATAGTATTGAACACATGTATATAATATTTTCATACAAATGTAATGATGAATCCACATTTTCAAGTGTTTTATTTTATTTAATATTATTTTAGTGAGCTTCCACACATAGGTTAAACCAAAAGCATATTTTAGACTGTTTTAATTAATGCAGCTAAATTTATTCATTTTTAATAAGTCTGAGCTTGTGAAGTGATTTATCTCAAAAATAATATTAATTATTGTTTAAAAAATTTTTAAATTTTCTGACAGAAGCGGTGTAAAACGTCACAAGTGTTACAAATCGTAGATTAAAGTACGCGAAGTGTTTTTCTGTTTTTATTTTACGAAACACCTTTACTTTTGCTTTTGAACAGTCGGCGAAAAAAAAAGCAATTTGTATGCTCAACAACTTTGATAAGAGTTAAAACATTTCCAAAGCCTTTATTTTTATTATTTGTGTGATATACATACATAAATTTCATGTACAAAAGAAATCCTATTATAGAAACAACAAAAGTGTACTGAAAAGAAGAAGAAATCAAGAGCAATCTTATCAGCAATTAAGTGAGTAAGTAAGAAAGTTGAGTTCTCACTCAAATTCTTATCAAAGGTCATCAATGATGTGATTTGTTCGTGATTTTCCTATTTGACTTGTGCTTACTTATTACGTACTTAGTTTTTGTTGTTCTAAAGTCATTTCTAGTACGTTTGCTAATCAACAACGTGCTTAAAAGTCGAGTGGAATATGAATAAATTGTGAAATAAATGTAACGGCTTTCAAAAATTCAAATTACAACGGTTCCCAAAATATCAAAATGAGTTTAAACCGCAGCCAACTTCAAGTGTAACATATTTGATTTTTTAAAAAAATGTTGAGAATTTTACTTCCAAGAATGATTAAACTGTGGGAATATCGAAAATTGTTCACGGCTACTCTTTGTCTCACTACTGCATTTCTCATACTCATTTCGTGCGTTTAACATGTTTTTTTTTGGTTGGAATTCGTGACGCGTGTTTTTGTGTCTTCGGGAACTAACTTATAATGATGATTTTTCACGGCGATTATAATTGAAAAGTAGAAAAATGAGTAATTTATGGCTATTATACTAATCGTTTGCTCTCAACTCTTTAACGATCAAAATACTATACAAATTAACTTTAAAATTATTTTAATGGTTCCATCACGCAATTCTCGGATCTTTTTGTCTCTTAACAGTTTTACAAAATGACTTATTGTGCAATTTTTGCTACTGTACTTCCATTACATATTTTGTTTTCATTATTTTTATTAAGTACACTGACGACAAATGCACAAAATAATGCATTCTACAATTTTTTTTAAGCAATGTCATGACTTTTTCTGTTCATAAACTTCAACAGTGCTTGCTGTGTATGAGTTAACACTTTTATTTGGAGTCAGTTGCTTGTTTCATTGTAATACGATGAACACAGTAAAAATAAGAAATCTAGGTTGAAAAACTATATGAGAAATTCCAAAAATTCCAATAATACTTTGTGGCTAAGTGGAAAATCTTGGTGAAAATTTTAATCCCATTCTTCAATGAAATGAAATTTACGCAGAGGAAGAAGAAAACTTGAATCAAGTACAATGAGCTGCGAGGCACAAAAGTCAGTACATATTAATGGATTTAACGGAAGATTTCGTATTGTTCGATATTTTTGAGATTTGTATTTCTGTGAATTTTCATTTTTTTTTAACTTACAAGAGTTGTTTGAGTTACTTGAAGGCCAGTGGCGAGCCTCTTAAACTTGATAATCTCAAGAAATAAAATCTTTAAAAATAACGGTTAATATTTTTTTGAATTTTGTAGCAAATTCAAAATATTTTTGATCGTTAAATTCAAATTTTTATTTTTGAAAGAATCTTGTGAGCATAAAATCTAGTTTTACCTCCGCACACATGCCTACTATCAACTAGAAATTTTCATTCGATACTTTTATTCTCCATATTTGCTGACTTTATTGCTTTGGATGCAGTTCATAAACATCCTTCAAACTGTTTGAAGTCTAGAGTACTTCGTCAAATATTAAAATTGTATTGTGAAAGATGAAAAATATTCATTATAAAATTCTGTATTTACTTTATACTCAAAACACAAAAAGGCACAATAATAATAATAATTATATTGTTGACGTTATCTCCACGTAGTCTCGCACATTTTTTTTTCTCATGCGATGATTAGTCTTAGTTCGTCGAAAAAGAAGAAAGGAATCAAGAAATTTAGTTGCTTTAATGTGTGCAAGGTTATGGATTTTATCGGTTTATCAAGTTGATTAATGTTCATAATCGGTTGTCAAAATTTAATGACAGCTTATTTTTATCGTGCTCGATAAGATTAAAAGAACGAGTTGCAGGCTGCAAAAAATTAAGTTTTATAGCAAATATCTTTTCGTTAACAATTTGAGACAATTGATGAGCTTTATAGAACATTTGTGACATTCCTTACTTGATGAATTTTAAACATTGGTAATTGTGTCAGTGCTATTAGCTTAGTGCGAGGCTGAGTAAAGAAGTTGTTGATAACAACAGATGCCAGGAAACTTGCTGATGCCTGTGAATGACCCGTTCTTGTTGCCAATCAAAGCAAATCCATTAATATTAAATATTTAGATACAGAAATGATTGCTTAATGTCCAAAATATCCAATTATCTCCATCAAACGAATCTTCATGAGACGTTATTACCATAACAGTGTATAACAGCACTTATTAAGCTTAATATGTCAAAACCACCTACCTATATGTTCCTTTCGAAAATTATCTAAAATTTCTTCAAGTCAATTGCTTCTTATCATCAATTTAAGCAGCATTAAATGAGAATTTTAATTTATTTTATTTTTTTCTGCTTCTTTCAACAGCTCAATCGATGATGAAATAGATGGTAATTGTATAGTGCGTGCTAGAGGACTTCCATGGCAAAGTAGTGATCAAGATATAGCAAAATTTTTCCGTGGTTTGAATGTTGCTAAGTAAGTGCCTCACACATTATAATTAAAGAGATTAAGCAGTAATCGAAATGAGTTTTAATTAATTCCCATTCAATAATTGACTCACTCACTCTCTCTGTCTTTGTTTCCCTTTATACGTAAACATTGTAGAGGTGGAGTTGCTTTATGTTTATCTCCACAAGGACGTCGAAACGGTGAAGCATTAATTAGATTCGTTTCGCAAGAACATAGAGACATGGCACTTAAAAGACACAAGCACCACATCGGATCGAGATACATTGAGGTAAAATACTATCATCATTTGTTTCACTCTTTTCTCTTTTTTTTTTTTTGTGTGGAAAGCTAGATGTGACATCACTAAGCGCATTAAAATTAAAAATTAACGGTCAAAAAATATTTGAAAAATAACTGCCATAAAATATTTGAAGCTGAATGGTCTTGTTGAAAAAATTCATTTTTTAAATAATTTAACGGATATTTTTTGACTTGACAAAATGCAGGCTTTACCGTCACACTACTTCTAGTAAAATGCACTGGAAATGAGAAGAATTGAAAGAGAGAAACCTCCGTTAAGCGGATTAAATTACATTTCATTATAAGTTTTCATTACGAATATAGTACAAAATACAATGTCTATGATTTGCAGGTGTATCGAGCCACCGGAGAAGACTTTTTGGCTGTGGCTGGTGGAGCTTCCAATGAAGCACAAACATTTTTATCAAAAGGTGCACAAGTAATCATAAGAATGCGAGGTCTTCCATATGACTGTACTGCTAATCAAGTGGTTCGTACTTTTATTACCTTCTGACTTCAATTAACGTTATTCTTTAATTGTAATGATGACTTTGCGAAAAAAGAATTCTTTATTAATTCTTGTTATTCTCCCATTCAATTTTTTATACAGTTGGAATTTTTTGCAAATGGCGAGAATTCATGCAAAGTGTTGGACGAATCGGAAGGAATTTTATTTGTTAAGAAGCCTGATGGACGTTCGACTGGTGACGCATTTGTGCTATTTTCTGACGAAAGTGATGCACCGAAGGCTCTTTCAAAGCATCGAGAATCTATAGGACAGCGATATATTGAATTGTTTCGTTCAACAATAGCTGAAGTTCAACAGGTACGTTGCGCAATCTCTAACATCATTCATAAGTAATGACTTTTAAAAAAAAAATTATAAAAATGTTTTGCCTTAATGCTTTGATTAATGGACTCAGATGGGTAAGATTGTTGTTCTACACTTCAGATATGTGCTTGCCTGCCTTTCAAAGCCTCTTTTATTGCTTTATTACTTTGCATTTTAAATTAATTTGCACATCTATTCTCAATAGGTTCTCAATCGCTCAATGGATCCGAAAACGTATGAGCAAAATACTCCAAAACCACCACTTATTGCTCAAATACCACCAACAATCGCACAAATGCCAATGTTACCGCAACACGTTATCACCAGTGGAACTGAGAAGAATTGCATTCGATTACGTGGATTGCCGTACGAGGCAAAAGTGGAACACATTTTGCATTTTCTTGAGGATTTCGCCAAGCATATTGTATATCAAGGAGTACATCTGGTTTATAATGCACAAGTAAGATGCAAATAAATATCTTATATTGTCGACATTAAAGTACATTATATTTCACTCTTTTATTTAAGGGTCAATTTAATGGAGAAGCTTTTATTCAAATGGACAGTGAGTCAGCAGCTCAGGCATCGGCACAACAAAAGCATCATAAGCACATGATGTTTGGAAAGAAGCAGCGATACATCGAAGTCTTTCAATGCTCAGGTGAAGATATGAATATGGTGTTGAATGGAGGTTATCATCAATATCAATCCTCGCCTACCATTAGTGCTAAGCCAATATCATCGGGTATGTTACCACAACCATCAAGACCACAAACATCAACTGTTCAACCATTACAAGTTTCAATTCCTCCACCCTTAACCATTCCATTGTCACTTCCTCAAACTGTTTTGCCACCGACTGTGACAAACAGTATTTCTGCAATTAATGCAAATGTTGCTGTTGGAAGTGCCAATCAAGCTAACCCGAATTCATTGATTGTACAACAACAGCAACAAGCTCATTTCATAGCACAACAGAATCTTATTGCTCGACAGCAAGCTGCAGCTGCACAATTACATGCTGCCCAACAGCAATCAGCTGATCAAATGGCATTTCTTCAGAATTATGGTTTCTTATCATCACCGGCAGCTAATTCTAATTTACAGACACCTCCCACTCAAATGTCTCAAATGTCTAATCCTTATGGCTACTCATTAGGTCCACAAGTCCCACAATTCTATTATCTTCCACGTCCCAATTATCTTCCAATGAGTCTCATGCATCCTAATTTAAGCCAGCTTTCAAATGCTTCCTTTGCTGGAGGACTACCATCAGGTTATATTAATTCAGCACAGCTTCAAAGTGTTCAAAATGCTAATGCACAAATGATGCAAAATATTCCGTCATCAAGTGCAATTTCATCGACGAGTGTTAAGCGCTCATATGAAAGTGCCTTTCGAAATGATCCAATGGCAGTTACAGCTGCGAAACGAGCATACCATCCAAGTCAATCACATGCAGCTGCAGCTGCAGCAGCTAATCTTTATGGTACATATCCGTATCAACAATTATAAAGTGCTTTTTCAATTAAATTTATCAAAAGTTTTAAAATATTCTTCTATTTTTTTCTGAGCTTTAAATTAAAAATAATAATTATGTGCATTAATAATGTTAGGCTAGTTAATTTTATTTTCATTTGACTATGAATCAAGTTTATGCTATGAAATATTCGGCACACATTACATGAAATGTGCAATAAAATGAACGAAATGATGCATTAATTTTCCTCGAAATCCTCCTTCCCATCGAGACCTTCCTTAACATAAAACGAAGTAAATAAGATTTCTGGATGTGATCAAGCTTAAAGTTGTTGTCCAACGGTTTTGTAGAATTTGAATTTTAACGGTTTTGTAAATTTCAAATATTGATGTTTGGCGTGAAGTTGGTTAAAATTGTATTTTTTGAAAAGGGAAAAGCTGTTAAAATTCTAATAGTTTAAAAAGCTGACATCCACAAGTCTTAAGACAGCTAAACCTATTTTTTTCTGTTATGCATTTATTCTGGTTAAATTTGCATTATGTCTATTGCTTACTTCCTATTCTATTGACATTCCATAATTTCATGTTTCACTTTTCATCTTATAATAATATCCGAAATTGTTTTTAGTGAGAAATTTATTTGTTGTTTCCATTAATTCAGCTATAAGCAGTACATTAAATTTTTTTTTTAATAATAATATTATTCTCTGTCATAAATAATATTAATTTTTAATAGTTGCTAAGGTATATATCTTATTCATCTTATTATTATCTAATAACATAGACAAGAAAATTGTACACATTAAGGTTCTTTATTTACACACACATATATATTTGTCAAAACATGATGATTGATATGGATAGAAATGATGCTTGCAAGATTTTTATGGTTAAAAGTTTTAATTTTCTTCAACGTTCAATACTGTTAAAGAATGAATTTAGCTGAGTTAAGATTTTTTTTATATATAAGGCGTCGTTCACAAATGACATACATCAAGATGGAAGTCATCAGTGAACGATTCCAGTTTTTATTGTGGTGTTGGGAAACAAAAATCATTGTTTTGAAGTTCAAAGTATCGAAGATTAAGTAGAGAACGCGAAAGTACTTATTAAAAATGACATTCACAATATATACTTTATACCTGCATACATATCATAATTGTAACAAATTGATACTTTGAAGACTGATGAATTATAATTTGCAATCATCGAAAGACATCTACCTATGTTATAACTTTAATTATAAAACATGATTCTTTATAATTATTGTAGAATCTAAGTGAACAAGCACATTCCTTTTCTGATTATATTACACATTCCTATGTGTTATTTCTTTTTTGTTTGAAATATCCGTACTTAAAATGCATTTGTTACGCAGCTATAGATTGCAATTCCCGAAAAAAAAGACAATCTACTTTAACTTTCATCATCACAATATTTTATTAAATTTATTTTTTTGTCTATCAACGTAATAATATTAGATATTTAAGAATAATAATTAATATAATGGCAATGTCCACACGAGAAAATAGGGGTTGTTGCTTATTAATGTTATTTGATACACGAAAATATATAGCAATAGTGTGTATGTCTGACTAACTTTAATGATAGCATAAATTTACTAACATTTTTTTATATGAGAACTTCCAATTCATGGATGAAGAATATATGAAGGATGTCAGAAGTTTTTGGTATTAATAATTAATGACCTTGCCTGTTATGTGATACCAGACTCTTCTCTATGCCTTCAATTGTGGGCATTTCCATCTTCATGAAGAAGCAGTTATAACTTATTTAGATTCGTAAGCTTTATTCGTAATTAAATATTTTATCATTATTAGTTTTTACTTTCTGGTGTCCATTTTCCTAAAATCGATTAAAAGAGAGTTTGCGGTTGTACGTGTCTCATTTTTCATCATTATTCTGTTGTTCCTCTAATTATTATTATTATTATTATTTTAGTAATTCTTGGTTTTTGGTGCTTTGGAAAGATTTTTTGTTTATTTTATAAATTATGTCGCTGGAAAAATTGTGGTTAAAAAGACTTTTGGTTTTTGACATTCTTTATTTGTGTCTCTCATTTAAGGTTCTGTAAAAAAATCTATGCTAAAGATAAATATTTGAAAAAGCTTTCAAAAAATAACGGGTTTTTAAAATTCAAAATTTCTAATTTAAGTTCTTTCAAAAAGCTTAAAAATATTGGTCTGAGCTTTTCAAAAAATCATTTTTGAGAATTTCAAAAAATAACGTCATTTAATAATTTGAATTTGTGAAAAATCTTCAAAATTTATTTTAAATAATTGAGTTTGATTTTCAAACACAATTTGGAGGGGAGGGGATTACAAATGAAAGTTTTAGTGTCCCACCCCCTTAATTTTGAAACTTTCTTTGACATATTTTATTAATCAACGGAAATTTCAAATTCAAAATTTTACCTTATGAAAAAGCTAATTTGATCCAAAACCTGAAACCAAATGATTCAAAAATAAGCAGCTAGGAATGCGAGATATCTTTCAATCGATTTTAGGAAAAGTGACTTAATCAAAAAAAAATTTACATAAATATTATTATCGACTAAAACAAGATAAAATCAAATAAAAAAATCTATTTTTAATGAAAATGAAAGCAGCATAATCACTAAAAAACAACCTTGAACACATCAATTGAATTCACATGCAAGGGTCGGTGAAATGGAACTTTGTGACGTAAAGGCTTCTTTTCTATAATTTTACTCTACGTGAGTGGCACTTAATTTGTGTTACTCTGTTGGGCTTAATATCTGATTGTTCTACTTCCTGGTGCATTTTAATAATGTTTTTGGTTTTTCTTTTTATTTTTCAGTGGTTTAATTATTATTTTATAACGGATAGTCTTTTTTGTCGCCTTGTTATAGAGGTTATATATTTTTTTTTGGTCTATAGATGGTGCTAACGTCTCTATTATAGCTATAGAAAAAAATACTACAGTGCATATGTTCATTCTTTATATCAAAAAAAGAAAAAAGAAAAAAATCATTAGCGCAAAAGTCTGTGGTTTCCTTAATATTGGTGCAAATGGAAACAGCATAATTAAATATTATTTTTTATTTATTAATTGTTTGTGTTTTTATCTATCAATCAAATGCTAAACAAGATCAGTTCCGTTGTGGTAAGTGGTGATATTTATATTATTGTCTACATCTTTATTAAAACAACTCAGCATAACGCTCTTAATGGGGGAAGCTTTCTTGATGTCTTGCTAGGGGCATTCATATTACTAAAATTCAAAATTTAAGCTTACAAAGATTGATTATTGATTGCTTTAGTAAATGAATACATTAAAAAAATTGTGACTACAAGGGAATGTCAATGAAGAAACATGCATATCTATAATAAGTGTAGCATGGAAATCTTATCCTTAAAATATTATAATAGACTTTTATAAGAGTAAGCTTTAAATTCACAATTTATTAATATGAACGACACTCATGATTGTCAGAATATCTCATCAAAATTGAGAAAGCTTCCATCCTTTGGCACATTTTAATAAAGTTTAATGGTGTAATGGTGCAAAAACAAATTAGTGAAATTTGATATGTTTTGATGAAAGAGGAATAAAATAAAAAAAAATAAAGATTAATTTGGAATCTTCACACATCTTAATATAATTTATTAATGAATTCAAACAGTTCGTCTCATCTTTCCTAAAACTCATAGTGGCAAAAAAAAATTATGTATTTTGGTAAATGGGGCTCTTTTGATTGGGTTTTAAATTTTTATATTACATATATGGCATATTTGTGATATTTATGTATAGTTCGTATTTCATGGTGAGTGATAGAACTTTATAATAATAAATATAATAATTTTTTCAATTCGTAACATGAACCAAAAAAACGAAGACCGACGCATATTATTACTTTTGATAGACTTTTTTTATTTATATTTATGCCTATTCTGTCTTATTGTCATTTATAGGAAATTCGATGCTAGCACCAGCATTTCCAGGATACAATCAATATCCACAACCAACACCAATTTATTCATCACCTCCACAAATATTCTACTTTGCTGGATATCCAAGTGGTCCGATTTCTCCTACATACATTCAACCTTTACCAATTCCCCCACATGCATTCCATCATTTCCCACCAGATAGGCCTACTTTGGTAAGTACTTTTATGTAATTATGAGCTAGGTGTGCTTAACCCTTCCTTATTAACCTAAAACTTACTTTTGTTCCACGAAAAGTATATTGAGATGTTGGAGAACTAGAAGCGTATCCACCTGTCTCAATAGCTTTTCGTACAAATCTTCAAAAAATAAAATAACTTTCTTGTCAACTACGCAGTCAGCCTATTAACATAGTTATAAGTTTATGCTACTAACATTCTCATTAAAATACTAAAAATGATCTGCACGCACAGTTTTCTCATTTGTTCGATCCAAATAATTCAGTCATAATAAAGATGAATAATAAATTGTAAAAAATATTTATGCAAAATTTTCTTTTTTCTTTTCTTTCTATTCCTGTTCCATATCAATAAAATGTAATAAATAATAAAAAAAAATAAAAATCACATTCCAACAAAATCAAATCTATTCGCAAATATGAAATAAAGGTCCCAATTGACAGTTATTTTTAATCTCTCATTCTCATGTAATAATTTTAAGTTTCCTCAAATGGATGTCGAAATGCAAGTAATTCCCCCATCAACATCATCGCAATCATCTCCATCAATTCAGCAACAACAACAGCAGCAGCAGACACCACCAATGAAACAACATCAAATGGCATCGCCTGCAGGACAATCAGTTCAACAGCAGCAACAACAGCCTTTACCAAATCAAGTTAAAGTAACGACAAATTTTAATTTTCAATATGACGACAATGGCAATTTAGGACGTGTTGATGTTAGTAAAGCATTATGCTATCAATCTCAAGAAATTTCCAATAATGTAGTAACAAAAAAGGTTTTAGTGATGCATCAAAAGAAGGCACCAATCCTTTTAACAGGACCAAATATTGAACAACAAGAACAAACAACACCGCAACATTATATAGATTGTAACAATAATAATATGAATCCTCTTCCCCAACTTCAGTCGACTGTCATTGACACAGCACATTTACCGCCTCCTTCACAACAAATATTTACACCAAAAAATATGAACCCGCAGTTTATACAGCCACCTTTTATTAATCATCTCAACTGGAACCCGCAGTTTCAGTAAATTTTCTCCTTCTGTCTGCTTTTGAGCAATTTAAGGAACATTTTTAGAATGTTTTGTGCGGTTTTTAATAATAAGATATTATTTTTATGCTTTTTTTCTTGACCCCTTTTAATGAGGAATTCATTAATATTCTAAAATTATAAGTTTAATTGATAAAACAATCCAGACCAGAACTCTTGAAGATATTCATAGTTTTTCCAATTCTAGCTTATAAGAAGTATTTTTAAGGACATTTAAAAATGACAAAAAAGAAAGCTTAAAGGAGAACAAACAACGAAATAAATGTTGTTTTTTAAAATTAAATGTGCAATTGAATCGTAGCTTAAAAATAGTAAGCAATAGGATTGCTTGATGAAATTGAAATGAGAACAAATTATTTATATTTATGAACGTATAATATGTAATTCCTACTTATAGTCAATTAATAACTTTAAATCTAAGTCGAACAAAAGCAAACGAATTGCAATCTTTAATAATTCTTCATCTTAGTAAGGTTCATCAGTAAGCATTGATTTCTTTGAAATTCAAAGTTGTTTATCGAGATTGGGAAATGATGAATTTTCACTCGTTTCCTCAAACTAAGCTAATCAAAAACGCTCGAATGTTTGTTTTGATAATTTTCAAAGGAAATTTATTTTTAATTCATGTTTTTAGATCCAGAAGTGCCGAAATTCTTTTCTGTTATAGTTTCAAAAGATACAATGCTTACTAATGTTGAATAGATTTCTTCATCGCTTACTAAGGTTGAAGCTAATCTTCTGAAATCAGAATATCTTTGTATCATTAAGAAAAATCTTCCATTTATCCTTAAGTCGTTGCCAATTTACATTTATATATTATTATTATTATTATGTGTTTTATATTTCTCAATAGATTTTTAAACAACTTTTGTATCTGTTTTCGTTCACATGTTATGCATATATTATTAATATTATTAACATAATTTTATTTAAATTTTGAGAGCGTTATGTTTTTGCCATTGTTTATTTTTATGCGTGTAATGATAAATCGAATTGTTAGTAAAGCATTATTACCATTGATTAGTAAAGAAAGCAATACTAAATGATATGAAAAACTTAAACTTATCTTGTAATCATCAGTTCTTGAATGAAATGGTGCAACTCAGAACTACTATTTAAACTTTTATCCTACGTGCAATAAGCTGTACCATTATTTTAAATGAATGAATACTTTGATCAAAGGATGAAATCATTATACTTCATTTGGTTCCTTTACCAGTTCTTTTTCCTTTAAATTTATTTTAGATTTTAGAAAAAATTCGATTGTATACTTAAGTCAAATTAAGGAAGCTAGTGTCTCTTTGATCATTCGTTAAGTTCGAACTTTTGCATTGTTTTGAGTGGAAAAACATTCTGAATCATGATGCAAATCAAAGTTTGTGGATCTAAAGCAGGTCATAGGTTGTTGATCAAGATACTTTTTCAATGATCTTTACACTGAAATCTCAATTTAACCAACAAATCAATAAGAATCCAGTCCAATCTAAATTAAATTTAGTTGATTGCTTAACAACTTGTCCTTAAAATTCCCCTTTGTTCACACTCATCTTAGCACTCTAGTAAGATCAATCTTAGTAAGAGTTAAACTCTAATTTGAGACATTTATTAAAGCTACTTAACGTTAAGAACTAAGATAAAGTATTTAATTCCCGATCGTCTATCCTCTAAAATTCGACATTTAAAAACACACAGTCAAGAGTTTCCCGTGAAAAAGAACTAAAGTTCAATATTTATGAATGAAGAACAAAGAGAGGCACTAGGCCAAGATTTGTTTTGAATAGAAAATGTGGAAAAAATTCCTAGATTTTTTTTTTTTGAAAAAGAAAACAATAAATTGAGAAAAGAATGTACTGAAGTGAAATAATGAATAGTTGTAGCTAGTAGTTGTGAATTAGAAAAAAATGTAAACATTATTTTTTCATAGAAAATTTTCTGAAATAAAACAAAAAAACTTTTTTGATACCTTAAAAAATGTCTAGGTTTTCCTTATCAGGCGTTAATTGATGATTTTTAAAAACATAATAAATTACTTTCGATGTAGCTATGCGTTGATGAATTGAATGTGCCTTCTTAATATTATTATAAACAAATACAAACGTAATTGATACTCAATTTCCGTCCAATTCATACAGGTATAAAAGAAAATCAACATTGACATTGGAAATGAGGACTATTTCCGATTACTTTAAGTAAATATTGTCAGTGCCTCTTAGGGTGCTTTATCACGAACATGCATCACCACACATTGAATATCATTTTCGCGAGCATTTAAGAGATAACTTGTCAGCGATAAAAAATTGAATTTTCTAACACATCTGAAGACCATCGTCAATTTCTATGTTTATATTTTCCGAGCTCATATCAAAAACTAAATTTTACAAGAGTGTGGAAAATACTTTTCATACATTATCGAAAGGAAGGAATGATTTTTATTTTGCTTGCTACACTTCAGTTGATTCGCGTTCTTCAAGCACTTTACACACTTAACTCTAGAAACAAATTTAAAGAATTATTAAGGAGAGAAAATCAGAATTATTAAGTATTGAGGGAAACAGCGTGAATTTGATTTATGACAGATTATCGCGTATAATAAAAAGATAAAACGCGATTAATTGAATTCCAGTGTTTGATTTAATTGTTATTAAAAAAGCTAAAAGCTACAAGTTTTTGAGAGCAGTCGCAGTCGTGTCGATATCAACACAACATATTTTAATAGAAAAAGTAATCATAATTTGTCCGTGCGTGCGTGTGTGTCGGTTAATGAGCATCGATATAAGTTAATTTGAACAGAGAAAAATCTTGAAAAAAAATGAATCAAGAAAATGATGAATAAACTCATAATAATCACATTCTTACTCACCTGCTGTGTTCAATTGATTGCCGGTGGTTGCAGGAATCAAGAAAGTAGAGCATGTGAATCAATATGTACAACAGATCTTAATGGCGCTTTGAAATGTGAAGTTCGTGGTGCTGTCATTTTGCCAAGCATAAAATCAAAAATAAAAGTTGAAGCTTCTTTGGAAAAAGTAAGTGTTTGTTTTGGAACTGACGTCAAAAACATTTCAGGCAATCTGTTGGAATGAATGAAAATGTTTGGGTTTGAAAATATTTCACACTGAACGTACTTGAGTGACTTACTATGTATAATCACTTAATTATATGGAACCTCTTCAGTAATAAAATACAAAGTTATCAAAAACTTGATACGCTTTTCAGTCTGATGTTTTTTTTCATGAACATATGCATCTATACATCCACAATTAAATTAGCGATAAGGAAGTCATTGGAGCAAATCAAATTTGTGTCATGCAAATGACTAAGAATCTTCTTATGGCTATACAATTCTAGCTTCCTTTGAGAGTCATTCATCAATTATTATATTTTTGATGGACGTCATTTATGAACAACTCTTAAATTATCTACAACAAATTTTATGATCTTGAGACTGAAAACTTTCAGGCTTTGAGAAAAGTTGAAAGAATCGCAAGAATTCAAGTCCTGATAATCCAAAGTACTTGAGTTTGGACAGAATTGGCAATAATGATTGATAGCTTATTCATGATTAACCAATTTCTTCGAGATTTCTTATCTCCAATTTCCCACAGTGCTCGCGCCTTGATTTCTGTTTACAATAACAGCAGTGATTTAAGTTCTTAATTCTATAGACTATTGGCATAAACAGAAAATCTCTTCATAAACTTATCTAAAGACTGAGGAATTAAAGGTTTTTCAGACACGTGAATACGAAGCGTGAGCATTTCTAAGATTGTATTTGCGCTGCTGTGAAATGCTTGAAACATTATCTGATGTTTCACTTTTCATGTTCATTAGAATCTGCTTTATTTTTAAAGCTAGCCTTGATTTATAACTCATTTTTTAAAAAGGATGACTTGATTAATATGAATCATTTTACCTTCCAATGCTTCTTAAACAATATTTGGAACTTGTTCTTTAACACAATGAAGATTAAAACAGAATAATCGGAGAAATGAGCAAGGTTCAATAAATTAATATTGCAGCTATCAAAATGAAGATAAGAATTTCAGATATTACCTTAAGTACTTAATTTATTAAACTGGATATATATTCAATTCCTATCGAGATCATGAAAATCGACACTGAATCTTATTTTTTGTCTATAATAAAAAAAACTTTTCAGGCATTAATGTGAAAAGTAAAATAGATTTATGAATCATAGCATCAAATATTTTTATTTTCTCGATTGAAGAAGGAAATTAAGACACGATTACGCACAAATATAACTGAGTGATGATTATTATTGTAGCATGTTTGAAATATAGCAAGTAATATTACATTATAAATCATCACTGCGTTTGTTTACAAAGTTTTTAAGGCAAACACTTTAATCGGAATCGATAGAAATATTTATAAAATAGGAGGAAATCCAAATTGTTTCATAGCTTCACGTCAATATCTGTTGATGTACAATCGATTGAGAATATTTACTTTTTGAAAAGAGAACTGACATAAGTGGTGTTATTAATATGTCATATCATAGTAACAACCGTAGAATTCTATTAATAGACCGGCCATCGTTTAATTGATAAGAGCTGAAAATGTAGCATTTTGAGTGGTTACTGCTAAAAATAAAAATAAAAAAAAAAGCTGTAAATCATTCGGTATTGACATGCATACTTATTTGATTATGGATTTACAACCGTTAATTACTTTCTGCTTATCCCACACAAATCATTTATTTTCAGGTTTTTCCTGTTATTGAATTAGCGGATCTAAAAGTTCAGGCTGATAAAATTCTACCCGATTTTATCAAATTTAATTGGACTTATTATGATGATAAATGTGACAGTGCACTTGCTACTATTAATGTAATTGACGCTTATAAAGAGAAATGCTCACATTTCATAATCGGACCATCTTGTGACTTTTCTGTCGGTAAGTAGATTTTGATGTTGTTTCTAGGCTTGATTACATCAAAACCCTTTAAATTCTAAGAGATTTACGTGCCATACCTATGCCAATTGAAATCTAAAGGCAATCACCTGATTCTAGATTATTACCCAAAAATAACAGTTGTATTGATTGTTCAGACTTCACAAGATTCATTCATTCAACCAAAAAATAAAACGCTAAGAAGAATGAACTGTAATGTGACGACTTTATCGCATACACAGATTGTCAAAAAATTGTACACTTCAATTAACATGAAAAGTTGACAAAAAAATATGAAAGATTCGCGAATTATTAAAGCGCCATGCTGTATCCTTGAAATCATTAAATTTCTTGCTATTTTCATCCATCAATAAGTTCCTCATTTTTTATGAGAAATTAATTGAAAAGTCAGGCAGAAAATAATTAATTTCAATTGAGTTACCTTTGAAAAATTCATACTGGATTTATTTTACGAATTTGCGTATTTGTCTAAGAAGGTAAATCATCTTTTATCAGTTTTATACTTGAATGAGACTCTCAATTCATATTTAATTTTATATTCACACCTCTTATAGCAAGATAGTTGAAAAAATCTAGGGATGAAAGTCTTGTGCCTGAAATTTTACATTACTTCAAAAAACAAATTTCAATTGATTGAGGCATCGCAAAATACCCTTTCTACTGGCAAGCAAATAAGTAAGTTAATCAGGAAGAAACCACATTCGATCTGTGCTGTCTTAAAGATGAGCTGTATTGTTCTTCGGATGGGTAGGAACAGTCATTGCTTTTTTAAAATAATTTGACTCATCCATTTAACTTTAAACCTTTAAACATATGCTGATCTAAGCTTAGTCAGTCGACGAAACTTTTGATAGTACAGTGTGAATATATGAGCGTTGGGTTTCTACTCGATACACAGTTTGTGAATCAAAAAGTGTATCTCAGCAGGATGTTTTGGTACTTCCTTAAAAAAACTTTCAGTTGTATTTTTCTTATCAAAAACAATCTTATATCCATACTGGTCACTTAAAAAATGAAATTTATACATCAGATGAAACAACTATTGGGGTCATTCATATATGATGTCCATCAAAAATTGAATTTTTTAAATCCAACCCAAAGCTATAAGCTTTTATGAATCAAAATATCACACATATCTAGAATTAACAAATGCTGGTGTCATAGTCGAATGATTCCCATAAGCAATGCGTCATAAAATCCACTCAAGAGGAAATAAAATTTAACCCACTTGCTTGACTCATTGATTGATTTTAATTGAATTATTACAGCTGCCGTTAGCCGGATTGCGAAATATTTTTACAATGATGGCTTGAATATTGTCACAGCCGGGGGATATACTTACGACTTTGAGGAACCCAAAAATACTTGTGATGATCAATTTTACATGCTTCATCGAGTTGGGATGCTTAGTTTTGAGCAGATTTCAAAATTTGTGATAAAAATCATGGAGAATTTCAATTGTAAGGATGAAAGGATCTGCTTCCTTTAAAAACTGTTTAAAAATTTATATTTCTTTATAGGGGAGAATGCTTTGTTCCTGTACGACCGTGAAGGCAACTCAGAAGTTGGTGGATCTCAGACATGTCATCTGTAAGCACGCATACTTCCTGAAAACTTTATCCTTATTTACATAATTTTTTCATTTCCTTTTTAGTATGATGAGTTCAGTCGCGAAATCATTCCGTGAAAAGAATTTGAAATTTTCTGCGTATGTCTTAGACATGAATGATAATGATACGAATGTTAGGAGTAACGACTTGCGACGTGAAGCTGGCAATAAGCATGGCAGTAAGTCAAACAAAATTAAATTATTTTAAATTAATGACTCAGGCATTTATCCTGCTTAGTAATCAATGAGTTTTGATCTCCTATTGTGCTTGCATTGAGGGGGAAACAACATAATGAGGAAAACATTTGATGGAAAAATCTCACCAATTCCACTGAATTGTTATCCTTAATTCGTGTGAATTTACTTACAAATATATTTTTTACCCATCATGTTGTTGTCCCCTCGACTTGCTTTGTTATGGATCTTAAAAATTTATCGCAATATCTTCACAATGCTAAGCAGAATAGATCCGTAGAAATGAGAAAAATATTTATGCAGGAGTCGAATAGTAGTCAATTCACGTAATAGCTCTTACCTCACACTATACATCCAGACAATAGCTTTTTAGTACATTTTCAGTGATTCGCGTGACGATAATAGCTAATAAATTGACTTTTAAATATGCCTCTCAATTAGTACAACTTACTCAACTGCTCATAATCAAATATCGCTAATTTACAGTAAAGTCAGAAACTTGAAGAGGCGCTAATTAATTAATATGCAAACTGACTGCAAATATTTGCATATTTTTTCTCGAAACTTTTTTTTATTGAAACAATTATCTTGCTATTAAATGGAATTTCAGATAGATTAGTCATGACTGTATTTACAAACAGCAGAATATTATTTTAATAGATGCCAATTTGCTTTTTATTCTGATTCTGTCAATCGAGAATTGGCTTCAAAAAATTACGTCTGTAAATTTATTAATAATCATTTTGATGGATAATTGTTAAAGTTCCGGGTATCACATGCTTACTCAAATGTCACATGAGGATGCAATTGAAGCTTACTTAGCTGCAATGTTGATATTTAAAAGATTCAAAATAATAATAATCTAGATCCAGAGAATTCCTCATAATATCGTTCTAAACTGCAGTTGTTTTTCATTCACGATCAAAGCATTTGCGAAATAAATCTCTTAAAAGGAAGCAGTCGCCGGAAGCATAATCCAATTTCCGGAAATATTGTTGAAAAATTGTTCTTCTGAATATGACTTGTTTCTTCCAATTCTGTCAAAAACAATAATCGTGCCAGCATGTTTATGCCGGAGGAGGCAAAACCTGTCTATCTATTGCTCGGTCCAACTTATTCATGCAAAAATCATTCTAATCCTTCTAAATTAGCTTAATACCTAATAATTCACAACTATTGGTGTGTATTTGTGTGTACTCAAGCAGATTAAGTCAATAAGCTTTTATGTGAGTAGTTTACATCAACAAAACACTTGTTGTGCAGGCAATAACATTTGCTCTCATAAAAATAGACTTTCCTTTTTTCCTTATCAATAATTATACTATTCAGAAAAGTGTCAGTCAAGTCTCAATCAAACAGTTGGTCTTATTGACCTCTTCAATCGAGAATCCTCTTGAAAAATAATAAAACTCAGCATGTGAGAGACAAAAGAGAGAGAGAGACAAAAGGAAATTCGGAAGAGAGATCCTAGCAGAAATTTACTAGTAATTTCCTAGTAATTTACTGGATAACTTTCCATTTGCTACTTGCTATTTACTAGTCAAAATCCAAGTTCAAATCATCGCCAAAGACCCGCATTTTCACTTGCTAATTGACTAGTCAATTCGCTCACAATTTAACTAGAAATTTACTAGCAAATTTTTAAAAATTTAAATGAATATAACCGTTGATTTCCACGTGTTCTTTTGATTTTTATTATTTGTGTAAATTATTATAAAAGTATTAGTGTGCACTTAGTAAAGTTAATTAATTAAAGTACACTAACACTATGAAAAAAAATAAAAGACTAAATTTAATTAAGTTGAACACTGATGAATGCCCATGACTCGCACGCAATCCTGAGGAAGATAAATAATTAATTGAAAGTCACATACAAATTTGGATCGATCTTATAAAGGTAATTTCTGCGCGCTCTTGTGAAGTATATGGCAAATGCCAAATTTAGAACAAAATTTTTTATGACGCAAAAAATTCTTTTTATGACGCAAAAAATTCTTTTCATGACGCAAAAAATTCTTTTTATGACGCAAAAATTCTTTTTATGACGCAAAAATTCTTTTTTTGATGATTTTTCGTAAGATTCGAACTTAATCAGATTTGATGAAACATTCCACATGGTAATTTGCTATTAAATTGCAAGTGTAATTTACTAATAGTAAGTTGTTTTAATAATAACTAGTAAATTGCAAGTAGTAGAATAGAAAGACTAGCAATTTGCTAGTAAGTCTCGCTAGGGAGAGCGACTGTATTACTTATAAAAAATGTAAATAGAATCTGGCACGTGCTATATTCATTCATCATAATCGTTATACATCGTGTCTATGTATTTTTTGTGAACGACGTGTAAAGTACTGCAGTTTAATGCCTTTTTGGATGCAATAACTATTTTTAAACTGTTTAATGCAAACATTCAAAATAAAATCTGAAATTAATCGAGTAGACAGTTGTAGATGAAAAGGCAAAATGCTAATAATGATGCCTCGTGGGAAATATGTCAAAATTGATATGTCTTTCACGTACTTCCATTAATATCCATTATTAAAATCTCAAGAGCTCTCACAGATTCATCATATTTTATGTGATATTCTGTGCTTATTAATTGAAATAAATGAATTCGAGATATTTTACAGAGAATTATCATGTCATTAAGGATGTAGGAATGTAAATTGATTCTTATTTAAGCCAAAAATTAGAAATCCGTCGTTATGGAACTCACTCCAGTTCCACAAAACGCTTTTCACATTAATTTATTCGTTAGATAACAAAAATTTGGAGCTCGAAAATCAATAAGCGACTGTCATGCTGATTAAATTAGGAAAAAAGCTGCTGTAAGGACATTAGAGATTCTTCTCGGAACTATTAATGTGCTCAAAAAGCGTTCAAAATTATTAATAATTTATTTTTTGAGAGTCAAATTTCTTTTTTCTTTTCGAACAAAACAAATTGAGCCATGGGCGAAAGAAGCACGCCGAGATGTTTACAGATAAAAATCCGTTCTTCAAATATGTAATCTAAATCTCTTATTTACTATTGCTTGAGATTATTGTGATAAATAAACACAAAAGTTTGACATGAAGATTTTACATAAAATTTGAGGAGCAAAAACATTTCGTTTTGAAATCTTGTGACATGCTTCTTTGCATGTATGATTGACGCGAGTCTTTCAACAAATTGCTTCTGTTAATGAATTTTAATGTGGAACTGCATAAGGTACATTTATTTATATTTTTGTTGACTTCAGAGGATATGAATCTACATTTGGGTTTGATCGACTGCCCCTGCATAGAGTAAATTGACACCAGAATTAGGCAAAAATACCAAAGGTACCAACCTTAGTTCAGTTTAAGTATATTCCTAAAGTGTAGTATCTATAGTGTTAGGATAGCGCCCTGGAAACCTTTACCTGATCTAAACTTAATAAGCAATGCTTGATTGAGAAACGATGAAAATATTAGCATACATCCCTGCTTAATTGAAATATTAATAAAGACTTTAAGCGAATCTAATCTAAAATCTAAATACAAAAAGTTGGCATTAAAAATTTGTCACAAAAATTATCATCAAAGGTCTTTCAGACAAAATTTTCGCAATAATCAGTTTTAAGAAATCGTCTGCTTGCCTTATAAAAATCCATTCTTTTTGATCTCATCACGAAAAAAGATTTTAAATATTCCTTAAAAATGAGAAAATTGTAATTAACTTTGAAAAAGTTGAATATTTAATCAAAAAAAAGTAGGAGAATAATGATTATCAGTTCATTAACTGTAAATAATGTCTCCTTAAAAAAGTACGCAAATATTGAAGAACTGAGCACAAAAGGAAGGAATTTCCAAGGGTCAGACACTCCAAAGTATTGTACGGTATTGTACAATACTTGCAATACTTTCCATATAAATTTACAATACTTTACAATACTTACAATACTGAAATTTAATTATTCAAGAACCAAATTTTAAAAGAAATTAAAATTTTTTTTTGAGTTTTCAACAATTTGTAAAACCAAATTTAATACTTTTTTTTGACAAATATTGATAAATAACTATTTTTTTTTTGATAAATTAACAGTATTATTGAAAATTAGCAGGGGTGTTTTATGAAAAACTAGCACAAATTTCAGTTTTCCATTCAAAAAGAGAATTTATGATTATGTAATGGCTATAAAAATGGTAAAAAGTTCAAAATTCTTTTGTAAAGCTAGACTGATGCAAATCAAGAATTGATTTCATACAATTCTCATGCAAAAAACCATACAGGTACGAAGTTTATTACGTAAACTATTATTAAATGTCAATCAGGAATCAAAATTAAATAGATTGGTTTCATTTTCACAAGATTTATCACTCTTTATAGCAAACCGCATTACGTTTTATACAAATTTTTTGATCAAAGTATAAGGTTTTAAGTGTATTCAAACATTACTTTGACGATTTGAATTTTTTTACCTCTGACAATAAGGCGATTAAGAAGGAATCAAATTTAACAAACTTATCAAATGGTTTTTATAGCATTTTTTTTTTGAAAACATTTACATTTTTTCAACAACTGCATCTCTAAGACAATATAAAACTGTATATTTTCTTCTTTCTTTGCCAAAATTATTCTTATTTTTTTACTTCTTATAGTTGATACTAGACTTTCACGATTTCCTGTTCCCGAAATTTTTGGGACAGAAACTCGATGAATAAAAAATTTTAATGTCAAATTATCTTAATTGAAAAGTTTCACCATTTGAACACAAAAAAATCTTCCAAATTTGATATTTGAGTTTAAATTTTTGTCCAGTTCCCGATAATTTTTTGGGTCCGGGAAATCGTGAATGCCTAGTTAATATAAAAAGATATATCATTTCAAGAAAATTCACTGAAAATTTTTGATGAAAAATGTCCTTACTAAAAGCAAAGTAAACTTTAAAGAAACAAACTTAAATCGAGGCGTAGCAATGTTATAATATGGTTTAAAGCGCTGTAAAAAAAACGAAACCTCG